ACTCCAGAAAGCTGAGAGATCTGAGTTAAGGAGACAAGCTCAATTGTACAAGCTTCAGATAGCCCAGGAGAAGCGTGTTGAGAGAGAGAGGCTCAAGGAGGTGAGAGAGAAGGAGAGAGCCGCCAAGGTGGCTCAAAAGGAGGCTCAAAAGGCAGCCCGGGAGGCTGAAAAAGCTATACAATTATCCCAAAGGGGTAAGCGCAAAGCCTCACAAGGCTCCTCTCAAAAGCAGAAGCGTCAGAAACGTGTTGTTGTTGATTCATCTCATGTACAAGCTGAGGTGGCTGCACTAGCCGTCCCAACTCGGACCACCCGCCACGGCCGCACCACCAAGCTACCAAGTAGATACAAGTAGCCTATCATGATCGCAATGCTATAATTACTACAACACTATGAAATCTCGTGATAATAGCGACTGTGGGTGGCTGTACAGCCTCATCTTTTGCAATAGGTTTTTTGGTGGGGTGGGTCATTGCGCGTCCTGGGTCATTGCGCGTCCATGCAGGTTACGTACCGTTTTCCAACGAGCCGGAATTTCACAGAGTTTGCCGTCATGAAAACAAACGATTTCTTGAAATCACTCAGCCAGCAAATTTTCAAATAACGAGGAGGTCCCATTTTTTTTCTTCTAAACTTGTAAGACTTGCTAATACGTACAGAACAAAAAGAACGAAGAACGTGAGATAATATATATTATACACGTTAAACTAGAATAAATCTTGTCATGCAAAAAAAAAATTTTTTTGATGATGCCAACCAAGTACATGGCAAACATACTTGACGCTTTATGCAAGTGCACCCTCACCCATGCACCCAGAAGGACCATTTGATAAAACAACGCTTCCTAAAGACGCTACATAGAAAATGGCAGAAATGCTAAAAACATACCAGTTTAAGTACATGAAAGAAAAGCCTCCCCAACCCACCCAGCGATACCCACAATAAAAAAAAAGAGAGAGAGAAAAGGAAAGAAAGTGATTGCATCTCTCATTTCCCTCTAACCTCCAACTTCCTGGGCTTTCTCCTTTCCCTCTGCTCTTCTTTGCGAACCCCTCCTTTTTTTCTCTTCCTCATCCATCTGATCCGCGACCCGTCTCAACGCCACCGGATCCAGTATTCCTTCTTCCTCTTCACTTGCCTCTGCCTCTTTGCTCTCCTCTTTGCTCTCCTCTTTGCCCTCCCCTTCATCTCCCTCCTTCTTCTTCTTCTTCTTCTTCTTCTTCTTCTTCTCCTCCCCCTCCTCCTTCTTCCCACCCAGCCTGATCCAAGGCCCATGCACGCCCCCAACACCAACCCCCACGAGCGTTCCGACAGCCGCACTCGGGATCGCAGCGACGGTCCCAACCAGCGTGCCAACAACGGTCCCCAACCCAGCTCCAACCGCAACTCCAATCCCGCCTCCCCCCAGCCCGCCCTGAAACACACCCGAACTCAGCATGCGCGCCTTCTTGCTCTGGCCGTGCGCCTGCACTTCGTGTGCGTAGGCGTCTTGAAGATACTGGGAGCGCTTCGCGGGATCCGACATGGTGGCTGCGGCGCGGCGCAGTGAAGACGCGGTTTCGGCCGAGGACAGCGCGGATTCGGCGGTTGCGGCGGCGCGCCGCAGGGTTTCCGAGGGGCTGTCGGATTGTGCGGCGAGCGCTTGTATGTCTTCTTGCGTTGGGGTTTGCGCTTGTGCTTGTGCCATGTTTGCGAGGGGGGGGGGCTTGGGTGTTATGCTTTCGGGGATCAAGCACAAATGTACGGTTTAGGTTTAGGACTAGGGATGTGCGGGTTCGGGCTGTGGTATGCGAAGATTTCGGGGTAAAGCTGTGTGAAGTAATATGTATGTATGTATGTATGTATGTATGCTGGTCGTGGGGCTTTGTTGGGGTTGTTAGGGTGCATGTCCGCCAGCTCTGACGTCATGTTGTCACGACGCGGCGTTCTACCTAGGTAAAACTTGGAAGACGCGTACGACGGCAGAAGCAATATTCCACATGATTTCTCAGTTACGCAAGCGGCAAAGGATCAAGATCAGACAATCTCGTTGCATTACACTCGCTAATCGAGCGCTAGGTTTGTACAGTCGTAAAGACTGATAGGGATGATTTCTACAGTCGCTTTTTCGCTTACTTACTCCCAACTCAGGGTCCAGCCGTTCGTCCAGGCTCCTGCACTCGTTAGGTCGTTCAGACCTGTGAGCTTCAAGACGCTACTGGTCTTGTTGTAGTTGACTTTGCTTGCGTCAATCGTCTGGCCGTTCAACTTGACCTGTCCGACCGCCGGAGCGCCCAGCACAGTCACGTTGGCGAGTGCGTTTGAGTCCTTGAACGCGCCTTGAACATCGACCTTGAGCTTTCCGCTCATAGCGGCAAATGTAATGTCTAGACATGATTCCGGCTCAATTGACTCGCCATCGTCAATGTACAGATGGCCAGATGCGGCGCCTTGGCTGGAGAGCGCGACAATGAGACCCCAGGGGTTCTTGCGGGACTCGGCAGTCGTGTAGCCAGGCTGTTGGATAGGCAAGACGGAGCCTCCACGAACGTACACAGGGATATGGCCCAAAGGTGCCGAGATGGTCGTGTTGACACCAGCTTCTGCTCGGACCTGCTCACCAGAATACCAATCAAACCAAGTTTCGCCATCAACAATTCCCGGGAAAACACCCTTGACCGTGTCGACTTGGGGCTCCAGGACAGGAGTCACCAGGATATTGGGTCCAAGCAAAAACTGTGTGTCTACACCAGCGAGCTGGGGCTCATTAGGAAACTCCCATGCCAGCGCGCGCATCACGGTTGATCCGGTCTTGTGCGCATCGTTGAAAAGCGTGTACATGTACGGAAGCAGCGAGTATCGGATGTGCATGGCAGTCCTCGATGCAGACGCCACGGCCTCCCAGCGGAAAGGCTCCTGCGAAAGGGCAGAGAGAGTGTTGTGGTTGCGGTAAAAGGGGAAGAAAGCCGATAGCTGCATCCACCGAGCGCAAAGCTCCATGTCAGTGTTTCCGTTGAATCCACAAGTATCAACACCAAACATGGGAATACCAAACAGCGAGAATGAGAGCGCTTGGGGGATGGAGAAAAACATGTAGGCCCATCGAGAAGCATTGTCACCGCCCCAATGGCCAGCCCACTTGCCGCTGCCAGCAAACGTCGAACGTCCGATGATAAAAGGGCGTTTGCCAGGAAAAACCGAGAGAAGACCTTGGTAGGTGGCGTTGATGATCTGGTGGCCAAAAAGGTTGTGCACCTCGTATTCCTGCATGCCATTCTCGTGGGTTGCGTTGGGGCTGACGGCATGGACGGCCAGATCAGCGCCATTTTGCACGTGGTTGATGACATATGGAGGGTAGTTGACGTTTCGCTCGCCGGGCGTAACAGTAGGGCGGAAGTAGCTAGAAGAAGTAGAGGTAGATACCACAGTCGCCGTCGCCGTCGAAGTTGATGTGATGCCCGCCTGACTGGATGAGGCAGCCAATGCAGAAGCGGCCTCGGTGCTGTTAGTGATGTTGAAGCTTTCTGGGTAGTCGTAGATGATGTTGCCCTGTTCACCCGGGAGCGAAAACGGTGGATGGACCGGGTTCATGGTGACGTTGCCGGTACCGCAGGATCCAACGCAGAAGGAAGACACCTCGGTCATGTCGACCCAGAAACCACTAAATGGGACTTCCTTGTGCCACTCGACCATCTCCTTTACCCACCACGAAACACCATTTGTCGACAGCCAGTCGGGGAACACAGTATATCCGGGCCACACAGCACCGATATACTGGCTGCCGTCTGGGTTGGTCATGAAGACGCCAGATTCATTGCCGCGAGTATACGTGTCGTACGCATCGCTTGCATTTTGAGGGTTTGGAATGTAAATGGCTGCATCAACGATGGGGATAAAGTGCTGGTTGTTTCCATGTAGCCATCCAAAAAAGTCGGCGACTTCAGAAGGAGGGAAACTAACTGGGTCCAGCGTAAAGTCGCGGTACTGATCCATGTAGTCAATGTCAAGCCAGATAGTTTCTAACAGTTTTTAGCACTTTCAAAACGGTCAGCATCAAACAAACTTACCCATTGGAATATCAAAGTCCCGGAGCGTCTCGACAATTCCGCGTAGCTCGGTCCAATTGCGGTAGCCCCAGCGGCACTGGTGGTAACCGAATGTCCAGTACTGTTGCATGGCTGGCAGGCCAACGGCCGACTTCTGGTACTCCTTTGTAACCTCAGCCTGCGAAGGTCCGTCATAGAAGTACAAATCAATCGCTCCTCCCAGGGTCCTCCACGACAAGTGATCCGGTTTCAAGACTACATCCATACCATGGGTGTTGCGGTAGTACACGCCGTGGGAGCGCGACTCGTAGGGCGACCCCTTGGATTTATCACGCGAGCTGAAGCTGTCCTGCTGGATCTGGGATTGCTTCAATGGAGTCTTGCTGCCCTTTTCAAAGTAGCGAGTCTCGAGGTAAAACGGGTGGCTACCGTACAGGTTCCGGTCGACTGGGTCACCCACGTCAGCAGCGTAGATGGTCGCAGTGAAATTATTGTGGAGACGAAGACCGTGGATCCGTTCACCCAAGCCATAAAGGTTGTAGTCTTCCGGCAAGCTGTTGACAAACTCGATGAACTGGTTCTCATACACGAGGTGTGTTCCCTCGGTGGTGAAGAGAATGTCCCCGGTAGAGCGGCGCTCGACATTGAACCAAAATGACGGCTCATTTCCCCCTGGCACTTGTTAGACAATCTCCTTGACCCGGTTGCTGGATTAGCAAAGAGCTTCGGACTTACAGTTAAACTTCAAGTCGGTATCCTTGAACGAGTCTTCAGCCTGAGGCCGAGGAATAAGATCTTCAGGCACAATCCACTGGGACTGATTTCTTGCATCAAGGTATTTCGGAACAATATTCACTGCCAGCCTCCCCTTGGCCTGATATTCGACCTTCAAATCCAATTCCTGGATATCGGTGCCATAGACATTGCACGGCTTTCCGGCCAAGGTCAACGTAGCCGCCAGTCCGCGTTCATTTTCCGCAAGGCCCGATGCCTTGTAGCCGGGGCAAACATCCTGTGCGTTTACAGCTTGAGGGTCGTAAATGTTGGGAATCTGCTGAACGCCCACATCGGCTGACGGGGGAATGGTAAAGATGGGGTTGAAAGAAGTAGGCGTGCCAGCTAGCGTGGTGCTCCAGCCCGTCTTGGAACTGATGGGCGACTGACCGGACGTCAAGGTGAGAAAATACGAAAGGCAGGCCGAAGCATGTATGAGGCTTTGGCGCGTCATAATGGCGGTGCTGAACCGGTCGAGGGCTACCTGGAGATTCTCAGCGGTCCATGGCGGCCATGGTCTTCTTTTATAGCCCTCGCTTCCCAAGGCGAGTGGTCTTTGTTCCGCCATGGTGACGATGGTGCAAGGCGGCCTGCTGCTGCTTCGGTCCAGTGAGGTTAGGTATACAGTATGCTGGACAAGGCGCGAGCAAGCCGTATGGCGCAAGCTCCGCGCGCTTGCATAAGCGAGACGTGCGGGGACAGCCCGTGGAGTGCCGTGCCGACATGGATCCAATAGGAATCATCGGAGGATACTGCGCGAAGCGGGAACAACACCACAAGTGCGGAGTGCAGCGAAGATGAGGCAACGGGCTTTGGGCGTTGGGGGCTTCTGGGTGGATGCTTGTAGCCAACGTGGAGTCGAGTGCAGGGCGATGTAGCCGACGAGTCAAGACGCGAGGTGCAAGACGATGGCAAAGGACAATGCCATTGCCATTGCCATAGACTTCGGTATGACGTCTACAGCAATACACGGCAACAGGAAGAATTAACAAATAGGGTATAGTACGCCTGCTGTCTACACAAGTGCACATGTCAGTATGCCGCTATGCGTGATGCGTCATGGCAATGGCCTAAGTTAACGCAGCTAGTACCTCTGGTCCGGCAAAACTTGACGTAAACCACCGCCACGCCTGTTGCTCATGACATGGAAGCGGTTCTACAAAACTACCGTAGTCCAACTGGCACGGAACAATTTTCGGACTGCTATAGCTCTCACGACAGTCGAATGACATGGCCGCCCATAGATGTGGTATTTCCTGGTCTGTCCTAGTGTGATGCCATACCCCATGTCGGCCCCACACGGCATCCATCCCCCTTCGGTCGACCCCAGTCTACAAAGCTTGGGGAGCTTGTCTGTCACAGCACGCCTTTGGGTTCACTCGAGTCAAACACACACACATCAAACGGTTTGGACAAGGGGTATGTGCATTTGCATTTGGTCATGGGTAATAATTATTAAAATCCTTATAATGGTTTGTGCTCTCATCGGCCACCCAGCGCCAGGGATGAGGCAGCAGCTGCGGATCCCCTTGACCAAAGCTCGCGTCGAGCGAGCACAAGGCTGGCTCCATGTCTGGCGTCCGAACGACCCGCATTGTTCCCGCGCTGCAGACTTCTTGCGTGCGCTTGTTGGTCCAAAGTCGGCAGCAGGCCGCCGTGTGCTTCTGCGCATGCTTTAGACGCGCTCACAACAGGAGCATGCCGAACTTCCTTGACGAGTAATGTAACCCGAAAAGGCGCATCCACCAATGTCGGCCGAGGCCCGCTGCCGCACTAGGAAAGAGGGGTATGCAGAACCCGGAATATAGCTATTTGCAAGCTCGCTAACCTGGCTAGCTCATGTCAGTGGCGAGTAGCTCGTTGGCCGGCCGCCTTCCTCATTGCCTCTGCGGAAGGTCAAGTAACGGGTAAGTCCGCACTCGTCGGCAAGATAGAGCCCTTCCTCAGGCAGCCAGCTCCGCGAATCATGCGGTGTGCGGCCCCTTTTACTGAGCCTCGACGCTCGCACAGAGAGTTTGGCTTCAAGTGGCGGCTGCTCAGCTGGCAATGATGACCGTTGTGGCGGGGTATAAACAGTAGGTGATAAACGAAAGTTTGGGCTCGTAGGACTCAGCTTCGCTGCCGAGTTGGGATGTAAATGCGTGCCTGGTGCAGCAGGAGGTGCACCAGGCGAAAGGGGTTCTGGATATAGACTCGAATCTACCGCCTTAGTATTTTTCGAGGGAGAAAAGTATAGTGGTTTGGGGAATGCGCTACTCCTGGATGCTCGCGCAGACCGGTGTGATGACAATGTTGGTGTCGTAGGCTCGCCCTGTGTTGGATCTTCAATAATCTCCTGGTACCAGTCGTACGAACGGAAGCTGAAGCTCGGACTTGGAGGTGGAAGGTCTCCCAACGAAAGTCGATGTGTGCTGCTGTCAATGTCGGGAAACGATTCAACCAGAGGACTTGACGGTTCTGACGCAACCACTGAGCCCCGACCGGATAACAAAACGGTTTCGTCTGAATCGCTCTTCTTCGGATACGCGCTGAGTTCGTATTCGAGATTCTGTGCATCCGACGTCGGGGCCTGCCAAATGGATATTGGTGGCGGAGCCTGAATGGGTGGGGGAATGTATTCTTCGAATATGTACCGTGGCGCACGTTCGCGGGGTATGCTACTACGTGGAGTGTCGTTGCCTCGCAACGGGCTTACGGCTTGCATCATGTCCTCGTCCATGATCATGCTCTTGTTGATGCTGACGTTGAGAGCGTAGAGAGTCGTGTCCTTTGGCGGTGGTGGAAGTGGGAGGTTTGGGAGCGGAAGAAGTGGTAGCGCTTTGGGTCCAGAGCGCCCGTAGACATTGTCCGTTGACACTTGCAGTTTGCTCGTATCCTTTGTTTCATCAGAAACCAAAGCCCTGGCAAAAAACCCAGGTCCCATAGCGTGCTGGTACGTGAAAGCTACATTCTGCGGGCTGTTTGGCATCGAAGCCACCAGCGTCTTTGAGTCGGTCGCATTCGAAGCAGATCTGCTGAGGGGATTTTGCATGGCTGCTTCTAACGATTGGTTGCGAGGTCTTTGTGCTCGCCGTCTGCATACCCAGAACGCAATTCCAGCTAGTAGCACCAGGGTGGCCACAAGGCCTACTCCGACGGCAATAGCCGATGCGGTGGTCAAGTGCGAGGTTGGCGTGGAATCAGAGCCCCCAAATGGAGCCGCGTTCTCCATGGCTACGCAGCCTACCCTGTGGCAGGTCTTGTCTGTTGCGCAAGCGCTGTCTGTCGAACATGCTGGAGGAGGCTGAATCGGACCATTGATTGTGCTGGGATTTGCAGCATCCGTTTTTAGTTGGGCGAATCTCAAGTCGGATGCGAGGTTACTGGGTGGCTCGGCTGTTGGCGGTAACGATGCTGTGCGTAACGAGGATTCGGTTGATGTGGGTGTTGTGCTGGATGTAGCCTGTCTTCTTCGCGATGAAGTGAATGTGATGGTCGATTGTCGCCTTCGACTGGAAATGAAAGTGGTAGACATTACAATTAAGGAGCGAATGTAAACAACATGTACTGGTAACGAATGGGCGCCACGCCAATAAATCCGTCGAGTATGGTCGTACGAAAGCGCCTTTATGTAAATTACAGTGACGTTGGAAAAGCAACAACAGGAAAGAATGGAAGTTTGGGTAGGATCGCTGGGCTCACAGGGACGAAGATCCTCAGTCGAAAGAGGCCTTTGCGACACAGCACCGCTATGCAGGGCAGGGCGGATTAGCCCATATCTTGTAGGGTCCGGCGAAAGAGACTAAAGTTTATTGACGATTCGCGCACGGTGCTCAGGCCACGTTCGGTTGGTGGTTTGACGATCCCTAGTGTTTGAACCAACGTCGCATTCGTCAAACCTTCTGCCCCCCAACGTTCCTTTTCCCATGACACATGGCAGTGAACGGCGCGGAGCACGAATGCGAGGTGCCCCTTGCTTTTTTCTCACGAATAGCGGACCTTGCAACCAGGCATGCGATGAATTGCCGTTGTCTCTGGACACTGGAATCGTGTGCTGTTGCTCTAGCTACCTACCAGAACAGGCGCAAACGCTGCAAGCAGGCCGAGTCATGGGCTCGACGGCAGCCTCTCCAAATGCGGCACCCATGGTGTTTCAGACGAGCGAAATCGCACCCGCCTATACTATTTTCTGCCGGCAAAGCCACTGAACTATTTGTTTCGTGGTCGGATTCGGAGGAAAACTGGGGATCAGACGGTTATAATCGTCCCGTCAACAGCAACGAAGGCGCCTCGCTTCGCTGGCACCATGGCTCCCTTAGCCAAACATTAGCACCTGAATCGTTGGGAGTTGAGGCCTTTGGTCGGCCGGCACTTGATTGAGGAAGCGCAGCCGAGCAGTCACGTCGCTTTCGTGCGTGGTCCCTGAAGCGGCCTTCCAGATGTGCGATTGCGAACAAGCTCGTCATGTGCGGCCTGAGCTTCGCGTATGGTGTCTGAAACATCCAGGGCGGTTTCAATATACACCAGTCAGCAGATAACAGAAGCCGATGATCAGGCCGAGCAAGAGGCAATGCCTGGTTGCGCGCATGACGCGGTACGCAAGGATGCAACCGCGAGCTTGGTTCCGGGCAGGTGTGTGACAGCTCCGTAGCCTTGAAGCTGGGGAACTTGGAGTGGAAGGTTGCGTCTGTGCTGGTTAGTCATCAGTCTCTAGGGGTCTAGGGTGTCTGTGCCGGTCCATGTGCCATGGTAATTGAGTACTGGGTGATGTAGGCAAACCTGGTAGATTTATCCTTTTCCCGCTCTCGTCTGGTCGTCGGTGGTCATACCTCAGTGATTAGGCGCGCTAGGTGCAGAGCGTGTGTCTACACAATCGTGCTGCCGCGGAGCGCTAAAGACATGGTGGACATTCACAGGCTCGGTACAAATCCCCTTCGTGCTGTACACCAACAGGTTTTGAAGTGAATCGGCGATCTATGAGCAATGTCAAAAGAAGTCCTGAGCACGATCTTTCATAGGTTTGAGCAAGGAGGGTCGCATTGCTTTCCAGTAGGATTCAGTTGAGGGTGTATTGAAAGTCAGAGAGCAGTCGACGGAAAAGATTGCGGGTGCATTAGGTCCACTGCACGTTATTGCTTTGTTGTCTGGTGTGGCCATCGATCATGGCCAGAGATGGGTAGAAGAAGAGCATAAAAACAATCGTGAGGCTGAACCAAAGGCGTAGACGCCATGTTGCTTTTTCCCTAACCCAGGCTGAGGGTGTTGTCGCGTTTCGTTAGACGGCGAATCTGGTAAAAGCAGTCGTGAGTTTCGTAAGGCCACCGCCATTTCCAGGCCGCAGCGACACGCTCATTCGCTCTCCCGACGACTAACACAGACTGGAATGCAAATATAGGCAAGAAGAAAGTCGAGTCGTCGATGCGCGGTCTGGGTGCGAGTGTACATCGCTGGGCTCGAGACTCCCCCTGTCAATCTGGAATGTTTCCGTATTAGTCCAGGTGTAGGGTCTCGGAGAGCACAAAAGCTGCGGGATGCCTATACGAGTAGCAGATAGCGAGGCACGTCGAAGTGCAGCAATTGACGATGCATTGAACAAGGCGAAGTGGGGTGAAGCTCCACTCACAGCCACAGCTGCCCAGCGGAGACGCGCTCTGACGCCACCAAGCGCAATGCCGCCGCACTCTCGCCGTTTGCGTACGTGAACACCGACTTTCTGGGCTGATGACGAGGTAGTCGAGAAAGCCGTCTCACTCTATTCGGCGCTTCTACCAATGGCACCGGCGTATGGATGCAGCGGCGCGGCGAGCTCTCGGTGTTGTTGCGCCATTTAGCGCGCTGGATTCGTGACATCATGAATAATCCGGTCCCCGCCATTGGCCTACATGTGCTCATGGACAGCTCTCCCCCCTCCCACCCCCTCTATAGCCGTTGATGCGGTTTTTACGGGCATTGCGACCTTTACGAGCTTCACTCAGACTTCACTTCAGCCCAACAAGCCGTTTGCAGAGAGCAGCTTTTACAACAACGACGGCAGCCATGGCGCAAGAGTTCAAGCTCAAGGATGTCACTTCCTTGCAGATGAAGAATGGCGAGAAGAAGGAGGTCGAAGTTGAGGGCGTCGAGGGTGGAAAGGTACTGTTGTTGAAGGTCCAGGACCAGGTTCACGCGACAAGCTCCACGTGCACCCACTATGGAGCTCCATTGGTAAAGGGTGTACTGACACCCGAGGGCCGTCTAACCTGCCCATGGCACGGAGGTGCGTTCGACTGGTGCATGCTGCTCGAAAGTGGCTAACATGACACAGCTTGCTTCAAGGTGTCGACTGGAGATGTTGAAGACGCGCCTGCCCTCGACCCCATTGCCAAGTACGAGGTGGTGGAAAAGGACGGCGCGGTATACGTCAAGACGACAGAGGAAGCACTCAAGGCGAACCGGAAATCCCTGAACATCAAGTGCTCGTCTGTCAGCGACGACAAGGTGCTTGTCATTGGAGGCGGCTCTGGCACTCTCGGTGCCATTGAAGGCCTCCGAGGCGGCGGCTACACTGGCAAGATCACCGTCATCTCCAAGGAAGGCTACCAGCCCATCGACCGAACCAAGCTGTCCAAGGCGCTGCTGGCTGATATCTCGAAGCTCGCTTGGAGACAGAAGGATTTCTACAAGGATGGATCAGTTGACATTATCGAGGATGAGGCCAAGAGCGTCGACTTCTCAGCCAAGAAGGTGTCGACAAAGTCTGGAAAGGAGTACGAGTACACCAAGCTTGTATTGGCAACTGGAGGCACGCCCCGGTGGCTCCCACTCGAGGGGCTCAAGGGCGACCTGGGCAACGTTTTCCTTCTTCGGACCCTGCCCGACGCACAAAACATCCTGAAAGCCGTTGGAGACAACGGAAAGAAGATTGTTGTCGTTGGCAGCTCGTTTATCGGCATGGAAGTCGGCAACTGTCTGGCGAGTATGAAGAACGACGTTACGATTATCGGCATGGAGGAGGGTGAGTAGTGCGTGGACATGGACTCGAGGCACAGGCTGACAGGGTGATAGAACCAATGGAGCGGGTCATGGGCAAGAAGGTGGGCGCCATCTTCCGGGGTCTGCTCGAGAAGAATGGTGTCAAGTTCAAGATGAGCGCGAGCGTGGACAAGGCCACGCCGTGCAAGACGGACTCGTCCAAGGTGGGCGCGGTGCATCTCAAGGACGGCACTGCACTCGAGGCGGACCTGGTGATTGAGGGTGTGGGGGTTGCGCCGGCAACCGAGTACCTCCAGGGCAACGCGAGCGTGACGCTTGAAAAGGACGGATCGCTCAAGACGGACGAGTCGTTTGCGGTCCAAGGACTGCGCGACGTGTATGCGATTGGCGACATTGCGACGTACCCGTACCACGGACCCGGGGGCAATGGATCACCGGTGCGCATCGAGCACTGGAATGTGGCACAGAATGCCGGCCGCTCGGTTGCCAATACGATCAACCACCCGGGATCCAAGCCCAAGCCGTTTATTCCTGTCTTCTGGTCGGCGCTAGGGTCGCAGCTGCGCTACTGTGGCAACACGGTGGGGGGCTACGATGACGTTGTGGTGCAGGGGGAGCCGGACAAGGCGTCGTTTGTGGCCTACTACACTCGAGGGGAGACGGTCGTGGCCGTGGCTTCGATGATGAAGGACCCGTACATGACGCAGGCGGCGGAGCTGATGCGGCGGAGCAAGATGCCGAGCAAGAGTGAGATTCAGAAGGGCGTGGACATTTTGGAGGTTAGCCTGCCAAGCGAGGTAAAGATTTAGAGAGAGAGAGAGTCTGGAAGCAAGGTGGAGAGCGGGGAGGCCGTTAGTGGAAACAACAAGGTTAACCAGAGAAGTCAAATGACATGTGAGTGAGAGAAGAGAGTGTGCGTGAGTGAGTGTGTGGCGTAACGAGTGCGAGTGCTTGTGAGGCTTACCCATGTCTATCTACTATGGGTGGTGCAGCTAGTCGGTGATTGGAAGGGGCGGGCAGACAGGCATGCTTTCGCCATTTGTGGCTGATGATGGCGCTCCACGCGGGATCTGCCCCGGGGCGATAAGACGGGCGAGCACGAGTGCGAGCAAAAGGGACAGAAAGCAGCCAGGGGAAATGAGGGCGAAGGGGAAAAGGGCACTTGGTGCTTGCTTGTGTGCTTGGGCAGCGGTGACGTCTTTTGCGCCCAAAGGGGGACATGCACAGGTTGCAGGTGCAGGCACAGGCACAGCCAAGTGGGAGAGCCTCGCCGTGGACCTAGCCCCGTATGTAAGCTGTGCGAAGGGGCCGGGGGGTGGTTGTAGTCGTCGTTGGTACTAGCAGTGGGCAATTCTTTTAGGGGATTGATTGCGCAAAGCCAACAAAAATGAAAAAGGCGAGAGAGAGAGACAGAGAGAGAGAGAGACAGACAGAGAGAGAGAGAGAGAGGTGGAATCCGCATTCATGAATCGAAATGCATGCATGCATGCATACATACATGTGGGATGGATTGGCGCACACACAGGCACAGACTCAGACTCAGACTCAGGCATAGGCATAGGCATAGGCGGTGACACAAGACGCATTCACCCGCCGCCGCTGCCATCTGCCCGCCCATCCGTCCGTCCATCCACCCATCCAGCCGCCATGCACCCATCCCCCCATGCACCCATCCAGCAGCCATCCAGCCATACACCCGCCGACGCTTCCACATGACGGGCGCACCCTCTCCTTTGGTCGCTGCTTGCTGGCACTGGCACTGGCGGGCTGCTGACCGTTGGGGCCAACCCCCCTCATCTCTTTTGGCGCGTCCGAGGCGAGCATGCAGTCGAGGCCGCAAAAGCAACAGGCCCCCCGGAAAACAAAAACAGGAACAAAAGCAAAGGAAAAACCATTTCCCCCCTTCATAAGTCGCATCAACAAGAACCGCGGAAGCAACATGAACAACAATAACAGCAGCAACAATACTATGCAATGCAACCGCCATGGCACATGACATGAGGGCTCTGATGCTGGCGTGCACTAGGCGAGCTGGCGTCTGGTGTGTTGTCCGCCGGCGCATGTGGCTTGGCGCGCCTGGTCCTCTGATGCAAGACACATGGCCATGGCCACCACACGCCCACGCCCACGCCCGCCGCAAGCGAGAGTCCGAGAAAGAGAGAGAGCGCGGAAGCTTGCATTGGCCCTTGTGCACTCGTCTGCATGATAGCTATGCTTTGTACATTGCGTCTGTCTGCCGGTCTAGCCTACGCCTACACGCAGCAAAGTGTCGTACATACACCTACAGCATACATACTTGGATGCATGCACGCTCGCCCCTCCGAGTGCCGTACATACATACACCCAGACACATACATGTACATATACACGTGCATACATATTACCTACATACACACCTACATACTACATACACACCTACTTGGATATACTCCCCGTTTCTGTAACAGCCTAAACAGCATTTACACCTACACCTACACCTACACCTACACCCACTATCATGATGCTTATCCTTATCACGACCACCAACCAACAAGCCCCTCTTCCATCGCATAGCATACTATCCATAGGCCCGTCCTCGGAAATTGACCTTTTTTCTGCATGCCCTTGGTTGCCTTTCGATCGCCCTTGCCGAGCCAGCCAGCCAGCCAGCCAGCCAGCCAGCCAGCCAGCCAGCCAGCCAGCCAGCCAGCCCCACCTTTTGCCGTGCCGGCGCGCCTTTTTTTTTGCCCCTACTTACATGGGAGAGATTCGAGGAGCAACCCGGCGGAGGGCAGCTGTATGTACTTAACAGGTATCTAGTGTGCATGTAGTGTGTAGCAGGCAGACAGGCACAGGCACAGGTACCTACTAGATACATGCCCCCCCAAGGGCCATGCATGCATCCACGGCTGGCAGTTGGCGGCCAAGCGGGCGAGCGCATAACGGGCAATTTACGCGTGCCAGGGGGGGCCCTGGCTGAAACAAGGCAGGGATCCCCCGGCTACGCGCAGCCGAGAGCTGTTAGCCAGGTGAGCGCCCGAGAGCGCCAGCGAGCGGCAGAGAGAACGAGTGCGAGAGAGCGTCGGAACACGGCCACAGCCGGCGCCTGCAGTTACATGCAGACGAACACGTCTCCATGCCGTCGCAGGTGCCCATGCAAGAGCAGCGAGCAGCGAGCAGCGAGCAGCAGGCGTGCATGCAAAGCGAGGCGCATCGCATGCTGGTCGGTGGGTAATGTCTCTGGCCGCGTCTGGCGTCGTCGTCGGCTCGGGCATATAGCATTGTGGCTCTGGAGTAGCAGTATGTCTAGCAGCAGCAACACCGCCGCCGCCTTCTTTTGCAGCACGCGGCGGCGGTCGATGCTTTGGCGGGCTGGTTTTATGACGGGCCCCTGTCAATGATGTGCATCTGCTGCCTCCTTTCCCACGCCATAGCCTTTACCGAAATTGCCAAAGACACCAACCTCCGCCGCGCCTTCTCTTCTCTCCACTCACGTCGACCCGCACAACGTCCACGCCGCCACTCATTGCCGCTGCCATCGCTGGATAGCCGGACGTGCTGTCGGGAGCGCGCGCAAGAGAGCGACCACGCCAGAGCCAGCGCGAGAGCAAGAGTGCGAGCGTGAGAGCGACAGAGAGAGAGAGAGACCGAGCCCGCGCCTAGCTGAGAGCCTGCAGCCCGCCCGCCATTGGACGTCAACGTCAACGTCAACCCACGACAGCTGCTTAGCGCTTCCCTCCCCACCCGACCAGGCCAAGCAACCACTCCTCTCGTCCGCCTGCACGCGCATGTGAAGCGCAGAGGGCCCGCATCGCGCCAGCAAACGCCCTCGACCGCGCCCCAGCACCAACGAGAGAGAGCGAGAGAGCGAGACTCCCGTGTCGCGCCCGCCCGCCGCCCGCCCGCCCGCCCGCTGCCCGCCCACCGGCCTGCCAGCCAGCCCGCCAGCGTGCCAGCCAGCCCACGCCATTGCCCTGCTGCTGCTGCTGCTGCTGCTCCCCCAATTGCCCTACCGCCTGCTGCCCGCCCGCCTGCTGCCCGCCCGCCTGCTGCCCGCCCGCCTGCTGCCCGCCGCTCGTCGCCCTCCCTGGCCCCCTTCAAACACACCGCTCCACGCGCCAAAAAGACAGCCGACAAGCACGCACACTAAAAAAGACAAGAAAGAGACAAGGAGCGCGCGTGAGAGAAAGAGAGCAGACCGACCCTGTGCGCGCGCGGTGCATGCCTCTAGAACTAGACGTCCCTCGTCCCCGCCATCGCCCATTCGACAGCTCAACACCGCCAGTTCAAGCCTGCCCACACAAAACGCCGCCAGCACAACCGGGGTCCGCCAACGCAGCCTGCCTGCCCGCCCGCCTGCGCTGCTGCTGCTGCACCCACGCCGTCGCCTCTTCCCACCCAACCCCGCGACTCTAGAGAATGGCCGCCGTAGCATCGCAGCCGCCGCACGGTCAGCAGTACTATCAACAACAACAACAACAACAGCAACCCTCTGCTGCAGCCCGCCCATCGCGACGCCCCAGTAATGGCGCGTCCGCCAGCACGCCTGCCACGCCCCAGACCCACGACTCGGCCCTGAACTCGCCTGCAGCCACCACCACCACATCCTCCACCACCGGCGGCCCCATGGCTCCTCCCAGGACCTCGTCGCACCGCTCCGCCAACGCGGCTCCAAATCCCTCACAGCAACGCGATGACGCATCGCAGTCGCGTCGCCGCGCAAAGGACAGTCCCCGACAACAGGGTGCCTCCGCCCGCTCCCAGCCCACGCACAGCCGCTCCGCCGCGGCAATTGGCCAGCCGCCCGTCAACACAAGCCTGCCCCGCGAGGAGAGCGCCGTCATAAACCGCATCGTCGTCTCCGACACCCAGGAAGACATTGCCCGCGCACAGGCTCGCCAGGCCGACGCCGCCCACGTCTCCTCGGCCGCAGACCTCACCCCCATAACCGGACTGAGCCTGGTCGGCAGCGAGGGCGTCGACGATGGCGGCCGGGGCGCCGGTGGCAAGAGCAGACAGGACCACTCCAAGTCGGAGAATGCGAAGCGATCCAAGTTTGGTAACTACATTCTGGGTCAGACGCTCGGCGAGGGTGAGTTTGGCAAGGTCAAGATGGGCTGGAAGCGAGACAGCCCGATCGAGGTGGCCATCAAGCTCATCCGGCGCGAAACCCTCGGCAGCAACTCGAACCGCCTGCAGAAGATTTACCGCGAAATCCACATCCTGCGCGGCCTCGACCATCCCAACATTGTACGCCTGCACGAAATGGTCGAGACGGAGCGCCACATTGGCATCATTTTGGAGTACGCGTCTGGCGGCGAATTATTCGACTACATTTTAAACCATCGTTATCTCAAGGACGGCCCCGCACGGAAGCTCTTTTCGCAGCTCATCTCGGGCGTTGGATACCTGCACCGCAAGGGCATTGTGCACCGCGATCTCAAGCTTGAGAACCTCCTACTCGACCGCAACAAGAACATCATCATTACCGACTTTGGCTTTGCCAACACGTTTGACCCCAACGACGAGCTCAGCGAGGAGATTGAATACAGATTGGGCGACAAGGAGTTTATGAAGTCTCTTGGCTTGGATGGCACCGATGCGACACGGCGGGGTGACCTCATGCAGACCAGCTGCGGAAGTCCTTGCTATGCCGCCCCGGAACTGGTCGTCAGCGATTCTCTCTACACGGGCCGCAAGGTTGATGTCTGGAGTTGTGGTGTGATTTTGGTATGTGGGGTAGCATGCATGCAAGAGCACGCACTAACAAGACGCAGTATGCCATGTTGGCCGGCTACCTTCCCTTTGACGATGATCCAGCGAACCCCGAAGGCGATAACATTAATCTGCTGTACAAGTACATTGTGTCAACACCGCTGACATTCCCCGAATACGTCACACCACATGCGAGGGATCTTCTCAAGCGAATCCTTGTACCCGACCCACGCAAGCGTGCAGACTTGTTCGAGGTGGCACGGCATAGCTGGTTGGCCGATTATGCCCATGTTGTTGGTTTCATTACCTCGAGCAACACGAATGCGGCCGAGGCTCAACAAGCGTCTGTCTATTCGAGTGGGTTTTTCTTCTTCTGCCTGGCCGACACGCGTGCTGACCCTGTACTAGAAGACACGTTCGAGCCGCAGCCCGCGCTCGCAAGAAGCGCCTCCGTTCGTGAGCCCGCAAAACCACACACAGCCTCGTCGGCCCACGGCGGGCTCCAGGCGAAGCGCGACCAGATCAACCCTGCTGCCGAGAAGCCCAAAGCAACCCGCGATACCAAGCGACGAACCGTCCAAGTCGAATACGTTGCGCCGTCGTCGCAAACGGCTCGCGGCGAGGCGTCGCCTCCTGCGGAAGCAGTACCCAAAGTACGCGCAAAAGAGCCAGCAGTACCGCCAACGGATGGCTACCAATCCGCCACAAGTGCCCGGCCCTCGCGCTCATCAGGCGCCGTCAACACTGCGGCCAGGAAACAAGAACCTCAACGATCTGTATCCGACTACTCGGCATTCGGTAATGCACCCCCGTCTGCTACTCGTCCTTCTACCAGTGGTGCGCTAGGCGCGTCAAGGTTGCCCTCACGAGGAAACTCGTACGGACAACCCTCTGTTGCGACGGTGGCTCAAACAAACGCCGAAGGTCGCTTCTCACAACCCAAGAGCAAACAATACTCCATCTCCACGCCTTACACACAGCACGACTCGTCCGAGGCGGCCGAAGCGCCCAACATTGGCCAACCGAGCGCGCAACGGGCGCAGTCGATACAAGCGGGGCCGCACAGCACAAAGGGTGGGCACAGGCGTTCCAACACGGTGACCGAGACCCTTGGACGTATGACGTCCATGTTCTCCAGCCGCCAGCCTTCATTTTCTCACGATCCCAAAGCGTCTCTGACATCGCAAGGCTCCTATGGCGGCTACTCCGAGGACAGGAAGCAAAAGAGCTATCCCCCAACCTCCATGGCCGGGCCCATGTCAAACGACAATGTCAGTGCTACAACAGGTCCCAGGCCAAGCATGGAATCCAGTCGTCGCACCTCTTTTGGCTTTTCCCGGAAGAACAATGCAAGCAATGGTGAAAACCCCAAATCTTCGCGCCGCTTCTCCATCATCCCATCGTCGCTGTCCAGAACCTTTTCGTCTAATCGAGAGAGCCTACCAGCCCAGTCGTCACACGAGCGCAGCGGCTCAAGCTCTCGCCCTCGTGCTAGCTCACGTCCTGGAGGCATGGGCTTTGGCCGTGGCGGTTTATCTAGGTCTCCTAGTCAGAGTACCCAAGAAAGCAACATGCCCGGTTTTTACGATGGCCAGCAAGACGCAAACTCGAGAATCAGGACACAGCACATGAACGCGGCGGGACCATCATCGGCCCCGCCCAACCAGACGCATTTCAACGGCTACAACCAGTCGGCCCCAGAATTCGATGAAAAGTTCCCCAATCCCCAAGAAGCCCATCCAGCTGCTCAGGCAAACCGTCCTTACCAACAGACGGCCGACGACTCGGATGGTAGCGACAACCACACGCCTGGCCGCATGTCACAATCTCAGCAATTCAGCCAGAGAACGGCGTCCAACCCCTACCCGCCAGGCATGGGCGGTGACGACTCGAGCCAGCAACAGCAGAGAAAGGGTGTACTGCAGAAGAGCAGGCGTTTTGCAGACGCCTATGAAGAGCAAAGCACTGGAAACAAGGGAAGCTCGGGTAGCTCTAAGAAGGTTATGGATTTCTTTAGGCGCATGGGCAAGCAAAGGACGAGCAGCCGCTGAACGACTTTGGACAGGGGCGCAGGGTCGGACGAAATGAGACTTGAGTGTTCGGCAGTAACAAGCACAGCACAAGACCAACAAAGCACTAAACAAGAGAGACAATTGCAAAGTTGAAAACAACAGAGTTTTGGCATGAGGACGGTTTTGCGTTGCATTGCTTTGCGTTGCCCTGTTTGTTGTTGTTGGGTAGTCTTTTCTCTCGCCTTTTGTTTTTTTTTACTTCTTGTTTCTTTTTTTTGATTTTTTAATTATTGCGGCTTTACCATCATCCATCTCCTCCCAACCTTTTTTTTATTTTGAGCGAGAGACAACCACACACACACAGAGAGAGAGAGAGAGAGAGAGGGAGAGCGAGCGAGAGAAAGAAGAGTTATTATGTTGTTGTTGTTGTTGTTGTTGTTGTTGTTGTTGTTGTTGTTGTTGTTGTTGTTGTTGTTGTTTTTTGCCACCACCACTACTACTACCACTACTTACTACTTACTACCTCTACTACCTATACCTCTACTACTACTACCACCAAATTTAGGCGTGCTGGCAGCGTTCGCTTCTTCTTCTTCTTCTTCCTCTTCTTCTTCTTCTTCTTCTTCTTCTTCTTCTTTTTTTTTCTTCTTGCCTCTTCACATATACACGTACACATATATGCACAGAGAGAAAGAGAGAGAGAGAGAGACAAGCAAAGAGAAAGAAGAAGAAGAAGAAGAAGAAGAAAAGAAATAATCACATTTTCTTTTTTGGGGCTGAGGCGGGGTGGAGGGGGGGGGGGCTCAACTTGCCAAGGAGACCAACCAAATTAAATCAAGCCAATCATAGTATCTTCTAGTGTGGTTGATTTTCTGAAATTTTTTCTTGATTTTTTTTATCTAGGGCTTTTTTTGGGGGGGGGGGAGCTTAAACAGGCGCATTTTTTGGGGGAGGGGGAGGGGGCGTATTCTCTTTCTCTCTACAGCAACTTTTTTGGTCTTGTCTTCTCCTCCTCCTCCTCTTCTTCTTCTTCTTCTTCTTCTCTGGTGTGGTCTTTTCTTCTCTTTTTTGCCTATCGCTTTATCTTACTCTTACTCTTACTCTTACTCTCGCTCTTACTCTTACTCTTTATTCCTATTCCTATTCCTATTCCTATTTCTATTTCTATTTCTATTATTTTCTCTTCCTCTTATTATTATTATTATTATTATCTTCTTCTTCTTCTATTTCTCACGATTTCCATCCATCCATCCTTTTTTGTCTTCTTTCTTTTTTTTTGAACGCAAAGTCAAGTCATGGCAAGTCATGGCAAGTTTAGTCTCGGGGGTGTGTGTGTGTGTGTGGTATAACTCACGTATCATAATACATCGCACAACAACAACAACGACAACAATAACAATAACGAAATTTCAAACACGGACTCCTTTTCTAATCATTTTTGCTGGGTTACACATATAGATGGAATGAATAGAGTTTGCGTGTTGAGTTTGCTGTCTCTCTCTCTCTCTCTCTCTCTCTCTCTCTCTCTCTCTGTGTGTGTGTGTGTGTGTGTTTGTGTTTCAGGTAACTCGGTAAACGTGATTATAAGAGTCTATGTTTGAAATATATTGCCTGTATTTCTCTCTTTCTTTTCATATATAATTTTTCTTTCTTAGATACGATTTGCTACGTAGCTACTTGCTAGTTGTTAACGGCCTTTTGCTTATCCTATCGGTTCCGAGGGTATCTACATGTATTTCTTGTGCCTTCTTTAGCTCGTCTAGTCTTGGGCCTGTCGTAGCTTACGTACGTCGTGCTGCCTCGCCTCGTCTTGTGTTGTTCTGACTTGTCCTGCCTTTTTCCAATGTGTCGGGTCGTTGTTATGTCGGGATTCCACTGTGTCGTATTGATTGTCATTTTCTTGTTCACTGTGGGGTTTGTTCGGTCGCTTGGTGGCGCTGCGTTGGGATGCTAGTTGACTAGTTGTTGTTATATCACACACACACACACTTGTATAGATAAATACGTACTTGGGTATATATTGTACTGCTGTCGCGCGGATATATGCGATAAGACGTGTTTTGCGTGTATGTGGGGTAGGCTGGGATGGACTACTTGGTATATTATACTATACTATACTAGTTGTTGTATTGGATATATACCATGTGCGATATGCTTCTTGCTACTTACTACGTACTATATACTACGTACTACTCACCACTCATCACCCACTATTTACTATTTACTGTGTACCGCTTACTACTTATTCTCTACCGCTTCTGTAAGCGTAACCTTGATATCTGTACACACTTGCACAAGTATACGCGTAGGAGGGTGAAGGTAGAGACGCGGGTTTGTTTCTAGGGTAGTAGTTGTTGTAGTAGCAGTGGTATGTACGTATGTACGGACTGGGATAGTGAAAAGGGAATAGGAATTGGTGGGATAGAGACGAGAATAGGAAAAGGGGGAGAGAAAGATTTGTATTAATTCATCGTCAATTGGGTATTTAGTTAAACTAACCCAAGTCAAGTGATTCAAGTGAATCGAATAATTATTCTATGCTACATTTTCATTTCCATATATCCATACTTCTTCTATCTTCCGCTCTGCCTTCCATCTTAGCCTTAAAATCCCATTTCGACTTCGTTAGCTTATGAATTCTGTCCTATTCCTCTTAATCTTGTTTCTCCTCTCCCTCTTATACTGCAACCTTTCTTCGATCCCCTTCTTTTTTCCATTTATACAATTCTCCCATCTTACTCTGACTCTGACACTCTTTTTCTTGTAGGCTTACTGTGGATGAGAATAGCAGATGGAAACCTGGTTCAGGTGATCTTTGTGTTGGATCACTGCTCAAGAAAAGAACTCGAGCAGGTCGGCTATATATACTGTGAGCTGCCACGCTAGTCGTAGTATAGTAGCTCACGTAACAGAAGGAAATAGTGCCAAAGGCGCTTGGCAAAGCAGTATACGGGTGCCCGATACTCTCTCTTCTCTTCTCTTCGCCATCGACGCTACCATTGTCATTGCCACTATCACTGTCAGCGCAATTCGTTACACTATGCTATGCTGCACTACACTGTGCTCAGCCTTTCTCAATCCAGCCTATCTAGTCTAATCTAACTTGCCTTGATTGAATCAAATAGATAGAACCAGGTGTGAAACTTTCCCTATCCAATCTCCCAATAAACAGCTATTTCCTTTCTCTTTCTCGAGATATCACTATTCTTCTCAACTCCCATTAACCTCAAATAGTATATGTTCCACGTCTTTAGGATAAACGCTACACTCCTCCTTTTCCTCCTCTGTCTTTCAACACCATCCCTACAAACAAAACATGTACCTAATTATTCCTCTACTCTACCCATACTCTCCTCTAGCATACCACTCGAGTCCCGACCATCCAACCCCAGTTTTCCCCGTTCAACTGCCGTAAAGTAAGTTATATTAAACATGATTAAATCAACCTCAATCAATCCTCTCTACCATCCATCCTCCTCATCCTCTCAACATGACGCTAAAAAAATACCAAACTAAGACTAACACTGGTTACATATCCCCCACCCCCATCCAGCCTCCTATACACACTCTACTTTTCTCTACCTCTCTATATACAACTCCCTGTCTGCTGTTAAATCTAGCAATCTTCGCTATCTATCTATCAATCTACATGATAATAATAATAATAATAGTATAGGACTATAGTTATACTACATATGTACATAGGATACCGACTAACGCACTAGCCTAGATAGCGATTACCAAGGAACAAATAAGTGTATATATATGTGTGTGTATGCGAGGGAGAGAGAGGAAGAGAGAGAGAGAGAAAGAGAGAAAAAGACAGACGGGATAAAAAAACAAGGGAAACTTGAATAACTCCCCCTCTCCCTTCCTCTCTCTCTCTCTCTCTGCTTTCTTTACTCAACTAATCCTATAAAAGTTGCATATCTAAACATTGCAAATACATCGTATTACACAGTCTTGTGCTGCTGGTATGCTCCAGGTAGCAGTTTAGATATTCAGCTGTAACGGTATACACAGCAACTGTACCGTGGGGTACTTTGACGAGGCGGCGGAATGCGCTTAGGATGCTGGGACAAGGAGATGACTGTATACTGTGTAAAGGAGAGCAAGGGTAAGAAAATGAAATCGTTTAATCAATTACACATGGTTTTTTTTTACAGTAGAGCATTTGTAATTAGATGTGTGTGTAAAAAGTGAGTAGGAAGACGCAGATGTAAAGAAATAAATAAATAAATAAATAAATAAATAAATAAATGGGCATCGTAGAGTACATACTTGACAGCATACTACACATGCTAAACGCACATCTGACAATGAGGGGATCGATTCAAACACGCTACCAAAATGACACCATTCTATAAATATGGGTATCACCCTGTAATACGGAAGTGCCCTGCTCGCTTTATTGATGCTGCCAAACCCCCCCTTTTTTTTCTACATGATAAAAGCCAAATCCGCAAAATGCCCGTCTATATCCCATCCCACATGCTGAACAACAGTACCAAATTGAGAATACGGCTGATGCCTTACGAAGGAGGCAGCTGACCGCCTTCCTTTGTCTCGCCGACAGGAAGAGCGGGCTTGGTGCCACCTTGCGAGTTGAGGAAACTGAGGTAGCAGTTCCATCCTAAACATGAAAAGTTAGCTTTTGAAAGCGGTACTCACAGAAGAGACATACCAAGCGAGATGATGTTGACGACCAAGACCCTCATCTCAGCAGGGACATACTTGAAGTTTGTGAACTGGACAAAGGGCCAGATCATCAAGTTCTTCTGGTAGCCCGGGAGATAGGCGTCCTTGAGACGCTGCACGGGCGAGTTGCCCTCCATGTAGGCCATGCTGGACAAGAAGAGGGCCATGTTGACGGGCGCGAACAAAAACTGGTCGCATGCCACGCGCGCGACAATGGTGCCATTCTTGGATGGCAGGTTGACGCGGCGCACGAGGAAGTCAAACCATTTGGTGGCTGCGGGGCCGAAGATGCCTGTACGATACTCGTTAGGCGATGAGATAAGAGCGTGGGGGTGTCGTTGCAGCGGAACAGGGAAAAAAAAGGAGAAAAAGCAATGGGCTTTGTCGGTGAGAAATGCGGCGCGAACACGTACATCCTCCATAGAGAGCCATACGGCCTGTCCGCATCAGGTCGTGCTTGTCGAGACCTCGTCTTTCTACTCCCTGCTGTGCCATTGTGTCGCCTGTTGCGAAGAGTACCTATCGCCTGTCAGCGTCATGCCATTCCGCCATTGCTTTGTTTGATCCAATTGCAGATGTGGATGCCGAGTGGGCATTCGTCGGCATGCCTTCCATCATGGTTTTTGTATGTGCGCGCGCGGGGACTTGTACGACGGCGGGGAGGTTGGATGAACGAGAGACTGCATACCGCGGTGGTGATACTCTGCGTCAGCAGCGGGGCCGTCCTGAGCTTTGCTTGGTACCTGTTGTCTCTCCATCAGCGTCTACTCAATGGCTGCTCAGCGATGCGTGCAGTCGGACTTACCAGCGGAACGCCATTGTGGAATAGGTGTGCAGCGAATTTGCGTCGGGCCTTGATTGGGGTATGCGAAGGGTATATAAATAGTGCGGAGGCGACACAAAGTAAAAGACAAAATAGTGGAGAAGACCGAGTGTGCGAGAGAAGGAGAGAAAAAGAAAGTCAAAATAATACAGAAGGATGGTTTGGTAGGTTGCGGGACCGATGATGTCGTTTAGTGCAGCAGGGTCCGCGCCGCACATGGCGGTCGGGGAACTTAGCTTGACCCCTGATCCCCACTTGCATGCCCATGCTCGACGAAAAGTGTCCAGCTGATGTGGCTGGATAGAGTTCGGTAAGCTGGTCTAGAATGTTTATGCTTGGCGAGCATTGTATATTGCGGAGTAAGGGGATGGGGGTGGCAGAGGCGCTGAAGGGGAAGGTAGACCGGCAAGAGGCTCAGAGTTTGGAGTGCAAGGAAGGATATTTTGTTCTAGAAAAACTCTCCATCTATTTCAAGGCCAAGCCTTTGGTTTCAGAAGAAACAGGCTCGGTGAATAAACTTTGTTCTTTCGCTTTACCGTGCACAAGGATATGTGAAGCTCCCGCGCTCGTTGTACAACGATCAACAACGAAGTGGATGTCAGGCAAACCAACAAGAAAATCTGATGGTAAGCACATGAGGCCATTTTGTTCATGTACGTTTTGATAATATCAATTCTTCAAACGAGTATGCGACACGTGCCGGGGTGCATGGCACATATCAGTGACTGGCTGATGGCGAACCCCAGACATGGGTAACAGCACTAGCAGCACTATCCGTAGTACCTTTGAGAATTGCAGCAGTGATAGTGGCATGAATAAGGAAACATCGTTTGCTTTGACAACATCATATGCACCTCACTATTGAACATGTTTGATATTGTGGTATTTCACAGCTACTTGCAAAAGTAGTGCCAGGATAGCAATGACAGGAATGAAGCAGTAAAAATCATAACTCGATCCGATGCCGCGCTCGTCTGTTCTTGGTGGGGTATAGTATGAACAGACAACTAGTTACAAATGCCAGACCAATAGTGTACAAAGGGTCTCTGCGTGAGCAAAAGAAAAAAAGGAAAAAAAAGAAGAAATTGCGCGGTTGCGGTAAAACTCATCGTACTCTGGTACGACCTCAGATCCCATCCAGACCCATGTTTGTCCCCATGTCGCCGGATATAGCCCAAAAAAGATTTCTAGATGAAAGAACGCCAGGCCCGCTGATGTCATCCGGGTGTGGCTAGAGCTATGCACACAGAACGCGGGTATCCAAGAATTCGTGTCGTAAATTTTTTGCGTAAATTGGGGTATGTAGAAAGGTAATTTAATCAATTTCCATCCGTTGCGCTGGGGTGGGCCCGCTTAATGAGGGCATTTCTGTGCTGTACGGCTTGTCCGTTTGCACAGTCTTGTCATCGTTGACATGGGGCTTGAGGCCCTTGTTGAAGTTGTGTGTGCACACACAGGCCGTAACGATGGTGAAGATGAGCAGCAGGATGGTGAGAATGGCAAAGGCCGTGAGCGACTTGCGGGCGGGCTTGTAATCTTCCTGGCGAGCGGCGTCGGCAACGTACATGCGGATGAGCTTGAACAGGAAGTAGCCCATGGCGATGAAGTAGACGACAATAATGCCCACCATGCCGGCAAACGACTCGCGGCGGACCCACCATCCGGCCAGGAACAAAAGAAAGAAGGTGATGACGAGCGCGGCGGCCGTGAGGGCTTGTTCGACAGTCTTGGTGTTTTCGACCACTACGAGAAATTGGACGGTAAAGGCAAGGAAGAAGAAAAAGTCAAACTTCAAGAGAGCAATGTAAATCTGCAAAAGGTCAGTCCAGCGCTTGCACGTGGGTGGTGTGGATCGGGGTGTACCTGATAGGTCAGATAGCGCTTCTTTAGGCGGGTATCAGCACTGATGCGCTTGTAGATGGTCCAGGCGAACTCGTCATAGAGCTTCCAGGCCTCAAAAGCAAAGACAAGCGTGGCCACGGCCATGAGCACAGGAAGCGCAATCAGCATGGGCTTGACATCTACCCAGAAATCGGGGGGGATGAAGCGGCTGCGGTTGAGATCGTCGGCTGCATCCTTGATCTGGTCGTACTGGATGCCCGCGTACACGAGAATGCCGATGTTGTATAGGACGAGTCCAATGACTTGAATCGTGTTCTTGAGGCGCAGGGCGTCCCATGTCAGGTAGAGCTGGTAGATGTAACCGAACATGAATACGGCCAGGAATGTGGGAATGGTGCGGGTTTCGTTGGCTCCGGCACCTTCAGCGGCAAAGTGAATGTTGGCCTGGAATTTGCCAAAGACATAGCTGTGCGCGTGTTAGCGGCATGCACGTGGGGACTTGGGGCGGCGGCGGCGGTGGCGCGCGCGCGCGCGCAAGGGCGGGCAGGCGTACGATTCTAGAGCCAGTGCGATGCAGACCTGGGCAATGGCCGTGAGCATGAAGGCCCAGGTCCAGCGCGTGTTGGGCATGTACATCCTGGGCGGGCGACGGACGGGCGGCGGCAACGTGGTGGGGAAACCCTCACGGTGGTGATAACCGCCTGGCTGGGTATCCAGGTTGGGCGGTATTTGGTACGTCGTGTTTGCGTAGGGGGGGTAGTTGCGACTGAGGGGTTGGCCTCCTAGGAGGGATGTGCGAGCCTCGTGGTGAGTAATTTTGGCTGTGGAAGCAGCCGCGGGCGGCGGCTGAAGCGTGTGGATATAGAGAGAGGGCTGGCGGGGAGAGTTTTGCGCTTCGCTGGGCACAGACAGGCAGTGGTGCGTGAGTGCAAAGGCGACGAGCGGTTTGTAGGGCTGCCGGGGACAGGTGAGACAGCGGGTGCGCGCTGCGTCGAATGATGAAACCAGACGAGTCGCTTGCGTTGGGGGGCCTCTGGGTAGCGATGGAGTGGGCGCGCGTCGCTGAAACTAGGCAAGTCTTGGCTATGCGGAGAGGCGGAAGGAGCAGCACGGGGGGGCCGAGAGAGCAGGCGACGGGCGGGCGAGGGCGATGGCGCGGGCGAGAACAGGCGCGGCTTGGGCGGCGGGCGGCGGGCGAGCGAGCGGCAGGATGGGGAGAGCGAGAGAGGGAGGGGAGGGGAGGGGAGAGGAGAGGAGAGAACGAGGGATGAGATGGGGATGAGATGGGATGGGATGGGATGGGCTGCAGAATAGAATGGGGTGCTGCAGAGCGAAAGTAGCGCTTGGTAGGCCCCCCCCAGGCCCCGGTGGAGACGACAGCTGGGAAGGCTGACGGGGTCTCGTCGTCGCCGGCGTACGAGCCGCTAGCTGGGCCGGGGTGTTGACGACGCAGTCGCTGGTAATACTGGAGCGGGCGGCGGAGGAGAGGTGGGCTGCTGGGATGTGGGCGCTGGGCGGCTGGGCGTGTGCATCTGGCTTTTCTGGACTTGCAGGCAGCACGACGAGGCGGGCGACGATAAGGCGACGGTGGTGGGTGTGCGGTGGTCTGTGGACAAGAAGCCACACGCAGGCAGCTAATATGTATGCGGCGACGGCGGCCGTCGTGTGGCTGGTCGCATTGGGCAGGCGCGACCTAGCAGCAGCAGCACAGGCGCAGCAAGCAGGCATAGCCAGGCATGGGCATAATAGGCATGGGCGAGGGCATAGGCACAGGCACAGGCGGGCACAGGCGGGCACAGGCGGGCACAGGCGGGCACAGGCAGGCACCGGCCGGCACAGGCATAGGCGTACATACGCCCGCCGCCATGGCAGTGGTGGGCAGCACAACCAGCACGGCACGTGTGGCCATGGTGACTGCGCCCCTGCCCTGCCCTGCCTGCCTGCCCTGCACCGCCCGCCCTGCACCGCCCGCCCTGCACCGCCGCCCATCCACACCCCCAGCGGCACGCCAACGCTCACCCAACGCTCACCCAACGCTCACCCAACGCTCACCACCGAACCGCTCCTCACCCGCCACCCGCCCGCTGATTGGCCTCGCCCCTAGCGCCCCCCCCCCCCCCGGCAAAATTGCAGTGGCAGTGGCGCCACGCTGCAATTATAGCCGCTCCCTGTGGCGCAGGCGCAGTCGCCCGTGGCCCGCCGTCGTCTGGCTCCTCAGCTGCTGCCCAGCCAATCACGCCCGCTCCGTCTCCGTCATACTCGACGCGCAGCCCCCCGGCCCTCCGTGTTTCGACAGAACCGACAATCCGCCGCCAACGCTGCGCGCCATCGTCTGGTCGTGGCCGCGTCTCCAGCTGTCGCCTTCTCGAGCCACACCACGCCCTGCCAGGCATGACGTCCGGTCAGTCGCTGTGCCCATCCCCCCCCCGCGCCTCCCCCACAGCTAACCCGCCGTGCAGTCGACTCCATCCTCCACCATGCCGTCGAGCAGGGTGAGCTCCCCTCGTAAGTGCTCCTCCCCCACGGCCCTCGTCCCGCCCGCCCATTGCGCCAGCTAACCCGCCCGCCTCCAGAGCAGAGTGGCCGAGGACGCTGCAGTACATCCTGCAACGCTTAGACGAGGTACTTCCCGACGCCCAAGCGCGTCGCCCATATCTGACCCTCGTCCCAGATTGTTGCCGACTTCCCCAAGCCGCTCACTGACGCGAACCCAAACCCTCCCGCACCGCCAACCACCGACCTGCCCTCACGGCCCAGCACCTCAAACGCCCTGTCCAGTCAAGAGTCGCATGCCACGGACAAGGAGAACGCCCCACCCGCCACGCCTCCGCGCCCGCCCGTGCCCTCCTTCTCCGCTGGAAACGAGCCTCAGGCCATTCCCTCCGAAATCAACTCGTTCTACACATCCATCCGCACCACCCTCTCCAAGAACTTTGCCAAAGACCCCCCGCACACGATCCAGCGCCTCGCCGAGCTGATCCTCGAGCCCAAGAAACGCTACCGCTTCCTGCCACCCTACCTGCGCGCCCTCGACCGCGTCGTCTCTGTATCCTCGCCCCTTACCGTCTTCCCACTCCCACAGGCCGTCTTGCCCACCGCGAGCGGACTGCTCAATGGCGTCACTCCCAGCACCACACCCCAGCCCGCGCCCCTTGGCTCGGACGAATCACTGGGCGGTGCCTTGCTCACTCCAATTCCCTGGCTGCAGAACCGAGGCCAAAATGAGTTGATCTCGGAGAGTACAGAAATGGTCGATGGACCCAACGGCGCAGGTCGCATAGAAACCGTCACAGTAGGAATGCTGGCCAACGCTGCACGGCCCGAATCCGACTCACCCGCAAATGTGGCCCACATTGCTTCGTCACATCCGGACGGCGAGACGCTGCCATCCACTGGTCCCGTTACTCAAATGTACGCTTACTCAGTCAACTTTACAGATGCCTATGTAGCGGTATACCAGCATATATATAGAAAGTGTAAACTAGAGAAATAAGTCGGGGGGGGGGGGAAATGAAATGAAATGAAATGAAATGAAATGAAATGGACAAAGTATGTATGTGTTGGGGGAAATACGCGGTATATGTACATGGGAGTCGTGTATGCGATGTCGTGGGAGGAAAAAGGGACATGGGTTTGTATGTACATATATATATATATAGGAATGGGAATAGGGAGATAGGGATAGGGATAAGGAGGATGCGATAAGGGGGAAAGAAAAAGAGAGGGTCGAAAAGGGTGGATGGAAAGAAGGAGTTTGGTGTAACAGTTGAGTGGGTAAAATTACGTCAGTATATGGTGTACATGGGGTGATGATTGCATATGATTGTAGCGAGTCAGAAACTAGTAGAGTGCAGAGTGGCATGTGAGTATCTTTTGAATTCATAATTCATCATTAGCAGCTATGGATGGGACATGGCGTGGAGTCTAGAAAATACCGTACGCATGGTGTGGCCAAGTGTGGTGGATCAATGTTGGTAGGCATTCAGCAAGGTCATGATGTTTGCTACATCAGCGGGTGAAAGGGCTTCTCCGTCGCTAGGGGAAGCAGTCGGTGGTGCCTAATCGTCCGACTTCATCTCTACGTCCTTGTTTTCCGCCGTCTTTTCTTCAGTCGCGGCAGCATCCTTGGACTCGGCATCCTTGGCGTGATCCGTCTTCTCAGCTCCCTCTTGACTTGTCTCCTTTACCTTGGCGGCTGTCTCGGAAGAGGCTGACGGCTCTGGGCTTTTATGGTCGAGGCTTGGCCTGCCGATGGCGCCCTCAATGTTGAGCTTGCCTTGCTTCTGGGGCCCGGTGTCTTCCATGCCAATGACCTCGGGACCACGAGCATGTGGAGTTTCCTCCTCGCCCTCAACCGTCTGCATAATGGTGCCTCCGCCCTCCAGCTCACCAAAGGCCGTCTTTGTCGGGCTGGCAGTCATGCTGTGGGGATTGTTGAGAACAATGCCAGCCTCCTGCTCTTGACGTAGGATTTCGCCTAACACGTCTGCATGTGTGTGGATGTGTGGATGTGTGTACAGCATACCACCTGACTCATGCGCATTGCGCCACAGGCCCAATGCGGAAGCACGCGGTTGCATCCAGGGCATGAATATGTCATGTCGCATGTGACTACTACAGACATGTCAGTTATCCTATCCATGTCTGCGTGCCTGTCGTTGTTGGACCATGCGCCGCCGTAGTCTTCTTACACATACACACGTGCAAAGAAAGCAACGGCAAGGGAAGCTGAGTACGTCGGGCATCAAGAACGTTGGTTGTGCTTTTTGCCTACGTATGTGTGTATGTGATGAGATGAGATGTGAGGTATAATGCATGCAATGTACAAAGACTAGTTAGTTGTAACAAGAAAGAATCAAAAAAAGTTGGATTCTAGTGTTGTAGTGTATGTACGATATCCGTTGGTCTAGCCTTGAAATTACCGAGTAATATTTACATGTATGAGTACAAATTGTTCACTTGCTTCCCTGAGCCACAGGCAACAAGCCTCCCTCCTTCTTGGTCGCCGCCTCCTTCATCCTCACCTTGCCATAACCATACACGAGGCCACTGAAAAACCCCAGGAAAATAGCCGTGATGCTACCAAACGTAACGGGCGCACCGAAAAACACAATGCCGCTAATGGCCAGCGGCAGCTTGTTCAGGTAGCCGACAAACGAGTACGTGGTCGAGGATGTCTTGCGGATGCACCACGCCGACGAGTAGGAAATGAAGATTGCGCCGAGCCCCGAGTAGATCATGCCGATGAAGAGGTTGGTGCGGGTTTCCTTGGGGAAGTTCTTGGCGAGATTGGTCGAGGACCAGTCTTCGGTTACGAGGGAGCAGAGTAGCATGATGGGGAGGGAGAGGAGGTTGTTGTAGTACATTGCTATTGTCTTGTTAATTGCTTTCATAAAAAAAAGGTCGGAAAGGTGTGTAGAAAGATGACAAAGACTTACTATCCCAGTCTTTGAACTTCAACGACGTGATAAAGTTCCTTGTGCCAAGGACATAGGACGCAGTGCACACAATGTTGAGTCCCATCCACGCATATCCTGCGTTCAGCGTTGAAATTGCAGCGGCTTTCTCCGATGTCTGGCTGCCGCCGCCCATTGCAGCTTGGATGTCAGCCCACGCTGCGACAATGGAGCTGAGGACCATGAGGCCAAAGGAGAGGAGGAGCAGCGGCGTGACTTTGCCGCCGAACCAGAGCACCTCGCCATAGGCAATGACGACAATGGTGAGGTTCTTGAAGATGGTGTAGACGGGGACGGAGAGGAATTGAAGCGCCTTGGTGCTCGTGTAGATCATGCCGACAAAGAAGATGGATACGGGGAGCCCTGTGTAAACGCGTCAGGTGACTTTGTAGGGGAAAAGCTACCACTGCAACATTTGTAGACGTACATTTCTTGGCTTTTCCGCTTTCAAGCGCAGCAAGGTTTGAAATCGTGCCTGTGCGCTGCAGAACTAGGATTGCTGCAGTGCAAATGGCCGCCTGGTATATAATTGTTAGCCAATGATCCTACTCTTGGAAAGCAAAAGACAGAAAGAGAGCGAGTAACCAACCTGGATAGCCAGATAGAAGAAATTCAGGTTCCAAGATGACCCCGAAACAACGTACTTGTTCACGACCGTCATGCTGATGGACGAAAAGCAGTATGCCAGCACCGCAGCCCCAGAGCTATTTTCAAGCTGCGCAAAAAGACCACCGCCATCTGCAATGTCTTCTTTGCTCGGAGATGTTGCTGTGTCCTGAAGAAACCCGTCTCTTTCGCTGTACTCCTTGTCCAACTCGTTCATCTCCACATCTTCCTCTCTCTTGTTCGACATTGTCTTGTTTTGCCCAGTCTCACACCACACAAACGCGCACGGACAAAATGGCCTAAGACACTACTATGCTCTTTTACAAGCCGCTCTTGTCCACACACAAACGCACCCAAGACCTGGTGACACGTACGAAAGAAAAAAAAGAGAAAGTGACTTGCAGCGAGTGTAGACGCGTAGAAGCGGGTATTGAAAGGGTGAGATTTAACCAAGCGCGTGATTTTAGACATGGTCTCTTGCCGAATGCGGCTTAGCGGCCCAGATAAGCTGCGTGGTTGGTTGGTATTCTTGGACCTCAGCTTAGCCATGCAAGTAACACTGCGGTACTCGTCAGCACCCAATGCAACGTTTCCGCGTACACATACTTATGAGGCGGCGGCTCGGGTGTTTGGTGTAAAGGACATGGGTGGTACCATGCGCCGTAAGGTATAGCACCGCCCCCTTGGATTCCCGGCAACACGACACAACGTGATATCGTGTCTGCGCTTGTATTATAGAGCCAGGCTGTGCGAACAAAAACGGCTAGACAGCCGTTTGAAGTCAAGGTGCTGACGTTTCTCTGAGAACGCGTGCTGTTCCGGCCGCCCAATAAGCAGTTCGATTGGATGGACAATCTTACTTTGCAGACAATCTACCAGACAACCTTAGCGAAGACCCTTTTGGCCACCATGGCTCGACCCGAGCATAAATGCAAAGGCGCGATTGAGGCGAATGCAATCGTCGTGTGAGTGCACAACCAAGTTTCATAATCACTATTACGCAATCGCAAGCTGACCCAGATTGGATGTATGCGCCGAGTCAAGCATAGCGAAAGTATCGCGAGCACGCAGTTGAGCCTTTTCTCTTAACCACGAGTACCCTGCTTGTAACTAGTTGTTTGGACACGCGGGATGCCAGGAAGTATGCAGTGCAGTGGCATGCGACATTATGCCATAATTTTCCCATACGCCGCACTAGCGCATGAATGTCCAGTAGCCCAGCCCGGCTATTGTCACCTCACAGGCGCATGGAGCGGCAAGGAAAGGCGAACAGGATAATGTTCTATACCTCCCCAAGCGAGTATACCCTTGAGGACGGCGAGCCAGTGCCAAGTTCACAGCCGAGAGCAAATCCGAACTGACATGTTTGGGTGTCCTAGTCTTGTTCGAGAACAAAGTTTCGTGCAGATTCATCGGCAGATCCAGTGGAAATGGACATGGAGCGATTGAGTTGTTGACAATAGCTTGCTGTGGCTAACACAACGTCTAACGCGTTAGGGAAATGCTTCTGTTGTTTGTGCTCTTCCAGACTAGTCGGCACGCTGCGTACGAGGCTACAATTACTTCTTCGCGCCTAAGCTGAGCGGTGTGGAGTCCTCTAGGACATGTCGGTCCGTCTCAGGTACACCGCATGCTATCAACGTCTTCTGGCACCTCTCCTTTTGCTTTGACCGGACTTGACCGCAACGACCTGGCGGTCTGCAATGCTAGCTGATAGTTGAGATGCACGCTCGCTTGGGACCGAGATGCTTATCGGCGGCAGACGGATCAACCGGCTGCTCGTGCCAGATCCAAGGTGCTGCGTCTGGCATCGGACGAGAAAAAGCGCATGCCGAGGGGATTAGTGGACAGGGAGGCGTTTGTCTGTTCTAAGAATACGATGCATTCTAGCGAGGCGAGCTTATTGCATGCAGTGCTGGTTCCCGGGGTGGGCCTGCGGCTGTAGCTGGCGAAGATGTGGGTGGTAATGTGTGAAAGGCGCTGCGCGATAGGTGTGCGACTCGAGTTTCAATGGGACAGTGGTCTCGACTGCCACACTCAGCATGCAACGGATTGCATGGGTTGTAGATGCAGATGTAAATGTAGATGTAGGTGTAGGAGTGCAGCTCTGATCCAGGAACACATTCGGGATGCCGATCTGCGCTGCACCTACCGTCGGTAGAATGACGCAGGGAGCTTGGACCGGGGCTGGTCAACCAACCTTCCACACCCAACTATGGCACTCGCTACATAAACATTGACAGTTACACAGCTACGTAGCGCCACTATCGCGCGCCTATTGACTGATAGATTCATGGTCCCCAGCCTCTGCACTGTATCAGACTGCAACTGCTGCTGAGCGTCTTGCCACCGCAATGGATGTCAAAGAACCACTGCTCCCATCGGACCCCCCGCCGTCGTACGAAGATGCGCGAAAGTCTCCTCTGGCACACAACAGGACGCCCTCGAGCGCTGCGCCCGGCAAGCGTCCTCCCCCCGGCCCGCCGCCGCCACTCAATCTGCCCGCGTTGAACGGCCTGAGGGGCTCCAGGGTCGTCCTTGCGAGCAAGTCGCCGAGAAGACGACAGCTGCTTGCGCAGGTACCGACACGCCCGCTGCCTTGCACGCATCCATGTGCTGATCTGAACTAGCTGGGCCTGACCAAGATCGACGTGTGTCCCTCGCAGTTTGCCGAAAACCTAGACCACTCGCTGGGCGCCCTGAACTACGTGCTCGAGACGGCGTCTGCCAAAGCGCTCGATGTCTACAGGACCGAACTCAACAACCCAGAGCGCGGCGAGCCAGCCATTGTCATCGCTGCCGACACCATTATTGTCTCGCACGACGGGCGGATACTGGAGAAGCCGCGGAGTGAGGCGCACCACGTAGGCATGCTGAAGATGCTGCGCGATCAGGGCGAACACAAGGTCATGACAGCTGTGGCGGTGATGAAGCCGCTCGAGTCAGCCATAGACCCTGGCTACGCTATGGAGACACATGTTGAGGAGACAACTGTCAAATTCGACCCACATGGTAAATTGCCCTCTGGGGAAGCAAAAACGGTGCAACTGACACGTGGTAGTGACGGACGACCTTATCCTTGCGTACGTAAGAACACGCGACGGCAACGACAAGGCGGGCGGATACGGCATTCAAACAGCGGGGTCGATACTCATTGAAGGCATACAGGGGTCCTACGACAACGTGGTTGGATTGCCGCTGCGGGCGACGCTCAGGCTCATTGAGAAGGTTATGCAGCGTGACGAGGAAGAGGAAGGAGACGATTTTTTTGTGGACAGCAAAGAGGACGGGGACGAGTAGTCGTGTCAGTTGCGCTCTTTTTGCATCCCTTTCTGGCGGGCCCGTACGGAGGCGTTGTGGAAGCACTGCAGGCAAGTCTTCAAGCAGGATGGTTTACATGGCACAAAAGAAACTCCGCGCACAAACATGATTGCATGGATACTGGGCCGAGGGCTTGTCGGCCGCACTTGATAGGTGACGGTCCCTGCTCCAGTCGGACGGACGCTTTGCTATCATTTTGAGCGGGCTATCCGGAATCTAGATGAGTCTTTGGTCTGATGGAGCATGATGGAGCATGAAGAAGTGATTAACAACGGGTGCTAAGCATGAATTGTCAGCACCTTATTGCAACACTCAGCACTGGTGGACCAGTCGGCTACTTCCAGAGCAGAGAGGGGCGCCTTTGTCGCTGAACCCCCCCATTACCAATCACGCCCCACTTGCCTCGGCTCAGCCTTGGTGCGCGCGACGGGCGCCTTTCCTCAAATGGCGTCATCCCGGCGCGACCCTCGTCATGGGCGTCGTGTCGTCCAACGCGGGTCTCGAAGATTCTGCAACTCGGGCGAGCCCAGACGGCTTCCCCCGTACTGAGGCACTCATCCGATGCCACATCCTGGAGCAAAGTCTCTCGGTGCGTCTTTGCCGGACCCTGCCCGGCGTGCCGCAATACGACAGGTGGCTCCGACATCTCCACGCCAATGATGCAATCAACATCTTTTTTTTCCTCGGCCGTGACTTCATATTGCTAAGCCTGGTGGTAGACTGGCTATATCTAGGCTCGCTGCTGCTCTCTTTTTTCGTCATCATCCCCTCTATCCACCTCCGTCACCTTGCACCACCAGATTTTTGATACCCAGTCCATTTCTCTTCGATACTCACACACATTCACCATGGTTCAGAACAAGGGACTCATCTTCAAGCAGATCCCCGAGGGCTGGCCCAAGGCAGGCGAGCACCTGACCATTGAGGACCGTCCAATTGACCTCAACCAAGACCTCCCCGAGGGCGCTCTCCTCGTCAAGAACTTCTACGCCTCATTCGACCCCTACCAGCGCGGCCGCATGCGCAGCGCCGAAGTCAAGTCGTATGCGCCTCCCTTCGAGCTCGGCAAGCCTATTACCAACCGCTCCATCTTCAAGGTGGTCAAGTCCAACAATGAGAAGTTCAAGGAGGGCGAGACCCTCATCACCATGAGCGTCTCTCCCATTGAGGAGTACTCGGTCCTCGAAAAGGCTGCCGTCGATGCCTGCATGAAGCTCAACAACCCTCACAACCTCGACCCCAAGCTGTTCCTCGGCCCCCTCGGCATGCCTGGTCTCACCGCGTGGTCTTCGTTCTACGAGATCGGAGAGCCCAAGAAGGGCGAGACTATCTTCATTTCCGCAGCATCTGGCGCCGTCGGCCAGCTCGTCGGCCAGCTCGCCAAGCACGAGGGTCTGACTGTTATCGGCAGTGTGGGCGACGACGCCAAGCTCGACTTCATCAAGACGGAGCTCAACTTTGACGACGGCTTCAACTACAAGAAGGAGAAGCCCGCGGATGCGCTTGCCCGCCTGGCCCCCAACGGCATCGACATCTACTACGAGAACGTCGGTGGCGAGCAGCTCGAGGCCGCCATCAACGCCATGAACACGTTTGGCCGCATCATTGCCTGCGGCATGATCTCCCAGTACAACTCCAAGCCCGAGGACCTGTACCCCATCCGCAACCTCATGAACATCATCACAAAGCGGCTGACCATGCGCGGTTTCATCGTCGGCGACCAGAACATGGGTCCCAAGCACGCAAAGGAGCACCAGGAGAAGCTGCAAAAGTGGCTGGCTGAAGGTACCTTCAAGGCCAAGCTCAGCGTCACCGAGGGCATTGACAATGCCGCCGATGGCTTCTTGGGCATGCTTGAGGGCCGCAACTTTGGCAAGGCTGTGCTGCAGATTGCAGACATTACCAAGGAGTAGATTTTTGGATTTGTAAAATGATACCCTTGTTTGGAAAAGACGAATTCCAATCAAACGAATAAATAAATCAAATAGATCAATGAATAAATAGATAAAAGAACATGATATACGAGTATATTGGTATTGAATGACGTCATCGCATCCAACGTGGACTTGTTAGGGAAACTTGAGTATTGTGAATGCAAGTAGTACTTGTGTGATTAATCCACGGCTTTTGCAAAAGCGTAGCTACATACATACATAGTAAGTACATACGTAAGCAAGTAAGACCCGCCCTCCGCTATCGAAGACTGAAACGAAAAGAAGAGAGAAAGTAAAATGGAGAACGAAAACGAAAAAGTAGCTTTGATTGCACACACGTACCTCTAGTCCCCCATTCAGGACATGCATTTAATGTGATTAGACGAAGCAGAAGAAGAAGAAGACCAAAAAAAGAAGGAGGTACATATGAGAATTAAACCCCCCCCCCTTCCCTAAGAAACCCCTCGCAAGAACCCCAAGAAAACTCGATTCCCACTGCAACCCAAGAAAGAAAGAAAGAAAAAACACACAATTTTCAGAACTCTCCGGGAGTTATGGTGGTGGTGGTGGTGGTGTTCGTGCGTGAATTATGCAACTGCAACTGCAACTGCAAGACGCCAATGACAACCGAGGACGATGACGGAGGACGATGACGACAATGACCGCACAAAAAATTGAGATGACACACATAAGAGAAGAGAAATGAAGAACGAGGAATAAAAGAAGGAGAAGAAGAAGTCATCCGGATCGTCGAAAAGACCGGCTAAGAAAGAAAGAAAAAAGCACCTCAGTCATGCAATGCAAGATACGTACATGGAACAAAAGAAGACTTTTCGAGGGAGGAAACAAAAAGGGTGGGGGACTTGAATGCATCAGAGTGGGTGGGTGTGTGGCGTTGTATCGAGTATTTCGCATGTGTGGTTGTGCTGAACCCTCAAGTATGCTGCATGCTGCTTCGAACAGCAGACACAGAAAGAGGGAAAAAAAAGAGAGAGAGAGAGAGAGAGAGCCAAGTCCGTCTTGACGCTGTCTGTGTCAGTGATTTCCAATTACTGCAAAACATGTGTGTATTTACTGACGTACAGTGTCGAGTCAGGCATTCCCCAAGGCATGCAGCACCAAAACAGGCACGATTATTGCCGCGACAAGGCCAACATTAACAGCGATTCCGGCAATAAGCGACATGCGCTTGGACTCTGGCGTGCAGTGGCCGAGCCGGCCTTCTGTCATGGACGCAATGATGTTGTCGCCCAGGAAGCGGAAGAGAATGATGCATGGTGGAAGCAGGCAGAAGGCTGCGAAGATGCGCCATGAAAGTTTGCGTCTCTGTGCCTCGTCTTCGGGGTTGGCTTTGCGCTCCACGCAGAGTAGGTGCGGCGAGTGCTTTTGCGCAATCGTGCTGCGCGTCGGCGCCGGATACATGTCTAGGCTGGGATACGAACTGCGGAGAGGCGTGTTGGTGTCACTGGTCGATGGTCGGCCGCCACCCTCCATGAAGTGCGTGATATGCGTGGCTTGCGAAGATGTAGTTGAGCGAGCATCAGGTGCAAGAAACATGTGTCGAAGTTTAGTCTGCCCTGGGACAGCGGATCGGCTCGTACGGCGCTGGCTTCGTACAAAGGTCGTCGAGTTGCGGAGGTCTTGACGAGAGCCGGCGACCGACGACGCCTCGCGTACTTGCTTCAATGCCTTGGAAGTTGGGAACAGGGCCGTCTCAGAGGACCTTCGGCCACTCTTAGACCGGTTGGGAGGCTGACTGATTCGAGTCACGCTGCCGGTAGCTGGGAATGGCGATGCATAAAACCCTGGGTAGTCTGAACGGAAGCTCTGTCGACCAACGCTCGAGCTCAGCCTCACTCCAGGGCTACTGGTATCTGCAACGCTGCTGCCTGTCTCTTTCATACCCGTTCCTCGGGGCGTGCCAGTTAGGTTGCCTTTTGGACCAACGACAGAAACCTTCTCAAATGTGTTTTGGCGTTCTAGGCCAACAGGGCTGCTTGAAAAGACTCCCTTGTCCTGGGAGCTTGACGTCGGCGTCGTATCATCGTTTTGATGACGCTGATGCACGCGAGACTGACGATCTTGCACCGCTGGTTGCTCGTCGATAATGATGTTATCATTAGGACCAGATGCCAGCAGTTCTTGCGTCTCCTTATCGCTAAAGGCATAAGGATCTGCCCACGGAGCAAAAGCGTACGGCTGGTCCACGGCACCACGTCCGAGGGCTTTTTCGTAATGAGTAGAGTTATGAGCTTCTGGTGTGGCTTCGGAGTCAGATGTTTTGGCTGCTAGCTGGGATGATGATGTCCCGTGTGCAATGCGAGCACTGGAGCGGGGTTTCAGTTCTGGTGGCGACGATTTGAAGGGATGAGAATGCTCAGTCGGGAGAGGACTGGGATGGCTATAGTAGCTTGCTCGTCCTGGCGACTGACTCTGTTTTGCCCAATACGGAAGGGAACCGTCCGAGTTCAACCCGAGGCTGTCTCGTGTCCCTTCACTGCTACTATAGTCCGCGATGCTGTCAAGCGACTCGTGACCTTTCGAGTTTCTACTGTTACCACCGACAGTCTCCCAATCTGCTTGCTCTTCTGCGGCACCTCTGTCACCACCCGAATGTGTTGAAGCTCGATTTGCGACTGTCTTATTCAGCAATTGGCTCCCTGACCTGCGTCTGGACCACATGGCTGGAATCTTGTTGTCACTCTGGTGTCGGTCCACTGTGTCTTGAAACAGTCGCTCAGCCTGATCAAGAGCCTCTTTGGGTGTATGGGGACTAAGAGACTCTGCCTGCGAATACGACGACGATGGCTCAAGCGGTTGGACTTCTGGTTGGGAGTATGATGAAGACACTAGATTCTGCGCCGTAGCCGGCGGCACTAGAAATCCCGAACGAGGAATCTGCAAGAGATTTTGGGTGTCTCCGTAAGAGTAGGCAGATTCGTTGGAGAGTATGCCCGAAAACTCTGGAGAAGAAGAGAAGAAAGGTGGTCGACCATACTCGAAAGCTGGCGCCAGTGGAGGTGCTTCGCACGGGGGAGAACCCGAAGACTGAGCGACGATCGGTCGTCCAGAGAAGCCATTATCAGTGTTTTGCAGCGGGCTTCTGTGTCTACCAAACTCGAGTTGATCAACAGTCGGTCCCTCGGAAGATGTACTCAACGCATGTACAGGAAGACTTTCAGAGGTCGCAGTTTCCTCAGTTGTCCCTGCAGCATTGTGCGGGTTGTAGTCGTCAATGAGTTTACTGATTGTGTCCGCTTTTGGATCAGCCTCATCTGCCAAGTCGTGGAACACCTTCTGGCTGTTGTATTCGCATAGACTTTCAGAATGATGGTCATTCGGAACGTATCTTGCGCCCGCGCTGCTATATCGTGCGAATGGATTGAGGTTGCTGTTGCGATTGCTCGAAAGACTCTGCTCGTATCTTGACTTGCGATGACCGTCTCCAGTGTAGATAGATGAACTGGGATATATCGAGTCCAGATCATCGTAGTATGGCTTGGCCAGGCTACTCTCTTCAGAATATGGAAATTGTGGATCGTGGATCCGGCCCAGTTGAGTAGAAGGGTCATCTGGTACCATTGACACGAGCGGTGGTGTTTCATAGGGCTCTACCGGGTGATTTCGAGAGACCTCGACCTCGCTTGGTCCAGAGGAGAAGGCGTGGTAGCTCTCGTGAGGCAGAGGGCTAGTTGGAGTGAAAGGAGACATTGCGCCGACCGGGAAATATGACGGTTCAGGTGCAGGGGTACGCGAATCAAGTCGTTGTGGAAATTCCAAGTTCACGCTGACTGTCTCCGTGCTCACACAGCGATTATGCATATACCTTAGCTCCTCCTCTTGTGGCTTCTCTGGAGCCTTTCCAAGCTTTTGTGTCAATGTACGGGTAAGACCTTTGAGGGAGAAGCGCGATTCGCGTGCGGGTGTCTTCACAAATAGAGGAGAAGGTACGTCGACGGATTCCGGGCTGTACATGGGAGACGTGTATGACGAAGAAATCGGGCTGAGCGCTGCGGGCGATGGAGGGGCTGGAAGATTCTCATATGACTGGCCAGGAGAATCTCCAGGACGCCTCAAGATACCCGCATGTGCTGCATGGAAATCTCCATACATGGCTCGCTTGGGCGCCATCTGTCTTCTGTAAGTCAAGTCCTCAGTGACACCGAATTACCTTACCTCTGAATATTCATCCACGGAAGTTCGCACAGGAAAGTAGTCACTCGAGTCAAAGTCTCGTGAGGGCGTAACGATATCGTGCAATAGCAGGGAATTGTGGGGGTTCACGAGGTCGAACGAGGCTCCACGATAGTGGATGGTTGCGGGAGTTGCGGGTGGCGTCGTGGGTGAAGTGGCCGTAAATCTAGGTGGGTCTACGCGGGCCGGCTCTAATTCATCTTGGGGTGGTGAAAGCGACGGGTCAATCCCGTGGGGTGGGTGCGGGAACCGTGAAAGCGAAAATGTCGAGGGTGTTGTTTGCGCCCCACTCGAGTTTGTCCGCTCAGTGGACACGCTCAGTGTAGCTGGAGGTTGTTTTTTGGCAGGGGGAGGGGATGTGACTAGGCCTGTGGTGGCAGGCGGTCGTGGCAACCTTTTTCTCGGGTTGAAGTAACGTACCTTGCTCGAAGAGCTGAGAGTTGATGAGCTTGATATGCTACCTGCTTGGCGATGAGGCTCGGTCGACTGCGCTCGAAACGGTAGCTCAGGTCGCGTTTGTTGCTGAGAGGAAAACAGCGTCGATTTGAGTTGGTGAGCCGATTGCGAAAAGTGAAGAGGGCGCGGGGGCGGGCCAGAGTTGGACCAAGTCGAAGGTGGCACCGAAGCAGCGCGATCAGTATCGTTCAAGGTAGACGCTGCAGGCTTCCTGCGAAGAGTCTTTCCTGGTGTCCCCTCTCGCGCAGGTCCGGGCGTGTGTTGTTGCTTGCGATATTCGTGAAGAGTGAGCGTATGAACAGGAGTCCGTGATGAGACTGAAGAGGTGACCGAGTGGTGAGGAGAGTGAACCGGCGTCATGGGGTTGCCAGCATGCAGCCGCGGTGACGCCCGATCAGACAGCCGCGGTGACTGCGAGTAGGGATTGAAGGTCGTCATCTTGCTCATTCAATTGCACTGTGTATTTTGCCAAGCCTGGCCCTGTTGGTAGTATGTCGCTTGTATCAAGATGGACGAGGACTCTTGACTCGCGGTTCGTCGTTTGTCTTTGGTATCGGACCAGATGAGAGCATTAGCGAATGCATTGCGACATCTAGTCCATGGCAATGAACGGAAGGAGCTAGTTCCACTGGCTATGTTGGAGTTTGATCAGTCCTCCATGTTCTTGCCTGTATCTAGGGCGCTCGACTAACCTCAATGGCCTCCGGATGTAGACCCGGTTGCTGTATCGATAACGACTGGAAGATTGCCGTTCCCTTGATCTAGACTGAGAGGGGCGTAGCGACTGACTGTCTTGGCCACTTTTTGATGTGCGGGTAGCTGGATGGAGCGACGTCAAAGGATCGAAGGCATGGGACGACGGTTCGGCAGCAAGGGCGAAAGCAGTATGGAGAGATTAGGATTAGAAGCGATAAGAAAGAAGACAAGGCTATGATAAGTCTACGGGCCGAGAAGAGTAAGAGGAAGGAATGCTGCAAGGCAAGAGAGCAGAAGTCACGATGCTTCTACCGGGTACCTGGAAAGGAAGACGCGACGGCAACAACATCAGGAGGAACATTTTCAGAAGTCCCAAGCCAGCCCTAGACATGGGGCACGCCGAGCAGTCGTCATCTCAGCAGACCAAGCATTTCCACTGCATCCACACGTCGTGCCATTGTTGATTACACCCATAGGGCGATGCGGCTTTGTGGGTGGTTGTCGATTGACCAACCCCGGTCTAGCGCAGTATTGCCGCCAGCCAATCAAGTCCCGCAGCCTCCTCCAGCCCTGAAACACCGCACACCACCATCGAGCATCCATGGCCACTGGATGCATTCCGCTGAGTGCTGCTAATATCTGTCATCTCGTTTCGATGCCGGGTGCTCGGGACGTCCAAGCGTGCCGAGTCCAATCAGCCACTGCTTCTTGTTGTCATGAGCCATTATTGCACCATGCGTGCGATGGGGTTTTACCTCAGCTGCTTATCGAGAGGGCTGTACATGTGGGACCAGGTCTGCAGTAGGTGTACATTCTGACGAGTATGGAGGAGGCGCTGCTGCGTTGCCGGCGAAGCCGCCGGACATGCCGCTAATGTGGCGATGATGCGTAGCCGAGCCGTCCGTCCACTGCGAACTGCGTGTTCGTGGAATGTAGTGCTTGCTGTTGGCTTGCATACCCATTACTATGTATACTCTGGGCTGCGCAGATCCCTGGGCTTTCCCCGGATGACACATCCCTCACGTCTGCTCATCTTGGACTGAGCCGTCCTAATCCTGTTTCGCCGCACTCCTTCAACCGCGTCCGTGACTTTCTGCGTCGTATTGACGGATGCCGTCTTGGTTCTGGGCCACGCGAGGGCGAGTACGAGAAGCGACGCAGCTCAGGACTCGGAGGAAACCGATGATCGACGACAACACGGACGTTGACGTTCTCAGGAGCCCAGACTCGTCGTTCCCGCTGGCCCGAACTTCGGGTAGGCGACTGATTTTCTCTTGGAGACTGGGGAGCATGCCTCGGATAAGAATGGGCGTGATCGGATTCGACGGACTTGTTGTCGTCATTGGCATGATGATCTATGTGGTTAGGATTGCTCTCTCCTTGGCTCGTACCCTGCTACCATTAGCGCAGCTTGCCGTCTTCGGGCCAGAGGAGCTTACTGTCGTCGGGTACACCGTGCCTGGCATCATTACGTACTGATCCAGCGCATGCATCAAGTTGGCAAAATTGTAACCCAGCCCTGGCTGGCTGGGAACGAATCGCTGGCCAATGTCATGGTCAAAGCTGATGGCACAGTTTTGCGATGGCATGTACTCTGCGAGATTGTTGTACCACTGTGGATACGAGCCGTACCAAGCTCCCACGTTGGCTTTCACATTGACAGTCATGTACATGTTCTTGACGTCTTTTGGCTTTTGCACGAGCAGCACAAAATCAAATTCACGCGGCAGACCCGACCTCTGGAGCACGTTTTCTGTCAGCGTCCAGACGGCCTTGGAGTCCTCAAAATTTTGCGTGCCCCCGTCGGGGCCTTGCCTCGACCGCACGGAGCCTTGGATGCTCATCATGTGAAAAACCTTGTAGCTGCTTTGCATGGCGGCCCTCGGATTCACAGAGGCCGAGACGGGTGCCTGAGATACGCCCAACGAGCTCGAGAGGCTAAAGTTCCACTGCAAATTTTCTGGCGACACGGCGCCAAACATGAGCTGCGGAGCATGCTTCAGGATACGTGGATGCGAGCGGCCGGGCCGTTTGTGGGAACCAGAGGCCTCGTCGCCACTGTGCATGCACACTTCGATTTCGGCACTTTTGAAGCGATGGGCGTCCGGGTCGTGTGGATGAAAGACAAAATGCACCGAAACGAAGTAGACGTGGTAGATGGCAGGCTCATGGAGTACGCTAGACCTGTAGTAGCCGTGTTGCAGGCGGTTCACGTGGGCGGAGACGTAGGCCTTCCCAGGCAGGCGGCGCTCGTAGAGGCACTCCTGGTTGACATGCAGGCGCTTTCGCGGGATATTGGGGTCGTCGGGCGCATGCCTGGCGGGCGCTCTGCTTCTCTTGGCGGGCGGATCCGGCTCTGGGTGCTGAGGCTCTTTCTCTTGGTCGCCGCCGTCTCGCTTGAGGCGTTGAACAAGCGAGTGCATCGAAAGTGGCATGTGGGCCGGCGATGATGACGTGCCGGGTACTGTGTGTATGTGTAGGGCTGTGGCGCGGACCGCCAATGTCATCGAAGCGAAGGTCCTGGGCTTGGAATGGGAGAGAGATATCTGGACGCCGTCATGATGGCGAAGAAGCCATGGCTGTATCTGTGTGAGTCGGCGTGGGCCAGACGGGACAAGCTATGGTCCACGCGACCGGCGCGAGCATGCATTTGTAGCGACGTCTGCCATGAGCAGCAGCAGTAGTGTGTATGCCATGGTGAAGCCTGGCTCGATGTAACATGGGCGGGGAGTCAGGCACGCAGCGTGTGGTCAGGCCGGTATGGCCATGTGAGGGCAGAGACAGAGAGGCAGCGGCAGCGGCAGCGCGAGGGGCAGAGGGCGCCGGCGGCCTTCCTTATCAGCGCGAGGGGCATCCTTATCGCCCGCGCCCCCCACCGAAAGCCGCAAACGGTGAAGTGCATGTGGGAGCGCGACTGCTTTTCGAGAAAAGAATCCAGAGGCGCGTCGCATCGCTCCTGTTCCCAAGACTATCTGCGCCCACAGGTTCCAAGGCGCCATGCAGTTGTGTCCCAAGGAGGTGTGTGTGTGGCCGGGCGTACTGACTGCCATCTGGCCGAACCCTGCTGACCATCTCGTAACAGCTTGACAAGCTCGTCATCTCGCAGCTTGGCCTGCTCGCCCAACGTCGCCTGGCACGCGGTGTCAAGCTGAATCACGCTGAAGCTACTGTATGTCAAAGGCGCGCGACAATGCCCAGCGGCTGCTGCTAATGCCATGGCCAGGCCTTGATTGCGAACAACCTCCAGGAAGTACGCCGCTCCCTTGCCCTGCGCGCATAGCCGTCGCATGCTGAACGCCTACAGCTCATCCGCGATGGCAACCACACCGTCGCCGACCTCATGTCGATTGGCAAGACGATGCTGGGCCGCCGCCACGTGCAGCCTTCAGTCGTCTCGTCGCTGACCGAGTTGATGGTCGAGGGCACCTTTCCCACAGGCACCTATCTGGTCACTGTCCACCATCCCGTCTCCACCGACGATGGCGACCTGGCAAAGGCCCTGTATGGGTCCTTCCTGCCCATACCCTCCGACGACATGTTCCCGCTGCCCGACGGGGCCGCATACGAAGACACCAAGCAGCCGGGCGCCATCGTGGCTGTCAAGGGCGAGAGCGGGACCATCAGGCTGAACGAGGGGCGCAAGAGGATCAGGCTGAGGGTCAAGAGCACGGGAGACCGGCCAATCCAGGTACGTAGACGGCGCGCATGGGCGCAATGGTCACGCGACTCATGGTCATAGGTCGGATCGCACTACCACTTTATCGAGACGAATCCCCAACTACAGTTTGACCGCGTGCGAGCGCATGGCTACCGACTTGACATCCCCGCCGGCACCTCGGTTCGCTTTGAGCCGGGCGACACAAGGACCGTCACGCTTGTTCAAATCGGCGGCAACCAGATCATCAAGGGCGGAAACCTCATTGCGTCTGGCTTCATCGGCGATCTGTCCGTCGCCAATGGCATTCTGGAGAAGCTGCAGGCTGGAGGATTCCTCCATGAGCCCGAACCGATGGGCGATGCTGCTCACATTGACATGTGCACCATGGAGCGACAGGCCTACATTACCATGTTTGGTCCGACAACTGGCGACCTCGTCAGGCTGGGCGCCACCGACTTGTGGATCAAGGTTGAAAAAGACATGACCAAGTATGGCGACGAATGCGCATTTGGAGGAGGAAAGACGCTGCGAGAGGGCATGGGCCAGGCTGGAGGCCGATCAGACAAGGAGTCGTTGGATACCGTCATTACAAATGCTCTGATTGTCGACTGGTCTGGAATCTACAAGGCTGATATTGGAATCAAGGACGGCATGATTATTGGCATTGGCAAAGCAGGCAATCCCGATGTCATGGACGGCGTGGACCCCAACTTGGTTGTTGGCGCCTGCACCGATGTCATAGCCGGCGAACACAAGATTATCACGGCGGGTGGTTTTGACACGCACATTCACCTCATCTGCCCACAGCAAGCATACGAGGCTATAGCATCGGGTATCACTACTATGCTCGGCGGTGGCACGGGGCCCAGCACTGGTTCGAACGCGACAACATGTACGCCTGGCAAGACACACATCAAGCAGATGCTGCAAGCGATTGACCAACTGCCTCTCAATTACGGCATCACGGGCAAGGGCAATGATGCAGAACTTCGACCACTGCAGCAACAGGCGGAAGCTGGTGTCTGCGGTCTCAAGTTGCACGAGGACTGGGGGACCACGCCCGCCGCCATTGACGCTTGTTTGACCGTTTGCGACGAGTACGATATTCAGACGCTCATTCACACGGATACACTGAATGAATCTGGCTTTGTCGAGTCGACTATTGCCGCTTTCAAGGACCGAACCATTCACACATACCACACCGAGGGTGCTGGCGGAGGCCACGCTCCTGATATCATCAGCGTAGTCGAGCACGACAACGTCCTGCCATCCTCGACCAATCCTACCAGACCATATACCCGCAACACTCTGGACGAGCATCTTGACATGCTTATGGTATGTCACCATCTATCCCGCAATATTCCCGAAGATGTCGCCTTTGCCGAGTCGCGTATCCGTGCCGAAACCATTGCCGCAGAAGACGTTCTTCATGACCTTGGCGCCATCTCCATGATGTCGTCCGATTCACAGGCCATGGGTCGCTGTGGCGAAGTCATCCTCCGCACATGGAACACGGCACACAAGAACAAGGTGCAGCGCGGTACTCTCAAGGAAGACGAAGGCACTGATGCCGACAACTTCCGCGTCAAGCGATACATTAGCAAGTACACTATCAACGCCGCCATTGCCCAGGGCATGAGCCACCTCATTGGTAGTGTCGAAGTCGGCAAACTCGCCGACCTCGTTCTCTGGACTCCAGCCAATTTTGGCGTAAAGCCAAGTTTGGTCATCAAGAGCGGATTCTGCTCATACGCTCAAATGGTAATTCCCCTTTCTCCACACACACACAGTATATGAATCGACTAACACACGTCCAGGGCGACCCCAACGCCTCGATCCCTACCGTCGAGCCCGTCATCATGCGCCCCATGTTTGCGCCTCTAGTCCCCGCATCCAGCATCACATTTGTCTCGCAAGCATCCATTGCATCGGGCGTCGTGCAATCGTATGGCCTGCGCAAGCGCGTCGAGGCCGTCAAGAATTGCCGCAAAATCGGCAAGCGAGACATGAAGTTCAACGACACAAAGCCGAAAATGAGAGTCGATCCTGAGCGGTATACCGTCGAGGCGGATGGAGAGGTGTGTGCGGCTGAGCCGGCGGAAACACTGCCTCTTACGCAGGCTTATTTTGTGTATTAAATGTGCGTGGGAGGAAAATTTGTGCATTTTTGGCTTGTGTGTTGCTTGATTCTTGGTTGCTTGGTTTCTTGATTACTGGTTATTACTTGGGAGGCTGGCTGTGCATTAAATTGGCAAAAGGAGAGAGAAAGTGGCGTTGATCTGCCTCTTGTTGTATGAATGTTATGAATGTTAGCGTTTTGTGTTGATGCGTATTGGTGGTTTGCATGGCCTGGTGATGTAATAGTAACTCTAGTTCTATCCAAGTAGGTATCTGCATACTTTTACTACATACGTTGCATACATGGCACTGCCTAATGACCTCCTACAGTATTGTATGTGTTGTGTGGAGGAAGATATCTAGTCCGTTTGATGGATATCCTCGTACAATGTCCATACTACTCAGCATACATACATACATACATACATACATACAAACTCTCTTCGCATTACATTACACATCCATCCCGCGTTTCCCACTCCCCCGCATCGTACGATTCTCCCGCTGTCTCGAGTCAAACCTAGTCTTTACAAGTCATTCCACTCCACTCCACTGCACACATACACACACGGGACGGGACATAGTTCATGTATCTATCTATGCAGTGCGTGTGCGTGTGGCTTTATTGCGTGTACAACTCGCCCGCTCGCACACACACACACACATATATATATATATACACTAAGGCATTTAGCTCTTGTGTAGTATACCTGCTGCTTTTATCTACATAGTACTGTGTTATATCATGTCATGTCTACAGCACAGTAGTAAAAAAAAGATTACAGTATGAAATTCGACATGTAAAACAGAAGCGGGGGGGGGGTAAAAGGGGGGATTTTGAAGATAGGCAGTTCGTTGGAAAAATAAAAAAAGTTTAGGTCGTAAGGACAAAAGAGCAGAGAAAGTTTGGTCCAGTCTTTCTGTATGTATGTATGTATGTATGTATGTATGTATGTGCATAGCTGGGTAAGTGGGCTAGTTGGGTGAGTAAGTAGCTAGGTAGATAGGGAGTTAGTTAGTTAGGCAGTCAGTAAGTGTCTTCGACCTCGCAAATCTCAAATCTCAATCTCGATATTCAGACCAACCAAAGTCACTAAATACGCAGGGCCCAATTTTAGACTTAAAATGCACATAAGTATCGATAGCTGTATACTCATCACCGTCATCATCATAATCAAGCAATACACAATCACCAAACTCCGTATCTCGCACTCGCCTCCACCATCGGGATGCATGGCCTTTCCCCCCCCTCTCAGCCCAGAGGTCCGTGCCCCACTCGTTTCCCCGACCGAACAAAGTGGGGAGAGAGAGAAAGAACCACCACCACCACCACCACCACTAATACCTTTCCGCCGGCAAACAAACAAACACAGTGTGCCGCCGCCTCCCCCCAAAGAACGGGGCCGGACAATCCACTTGTCAAACTCCCCCCCCCCAAGACGGACCTGTCTGTCTTAGCTGCTGCATCTTTGCACCCGACACATGGCGCTACAATTAACATGGGTGCGGCTGAGCTTCTTCCCTTGTCTCTCTCTCGGTGTCTAGTGTAGGGAGTAAGGTGTGTGTTGGGATTGGGGGTGGGAAAGCGGGTGCGGGCGCGGGCGCCCGTTGAGTGGGGACCCGGGGATCCGAAGCGGTTGACGTGCGGCGGGGGGGGGGGGGGGCGAAGGCTCAATGGCGCCTGCGTCGCGGCGGGCGGACAGTACGAGGCATGGCGGGCGGGACGTGAATCAGGACGCAGCAGACTAGGACTTTGTAGCTATCGGACATAGATATAAAATGATTGCGAGGTGGTCGGTGTTTGAGGGCACTTCAGTGCGGCTGGTCTTTGTCTTGAGTGTATATATATATATATATAAATCATACCGGAGCAAGACCAGATCCATCACAACAAGTTCAGTCATCATGTTTGAGAAGAACAAACTTCAGCCTACCTTTGAGGGTGTGTATGCGTGTGTTTGGGGGTGTGTATTTGTGGCTAACGAGGAGCAGATGTTATGGGGTGTCAGGCAGCGTGCTATGAGTGGGCAGACAGCTACGATAGCAAGGTGAGTTAGAGGCATTGATGGTCACTGGCCAGGTTCATGGCAGCAAAAAAATAGAGGCTCACAGCAACACACTGGCAGGACTGGGAGCGTCTCCGCAAGTGCGTAGCGCCGACACTGCGCATCGACTACCGGTCGTTCCTCGACAAGATATGGGAGGCGATGCCGGCCGACGAGTTTGTGGCCATGGCCTCTAACCCGGCGGTACTGGGCAACCCGCTGCTCAAGACACAGCATTTCATCGGCGGGACTCGGTGGGAGAAGACGGCCGAGGACGAGATGACGGGCTACCACCAGCTGCGGGTGCCGCACCAGCGGTACACGGATGAGTCGCGCAGCACCGTGGCGGTCAAGGGCCATGCGCACAGCTTCAACACGCACTGGTACAAGAAGGTCGACGGCGAGTGGAAGTTTGCGGGGCTCAACCCAGACATCAGGTGGTATGAGTACGACTTTGATAAGGTGTTTGCCGAGGGCCGCGAGCAGATGAGCGAGGCAAAGGCGGCGGCTGGGATCCCGGAAAAGGCCTAGATGGCTCGGCCCATGGACGGAGAGGGAGAGGGAGAGAGTGTGTGTGTGTGAAGAAGAGCGATGTAGTTATGAATACGAAACGATGCGAGCAAGCGAAAGCATGTGCTGGCCAATGTGTGCATGTGTGGGCGTAATCAAGTCGACGTGTAATTGGCAGAGCATGGCTGTGTACAAGGGGTCCAGGGATCGGTCCACAGGACTCATTCTTCTGCCAGGCCAGGCTGGTTGGGTGTGGTGTGCAGCTCTAGCCCAGCAAGCGGTGAGACGAGCGGGCGGCCATGGAGCTGTCGCCATGGATGCGCGATTCGGCGGGCAGCATCTGGCTGGGCATTGGCGCCGCGATGGGCCCCCAGGTCGATGCAGGCTGACGAGGGGCGGTCGTGGCCGTCGAGGCATAGCGGTAACGGCGGGCGGGGGTGGGAGTGGTGGGAGTGGTGGGAGTGGTGGTGGTGGTGGCAGTGGTGGTGGCAGTGGTGGTGGCAGTGTCAGTGGTAGTGGTAGTAGTGGCCGTGGTCGTCGTCGTCGTAGGGGTATACGGTAGCGGTAGTGGTAGCGGTAGTGGTAGCGGTAGTGGTAGCGGCCGGCATCCAAACCCCCTCCCCCCCCCGCATACTCTTGATACATTCCTGCCCACGCCCAGCACGGCTCCCGCTCTTTGCACAGCTCCCGCGCTGCTGCCCATGCCGCCAGCGCCCATGGCCAAGTCAGTCCCAGTCAGTCCAAGTGTTGAGCTGCGCGTCATTGTGGGCAGGGGGTGGGCCCAGCGAACAGCGACATGGCCCAGTTGACGCACAGGAGATCGTTGTGGCCACGCAGCCAATCTCCAGGGCCTTTGATCGGGTCCATGTTATCCTTGTATCGATCTCCCAAAGCTTGTGTCAGCCCAATGGCCGCTGTTCGTGGCGCCATCGCTCCCCTCGTCTGCTGCGTCGCTACCGAGCGGCGCAAACTTAGCGGATTCTCTCGGCAGCACATCATCTGCCCTCTCTGCTCTTCTATTACCCCACCCACCTTCTTCCCACACACTTCGAATCCCTCGCCTCTTTGTCCGCTCTTCCTTCTGTGATTCCCTTGCGTTCTGGTGTTTGGATTCGACCTGTTTCTCTCCTCCGCCCGACCCCACCCGGCCTCTCTTCTCTCTCTCTCTCTCTCACTCACTCACTCACTCTCTCTCTCTTCCTCTGTCTTCCTCGCCACTCCCCACCGAATCCCGTCCGTCTCCTCTGTGTCTGTGTGTCCTTGAGCTTTGTCGGTACGTATCTGCATTTCGCACGCACAATATTTTTTTTCCCTCCTCCCTCGCCTTGGCGCGAGCGGGCGCCCTGCACACCGGGTGCATATCGACCAGGCCTTGCGCACATTGCGCGCACAATCAATTGGGAACACGTCCGCCCTCGTCTGCTCGCCCGTGTGCGCGCACCGTCGCCCGCTGACGTCGTTGGGCCTGCACGGACTTCGTTCGCGTCGTCGCCAAAATATCGTCGCCCAGCTGAGGGCGGAGCCGCGCTGCCCATACGCTGCGTCTGCTTGGTGTGGATGAATTGTGAGCATGAGCTTCATGTTCCGTCGTCTTCATCGTCGTCGTCGTCGTCGTCATCATTCTCACCATCACCATCACCATCACCATCGCACGCCCGCCCGCTCGCCTGCGCCCGGCCCGGCCCTGCCCACCCCTCTCCCCGCATGCCTTGGCCCATTGCCTCCGGCCTGCCTTCTTCTGACTCTCTGCACAGATTGCATTCGAGCCTCCTCACGGCCACTCGTTCACTACACCCACCTGTCCGCTCCTTGGTGCGCGATCCGGTCGTCCTCTGTCGCCGCTTTTTCCGAGTGTCTCCTAGCTTATTGGGCTCGTTCCTTGGCTAAGCAGCCTTTGCGCCTGAACCCACCACGCACCTCTGCAGGCTACGCTTTCCTCACCGTGACAGAAACGAGTCCCGCTGCCCACCGGTAAGTGCGCGCTGGGCCCCTTTGCCCCTATCCCTGGCCTTCACCTCGCGCCCGCCCGCTGCCTAGTCCATTCCTGCGCGCCCATTCACCGACGCTAACCATTGCTTTTCGCGCCCAGGCATATAAACGACTCTTACACTTCTCCATCATAATTACAGCGTCATACCCTTACTCCCCACCTCCGCTAGCTCAATCGAATTACCCCGCTTGATCTATCCAGCATGTCTTTCAACAACGGCTACGGCGACCAGTTCCAGGGCCCGCCCCAGGGCGACATGAACAACCCAACTCCACAGCCCGGCGACATGGGTCAGCCCATGGACACGTCGGGCAACGGCTTCCCGCCCCAGGGCAACATGGGTCCTCCAGGCAGCGCTGGTGGCGATGGCCAAGGCCAGGGCGCCGGAAAGACGACTCTCTGGTGAGTCCGCGCATGCGCGCCCTCCCCGTGGCCAGTAGGCGTGCATTGTTCTGACTGCAGCACAGGATGGGCGAGCTCGAGCCCTGGATCGATGAAAACTTTGTCCGCAGCATCTGGTACAACATGGGCGAGACGGTCAACGTCAAGATGATCCGTGACAAGTTCTCCGGGTAAGCATTGGGCTGCAACAACCAAAGAAAAGTCATCAGGCTAACTACCGCATAGCAGCAATGCTGGATACTGCTTCGTCGACTTTGCCAGCCCCGATGCCGCGTCCAAGGCGCTCAACCTCAACGGCCAACTGATCCCCAACTCGAACCGCCCATTCAAGCTGAACTGGGCCTCTGGTGGCGGTCTCGCTGACAGGAGGCAAGTCACACCTGGCTTTTTACATGCACACATGATGATTGCTGACAACAAACACAGCCGTGACGAGCGTGGCCCCGAGTTCAGCATCTTCGTCGGAGACTTGGGCCCCGAAGTCACCGAGTTCGTCCTCGTCCAGCTCTTCCAGAACAAGTACCCGTCGACCAAGTCGGCAAAGATCATGTCGGACCCCATCAGCGGCATGTCGCGTGGTTACGGCTTCGTCCGATTCGCCAGCGAGGAAGACCAGCAAAAGGCCCTCACCGAGATGCAAGGCGTCTACTGCGGTAACCGCCCCATGCGCATTTCGACTGCTACTCCCAAGAACAAGAGTGGAGGTCCCGGAGGTCCCGGAGGAATGGGCATGCCCCAAGGTGCAGGCGGCCCTGGCATGGGCATGTACTCAATGGGCGCTCCCCCCATGGGTAACTACTATGGCGCTCCTCAGCCCATGAACCAGTTCACTGACCCCAACAACACGACTGTCTTTGTCGGTGGTCTTTCTGGCTACGTCACTGAGGATGAACTGCGCTCCTTCTTCCAGGGCTTCGGTGAAATCACCTATGTTAAGATCCCCCCTGGTAAGGGATGTGGCTTTGTCCAGTTCGTGCAGCGCCATGCCGCCGAGATGGCCATCAACCAGATGCAGGGCTACCCAATCGGAAACTCTCGTGTCCGTCTCAGCTGGGGTCGCTCCCAAAACAACTCTGGGCCAGCTGGCACCCCATACCGCCCAGCGCCCCCTCCACCAGTGCCCTTTGGCCCAGGAATGGGCATGCCTCCGCAACACCCCTATGGCGGCGGCGGCGGTTACGGTCCTATGATGAAGGTAAGGCAGTAACCTGTGTGAAGATGTGGGTCGAGCGGCCACAGCCTGCTCTCCCTGTGGCTGCTGGCCTATGACTCACATCCCACATTCCAATTTTTCTCAGCCTGCCTCGTGCTAACGATTCCGCAGTAAGCGCATTCTTTCTCTCTGTATTGCTTGCACGGCGCTTCATTCATGGTTCATCCCGTTGGCTTTACTGCAATGACCCCTTTCATGACTCGGCATGACGAATTTCGAGCGATTTGGTCTTTAGTTCTATAACGGGCGGTTATCCAAAAGTTCTCGACTTCTTCTGACGACACCATCTTGCTGGAGGGCCATAGAGGGAAGTCTTTGTATAACAGGCCATCCATTCTCCCACTCGGACTTTTCTTTCAGAGCGTGCTACTCTTCTTTCGGGGAGCATCTAAGGGATGTAGCTAGTCATGCATGGGTCGGGTGCTGCTTTCTGTCGAATGCCTTTCTTTTACCGGTGCTCTCTGCGACTAGCAGGATTGGCTATCATTCCAATCACACGATTCTTCTATTTTCTGCGTGTTTTGTGGCGTGCTTGCTTGCTTGCTTCTTTGATTCATCTAACGTTTGGTTCCAAGTGCATTATAGTATGGGGGGGGGGGTTCTTTTTGCGTGCGCGTTGAGTGTTTGGCTTTGTGCATGGTTGGTTGCCTTGATGTGCCTTGGGGATGTTTTTGCTAACGTCGCTGTGCGCAGTCTTCCTCCCATGCAGGCACCGGTGCCTTCGTCTTATCCATCTTTTGCGAACAATGGACTCGGTGGCTCGCAAAACGACACGTCGACCGCATCTGTTACTTCACCCAGCCAGAACGGGACAGGGACTCCGTCCAGTCTCAGCAACCTCCATCATTTCACGTCTCCTCTGTCCAACGGCCAGAACAATCCTTTCACTCAGCCATTTCCCGCCCCACATTAGCCCGTCGGTCACGTCACACCAACATGCGCACCTATATTCTTTTTGACGGTTTAGCAAGGAGTCAAGGGGATTGATTCATGATAATGTGTGCATCGACTTCTTTTTTTTTCTCTGGGAATGGGGTCTCTATACATTAGCGAGGCGTCTGGTGATTACAAAAGCAGCGGGATACCTATTGTATAAGAGAACGGAGTTTGATTGAATTATTGACATTATCTACGACCATGGTAGGGGCTAGGTATAGGCTCCTATCGTGAAGATGCGCTTCTGTTAGACGCATGTAATCTACTTACTATGGTTTTTGGTACTAGGTGGCTGCCACGGGATACGCTTGGGTTCTCCAGCTGGGCGAACCATGATTAATGCTATATTAATGTTTCTCAAGTCGATTTACTGCATCCCTCCAAGGTCTGTCCGCGTCTGCTGATATTAGTATAGATAGACTACCTAAGATATCCAATACCCAATGGGGTAAGTTGCGATGTGACGGATAGCCCGACATGTGTGCCTTCCCGCCATGATGTCTGGGTGCCCACCTTCGCCCAACCTGCAACTCGCAGACACGTCTTCTCTCTACGTCTCACACTTCAACCCCCAGTTGCTTGTTCTTTTGGATCTGAACAGCAGCAAATCACTTGCCTGCCATGCGCTACGACAATTGGGATGTGATCCTGTTCCCCAAAGATTCACATGTTCCCATACAGGAGTTCAAGACGGCTTGCTACGTCTCTTCAGAAGAGTGTGAGTCTATTGGGCTTGTTCGTATCTATCAAGACCAAAATACTGACACGTCACAGATGGGCGCCAGCTGCCTACACTGACTTGCTACATCAACTCTCTGCCGCCATCGACACCATTTCGTATCTCAGTCCACTCATGGGGTGATGCGTCGAAAGCCTCGGCGCTTATTGAGTCTCAGCGCAAAGGCAACCAGAAGACTGTCTTCGCGGTTCAGGTCATCATCGACGGTGCCAGAGTCTTGTGAGTCAAGTGGAACTGCTGCTCGGTGAGATGTACGCTGACTGATATAGCCGCGGTTTCTTCGACCTGGCTTCAAAATGGCCCCAGGAGATTTGTATGTCGCCTTGAAGTAAATGTCCATCGGTAAAGGAGCTGACGATTGTGTAGCACACGAGAAAAGGTCACTCACCTTCAATGAGCCTCCCTCCACTCATCGAAAACAGTGCCTCGAGTTTCCTCCATTTCATAAGCACACGCTGATGCAGAATTTGTGGGACTCTCGCGATCTACATGGGCGCATAAGAGTCGTGCTGTCAGAACAGCTAATCAGCAAGACGTCGAGTCCTGGAGACTTGGACCTTGGCACGACCAACGACCTTGTTTGCTTCTCGTTTCAGCATGCTCCGAAAGGTATGTCTGGGGTGGCAGAAAGGCATACTGCATGACACTCACACTGGCAGATGTTTTAGAGCAGGCTGGAATCTCGTGGCCGATACGGAACCCTCTTTACCTCCCCAATGCGTTCAATCGGGACAAGCAACATCCTCAGACCTCTCCAGCGACTTCATGGACCCCCAATACCCGCACATTTGCAGGAGACAATCATGCCCAGACACCGCCATCACCTCGTGCACAGCCCATATTTGCCAAGTCACACGAGAATGAACCCAAGCGGCGATCTAATGCACATTTGCCGCCTATATCACAATTCTCGAGACATCCCATGGTGTCGATGAACAACAGTCGCGCAGGCATGTGGGACGATGCCTTTGGTATGCTCGGTAATGGCGCCGACGATATGAACACGGACAATTGGGCGACAAAGAGGGGAACACCTGGGTCGTGCGATTATTCCATGCCGGATTATATGTATACTTCACATCACTCGACTAATGGCTCGCCATGGATGGAGAACATGACCCGGTTCGGTCAGAGCGAGAGCACAGGATGGAATGATCGTCCAAGAAAGGAAAAAGAGAAGCAGGTCATCGTCACGCTTCGAGAGGACCAGCTAGGGCAGATAATCGAAGCTATAAGCCCACCAAAGCGACACCGGGAGATTCCGCGGGCTTTCGACGCTCAGTACCACGAAAATGACAGCCATTCTCACAGCTACCATCAGGCGAAATATGGGGCTGCTCCACTGACCAGCCGTCCGTCTTCCGCATCACTAGGTCGCAAATGGATGCATCCGGACTCCAACAGCGCTTTACGAAACAGCACGAATAAAGTGTCATTTCAAAAGAATTACGGACAAGACGAAGGGAAGGACAGGATGCCCATGACGCAGCGTTCATCAACTTTAATCCACAAAGAGAATAATGTCGCTTCACAACTGCGATTACCCACGCCCTTCCCATACGCCAATCGTGTCCCAACACCGAATCCCTTTGTGCAGAGGCAATCAACAGCTGCTTCAGAGATGTCCATGAGAGACCCTTCCTCAATCCAGCCAACAATGTATCGTTTTAGCCGAAGTGAAGCGCCGCCGCCGACCACTGAGCCCAGCAAATTTGGCTCAGCCCACGGACCCTCTACTGTCAACGTGAGGAGCAGAAAAGAAGGCCTGGCTTCAGATTCGCCAAAGCTTACTGATAAAGCGACTCGCCACGATCAGAGTCTCTTGCCAACAGTCAGTCCCGACGCAGGACTAGCACAGAGTTCCACATGCAAAGACCAGAGCCGATTCACTCATGGCAAAAAAGGCATCCCCGACCTGGTGGAAATCATCGATGTCGATGCCATTGACCCAAGCCTAGATAGCAACATGGCCATGGACAATACCAAGCTTTCCCCATTCAAATCCAGCCACAAGTCGGGCGCCTCGGTATCCAGCATCGACAGCACCGTCCGCCTGGAGCGCCAGCTCTTCAGTGCCCTGGGAGAAGAACTCGGTAGCTTCGACCACCATCACCGCATCGACACCACAGGCATGGGCCCAGAGCTCGCACAAGCATTGGGTGGCGGCACTGTCGGTGCTGGAGGAAACCCGCATTCCGAAGTCAGTGCCTCGACGACTACGCTGAACCCGGCTGCAAGCGACTTTGAGCCGTCGATCAAGCGCAAACGACAGGGCACCCTGGGCGGCGAGCGAGACGCAAGTCCGATGAGTAAGAAGGAAAAATCGGAATTGGGGGGCGATGGGGAGGAGCGCGAGGACGTGGTCGTGGTTAGTTTGAGAGGCGGAGGGGGAGGAGATTGAATGCTTGCTTGCTTGATGGATTGATTGATGGATGGATTGGTTGGTTGATTGATTGATTGATTTTTGTTTGTTTGCGTTTCAGGTATTATTACAATTATGGTTTTTGGAAGGGTTTGTTTTTCTTCTACTTGGTGACTTGGAGGACTTGCGCTGGCTTCTTCTCTGCTTCTTCTTCTTCTTCTTCTTCTTCTTCTTCTTCTTCTTCTTTTCTCTTCTTCTTTTTTTAGCCTTTCTGGGATATGAGGGATGTTATTATTTATTCATCTTGAAGCGTTTGAACGTTTTGAAGGAAAGCAGGTATATAGGTAGAGAGGGAGAGAGAGAGGGGAATTATTTGGTTAGGAACCATAGACTTGTTATCATTTTTTTTCTTTTTCAGGTGTAGGCATGGATCCAGTCAGTCTGTTCATGTTCAAGTTCCTACTACTAGTCCTTCCGTAAGTAGTATTCTTTTTTTCTTTCATACAAAATGAATCCATGAATTACTTGTTACATACTACTGCATCAACAGTTTTCTTGATAATACAATATAATACCTTTTTTTCCCCATTATCATCTGCAGAATTGTGCCGGGGGGGTTTCAAAAGAATGAAAAAAAAGCTGGACATAAACAAAACTATTACAACTACAATTACTACTAAGATTTTGCCTCATTGGTGATTACGTACATAGTACAAAGGTCATGCGTGGAATTTATGTGGTACTGAGGAGGAAGAGGGGGACATTGGCATTGACATGAAGAGTTGTAAAGAAACAAGAAACAAGAAACAAGAAGGGCAAAAACCTAAAAAAAAGAGAAGAAGAAGAAGAAGCAAAACAGCTGGTGGTATCTGGATAGTGAGTAATGAAATGAAAAATGCCTCCCCTCCCAAAACGCCCTCCCTTCGTTTCTGCGACTTTTGGGAAAAACTGGCAGGTTTGAAAAAGGAGGGTGGGAATGTGAGAGAGAGAGAGAGAGAGAAAGAGAAGAAAGAGAGAGAAATAGGAAGAGGAAGAGTAGAGAGAATACCCATACCCAGTCCTGACATTCTCTCTCAGAATCCCCCTCTCTTTTTTTTTCCCCACTCCAAAGCTTCACGCCGCTCCATTCCCACTGGTATCATTGCATCCAACCTTCAAACGCCTTGATGCCCACACACCCCAACACACTCAGTCTTCCCCCCCCCCCTCTACTTATACTGCGGCACGCCCTGCGGCACGGGACCCTGGCCATGCGGCGGCGGGGGACCACCATGGCCACCATATCCATTCCCACCCATGATAACAGCGCCACCGCTATTGCCATTGCCCATCTGATTCATCACGTCCGGCCTATACTTGATATCCTGCCAGAAGTTGCAGATGTGGCAACCAACCTCCTTGTAGGGTTTGACGGAAAACGGGATCACGGGGATGAAGCAAAAGGTAAACCATTCCCAGCGCTTCATGACGCGGCCGCTGAAGTTGCCGCAGTTCTGGCATTGCACCGTGATGTTTTCGGCGCCTTTGAGCGGCGAGCTGAAGGCTGGTGCGCACGACTTGTGTTAGAATCGTGGAATGAATGTAGGAGGAGGAGGGGGAGATGAGAAGAGAAGACGTACTGTGTGTTCCGCATGTGAAGAAGAAGAACATGGCTGCTGCGTGGTGTGCTGCGCTATGTCGCGCGCGCTATGCTATGCGATATGTGTGTGTTCGGCGTGATGGGATCGCGGGGATGCGGACAAGGCGGGAGGCACCGGAGCAATCCAGGAAAGAAAATTGTCCTTTAGACTTTGTGCAGGGCGGAGTGTATGCGCGTGACTTGGGTGAGGCGGGCGGGCGGGCGATCGATGGGATGGGGTCAGCGTCGGCGCGCGCTGGTTCCGAGATGGTTGTTGGGTAATACGCGTTTGGGTGGTTTGGTAGGGCGGAGGTGTAGGCGGGGTGTTGGTGGGGCTGAGGAAGCGCTTTCTTCTGGGTTGTTTCTTGTAGCAGAGGCAATTAGAGGTAGTCGGTAGCCGGCGGCGGCGGTCAAGTGGTGGTGCTGGCCGGCTTGACTAACAGATGTGTGGTGTTGGCGCCGCGCAGGGCTGCGTCATCTAAGACGCGAGCTACGCCTCAGCCACACTTGGCGGAGACAGTGCCGTGGAACTAGCGGCCAGACATTCGCCGCACCTTCTCGTCTCTTGAAATGTAACGTGACCCATGGGTAAGCGGAATTCGGATAGACTGTGTCAGACACTCTAGAGGCTGCACACTCCCAGCACGGCACGGGAATCCAGAGCATACATGTACGAACACTATATTGTGGTATCGCTAGATTAGCCTTCAACGCCACTTTTGTGGAGAGAAGGAGACTCGTCGCCGTCGTTAACATTGAATTAGGGCCATCTTTCCGTGTCCAGGTGATGAGATGCCACTGAATTGCACATACCCTCCAACCTTGATACAAAGACAACAGTCAGTACTGGGAAGAGGAATACCTCTCCTCATGCACATGACCAAAGCCAATCAGGCACCACTCCGAGCCCTAGCTTGAAACGAGACGGCCGTCTCTACTACGGAACCACGAGGCATTCCTTTGACAATCAGAGAAGACGTGAATCGCACAATGACCGATGGTGCCCAGTCCAGAATCATCCGTTTACTGTGTCTTGAAGAGCAGGATGGCGCAGTGGCCCAGGTAGAAGTAGATGAAGTGCTTCGTCTCTGTCGTGGAGTCAGACAAGACCCATCACCACACGTGCGAAGAGAGCGTGAAATACCGTGAGTGACAAAGCTTCCAAAGTTGCGGCCTACAATGCAGTGCCATGTGGCACCCTTTCTGCTGTCAAACTATGCACGTGTTAGCGCGCGGCTCTGACGACTCGACGGGGCTGTGTTTCTTACCTCCTTCTTGATGTACTGGGCAATATCCTACACGTTACATGTTAGTCCAAGGCCCAACAAGATGCCGTGTTGGGTGGGTAGGGGGACCCACCTTCTCGATGGTAAACTGCTCCATTGCCGATTGTGCTACAAGGCGTCAGCCCGGTGCCGAAGCATCACGCGGAGAGCAGAGCAGCCAGAACTCACCGACTTCGATGGCCTCTTGTTGCATCTCTTCGCTCTGTCGCACATGTTAGACAAACGTCAACAAGCATCCCGAGTGTTCCGCACCATGTCGGCCGACTTGATCTGGGCTGCAACTGCTATTAGCTCGTGCTCTGCCAAACCGCACGCGGCATACACAAAGGGGCCGTACCATCCTGCTTCTGCGTATCTGACTTCTCGCTTGCCATGGTGACGCCTTGGTTGTATTACACAAGTAGGGATTATGGTATTGATCTTTTGGGGGGACGTGAAGACTTATAGTGCAGGTGGGTGAGGCTATGCTTTGGTTGCAAGGCCTTTGTCAGTGTTTGAGTAGGCGCTCGCGCGGCCAGGCGCCGTGGGGCCCGAGCTCCCGCATTCGCGCTAGTGCTAGTGCGCTAGTGCAGGATGAAATGTCAAGACTTTTTTTTCTGGACGCCGACCTTCGCACACACACACACATTTGTCGCATTCAAGATTCGAGCAGACCACGGCTCGCCTAGACTTCGGTAACATGGAGTCTTCACGAATCTTCGTCCGCGGGCTGCCGCCCAAGTTCACCGAAGACGACGTGCGCAAGCACTTTGCCAAGTTCCCCGTCACAGACGTCAAATTCTTTCCGCATCGGCGGATAGGCTATGTGGGCTACAAGACCCCCGAGGACGCTGCCAAGGCGGTCAAGTACTTCAACAAGACGTTTATCAAACTCACCAAGATCTATGTCGAGATTGCGCGTCCCGTATGTACATTCCGACTGTGCTGGCGACAAGCGGGGCTGACTTGCATAGATTGCCGACCAGGAACTGCCAAAGTCGCGACGACAGCAGAAGCTCGAGAAGAGCGCTTCCACAAACGACGAGTACAGACCGCTGCCGCGACAGGAAAACGAGCTCAAGCGCAAGCGAGAACAAATCGAACAGGACCCCAAGCTCAAGGAGTTTCTGGAGGTTTACCAGCCGCCTTCCAAGACAAACATCTGGGCGAACGGCGATAGCCAAATTGCGGAGGCTACTGTTGCTGCGGCAGATCAGGCTGTACCAGAGGTTGCTGTGCCAGAGCAAGAGAGCGACAATGAATACCAGGTCATTTCGAAGAAGCCCAAGGTTGCTGCGGAGCCCACAGCCACACCTGCATCTGCGCCGCATCCTACCGATGAAGAACCCACAGCAGAGCCTGAAGCTGTTGCTGCGGATACTAGTGAAGCAATGGAAGACGTGCAGGAAGCGCCTGCTGCTGAACAGGAGCCTGTCTCTGATATGGACTGGCTTCGATCAAGAACAAACAGAGTTCTGGAGCTGGTCGAGGACGACGAAGAGCCTGCCGCTAACGCGTCCGCTTCCCAAGCGCCAGCACCACAGCCTCCAGTGGCTGCAGAGGAATCGCGCCAAGAAGTGGAGGCGCAGCAAGAGCCCTCGCAACCGCCGGCAGAACAACCCAACGATGCTGCGCCTGATGAAGAAGACAGGATCCGAGAGACTGGGCGACTCTACCTTCGAAATTTGCACTACGAAGTGACCGAGGATGAAATCCGGGACCAATTCTCCAAGCACGGAGCTCTGGAAGAGGTAAGCACAGCCATTTTGTTTCTCAACCTCGCCCATGCAATGATGAATATTGAGATAGGGACAACTGATGTTTCGGCATTTGAAGTGACCTCTCGAAAACATTTTAGTAGATGTATTTTCTTTCTGATAGCGGCAAAACCTCTTCGTCACGTCTCGAGAATGTGTTGGGAATTCTGCTGACGACTATAGGTGCATGTGCCTCTGAAGAAGGCCGACGGTAAAGGCAAAGGCTTTGCATTTGTGCAGTTCCAAAACCCGAACGATGCCGTCGAAGCATACCTTGATAATGACAACACCATTTTCCAGGGTCGTCTCTTACATATCATCTCTGCAAAGGCAAAGAAAGACACCAAGCTTGATGAGTACGAGATCTCAAAGTTGCCTCTGAAGAAGCAAAAAGAGATCAGGAGAAAGCAGAGCGCCGCCAAGGCTATCTTCAACTGGAATTCACTTTATATGAATGTGAGTTGATTGGATCATGCCCATGACAAACATACTGACAAGTGCCCAGGCTGATGCAGTCATGTCCACTGTTGCCGATCGCATGGGTATAAGCAAAGCTGAATTGCTTGACCCTACATCGTCAGATGCAGCAGTCAAGCAAGCGCATGCTGAAACCCATGTCATACAAGAGACCAAATCATACTTTGCTCAGCATGGCGTTGACTTAGAAGCCTTTCAACGGAGTGCGAAGGGTGATCTTGCTATTCTTATCAAGAGCATTCCTCATGGTGTGACTCCTGACGAGCTTCGCAAGTTGTTCGAGGAACACGGCACCGTGACCAAGTTCCTGATGCCGCCAACAGGCCTGACGGCAATCGTTGAGTTTGCCAACGTAGCGCAAGCAAAGACTGCCTTCATGTCACTGTCGTATCGAAAGATGAAGGACTCTATCCTTTATCTCGAAAAGGCCCCCAAGGATCTTTTCAAGGAAGGTGTAGCAACCAACTTTGTACAAACGACGCCTTCAGCTTCGGCACAGCCAGGCACAAAGCTCAGCGCTACTGATTTGCTTGAGGACGTTCCAGAACCAGAGGCTACCAACACCGCTACGCTATATGTGCGCAACCTCAACTTCTCCACGACGACGGAGCGTCTTACTGAGGCATTCAAACCTCTGTCTGGCTTCCGGAGCGCCAAGGTCAAGACCAAGGTTGACCCCAAGCGAGGCGTGTTGTCAATGGGTTTTGGATTTGTCGAGTTCAACAGCCCCGAAACTGCGACAGCGGCTTTGCGAGCCATGGATGGTCATGATCTGGAAGGCCACAAGCTGCAGATCAAAGCATCTCACCGGGGCGCAGATGCGGCTGAGGAGCGTCGTAACGAAGACGCAGCAAAGAAGGCCGCAAGCACCAAGATAATCATCAAGAACTTGCCCTTTGAAGCAAGCGTAAGTCCCTTTAATTGTCTTCCTGTCAAAGCGTATGCTAATCTAAGCTGCAGAAAAAGGATGTTCGCGCTTTGTTTGCTCCTTACGGCCAGCTTCGGTCCGTAAGGGTGCCCAAGAAGTTCGACGCAACATCGCGCGGTTTTGGTTTCGCAGAGTTCACGACGAAACGCGATGCCGTCAACGCCATGAATGCTTTGAAGAACACGCACTTGTTGGGTCGTCGTTTGGTTCTTGCCTTTGCTGAGACTGAATCCGACGATCCTGAAAAGGAACTCGAGAAGATGCAGCAGAAGGTGGGAGCACAAGCCAACAAGGTCGCTCTCCAACGCCTTACAGAAGGCGGTCGCAAGAAGTTTAACGTTGCAGGCACCGATGATCTAGACGATTGAGCACAAGCATGTCCGGTAGGAATTCCACGCCCAACACGTTCCGGCCTGTAGGCTATCCCTTGCTTCCCGGTTGCGGAAGTTGGGCCGCCTTTCGTTACGATATACTGAAAGCAGTAACGTGCTATGACCACATCACACGTGAACGCTATATCTAGGCCAACACCCTCTAAGCCTCCACAGGATACATGTCTAGCGGTGTGGGTCAATGAGCACGGCCATTACAGCGTGTTTCAGGCTACTTTCAGGCACGGGTGCAGGGAAGCCGTGAACGACATGTTTGTTGATCCCGCAGATCTGACGTAGTTTGCTGTTCACGAACACTGACATCCATGCCGTTGCGCTAAGCAATTCCCAGCGGCTCTTCACTGACAAGCAGCCATTGAAGGTCCATCAGCCAACAACTGGCTTGACATGATTTACTTCTCTGCTAACCACGCATCATATATCATTCCAGCACTTGAAGATGCTGTTATGGTTGTCAACACCCGAATTACAAAGTAGAGTATGCGACCTTTCGGCGGCCATCACTACCGCCTGAAACGCATTGCCTTGATTTCATGATAACGGCCTTTCTACTTGACTGAATCCTCTACCATTATGAGATTAGCGGGTTTCGCAATGCACCTTGACATTGGTGCTCTAGCCTACCAGCTGTCATGTAGTCATCCTGCCTACAGCTGGTCATTGAGACAACGCATTATATCACTCCAGATCTCCTGCATGGCTTTGCCTTGCTTTACCCCTAAATATATCCTTGTATTTCTTCCCACAATTTGCCATTCATTACTCTACTTGCTTGACTCTACATCTTGTCTCAATTTTCACCACTAAGACATTCGTTGTTCTCTTTGCTCGCCTTGTCACCTGCCATAGCCTACTATGCTGCGCCAGTACTCTGCTTCTTTAGGAGCGCAACCACCTGCGGCAGATATCTACTACCCTAGCAGTGGAAATTCACAGAGCGTCATGACATCCTTTGGCGCAGATGGACTGGAGAATCACATCAGAATCAAACTCGCGTGGCTTTACAACACACTCCAACGATCAGAAAAATACCAAAAGTATCGTGAGAAACAGCCTGTCCTCACCCCTGCCGAAGTCGTTGCGAGAGACGCAGCAGATAAGAAAGAGAGGGAAAGGCGTGAAGCAGCCAACATAGCACAGAGCCAGAAGGAAACAACTGTCTGGCCCGACTTCTTGGAGAATGCGTTTTGGAGAGGTAAGGCGACGCACTTTTCTTTCACCCTATTACTCTCTTTTCTCTCAACCACCCACTTCCTTCAACATCAACTCTCTAGTTGCATTACTGTAAGCAGTGCTATATGATCCGCATACGGATACTGATGAATACACACTAGCGCTAGTTCGATGGCCCCCAATGGGGCGAAAAAAATATATGCTCGCGGGTGTGTTGAAAGGTCGAAACGAACTCATCCAGGATTCGATCTACAGAGAAACGGGCATCACGCGAGATCGGAAACAGATCTCCAGTCATATTCAGGTCCTCAAGGGGCATCTGAAAGGCTTTCCTATCGGTAAGTGCTTGTTTTGCGCATGCTTTTCTTGAAGGTTCCAGTTTGTCCGATCGCTGCGTGTCTCTCAACCAATGGCCCTGTACCGTTTGACCGAGTTTCAGGTCTTCGGGATCCGATAGCCGCCCGGAATCATTCTAGAAAGCCGTTGTGGTGGCTTTGCTATTGCTATTCGTGACATCACTCGGAAGGGTTGCGCCAGGGGTTGCCAAAACGAGGCTAATCACACAACAGCCCTTGCCTATATGGGAACACTGGAGGAATCTACCAAGCTCTGTTGCGGGGGTGTGGGTTCTCTGCCTGGTAACTCGTCACATCTACGGCACCACCAACACACGCAAGGCACAATCCCTGTTACCAAGGATGGTTGCATTACGCCGCCGCACATCTGGCCGCAGCACGGGAGCCCACACCCAGGATTCGCCCGAGGTGCAGGTTCATACAAGGAATCTCTTTCATCATCTTTGACGGTAGTAGACTTTACCATGCAAGGTGACCACCAGGCTGTGCACTGTGCCCCTCGGATGCACTCGAACAGCAGGCTGGACAATGTCATCGTCACGGATGTTCCCTCTTGGTGTCACCGACATCTCGACTCTGGATTTCTAGAAACCTGGGCAGAATCTTGGAAGACAGAGGAGCGAATCGTCTTGATCTGCGATGCGTTCATCAGAACTTCGACAGAAGGCCAGCAAAGAGTCAATGACTCTATTGCACTTACACTTCATTCATGTCTCGATCTCTCGAGATTTGAATCCCTAAAATGCACAACACACTTTCATGGCAATGAGCAACCGACGCTGAACCAACATCTCGACAGTATGGAGCAGGAATTAGGAGAGTATCAAACGTCATGCCACTATGTGCCAGACTCTGAAGGCTTGGCCAGGTATTTGCGCATTGAGTTTGGGTTTCCATCTTTCTTTGACAGGTTGGAAAGACATGAGCGATTCATAAGCGTAGACGAGAGCAGTACCAGGACTTCTCTACCAAGTCTGACAGCAACACAGGATGTTTACGGCCACGTTACTGCTTCAGGCGAAACCCAGTGTCTCTTCACTATTCTTTGGAGATTTTATCCAGCAAATCACTCTGCAAAAGCTTCTAGTATGCAGTGGCGCTCATTTCTTTTAGGCGAAAACCACGATGACGCTGAATATTCTCGGTATCAGGGGGCAAAACACGAGATTGGAATGATGGATCAAGAGCCAGAAGAAGCCACGACAGACTTTTCATCTACTTCGGGAACTTTATCACCATATCACCTAACTCCTGAACTACCCATGGGATTCTCAAACTCCTTTACCGGAGGCCCCTCATTCGAGGTTCTGGCTGACAACGAGGCCTTCTGTCTTTCACTTTCTCCCGAGGTTCTCTCACCTACTCAGCTAAATCAAGATCAACCGAGCATACCTACGCTTTCGACTGCGAGCGATCAATCTCAACAAGGCTTCGCACTGCCTCTACAAGACGCGCTATACAGGGAAGATGGCCACGAATTTGGTTTCGATGTTGGCAACACCGCTTTTAGTACAACTCCTCAATCAGCTTTTGATTTTCAGTCATACCGAAACTTGACCGACCACACCGCAAACCCAGAGAGCTTATACCCGCTTTCTGGTTTTGATCACAGAGAATGGACCGACATGGGACTTACTGTAGGCGATGAAGTAGGCTTCCTCCCCGTAACAGCAAGTACCACTATGCAGGACCCAGGCTATATAGCTTGCTCTTCGACAAAACCTACCTGGCAACATACAAACCTGATTGCAAACCTGGAAACTGCAGCAGAGCAGTATCAACCTTGTTTCAGTGATGAGTCTTACGCTTAAGCCTCATGGGGCCAAGATATCTTGCTTGAACATTGTTACTATGTATCAACGAGTCCCTCCATATTGAGATTTGGCTGAGCGTGGTTTTGCTCGTGTGCCGGATGACGAGAGTACCATATTTGCGTTTCTGAGCGGCTGTGGAATTCGTTTAGGGATAGATACAAGATTGTACTGCAGTGAATGACCTGTGATGATGGGAAGGATAGAGGTTGTGTTTGAATCCGGTGTTATAGAATAGACTGCGATAGATAAATAATTACTTTGTTGTTAACCAGATGCCTTTTAGGGTATGCTGAGGTTACTAGTTACTTGGTATAGTGTCTGAATGGAAGATGCATTAGTGAGAAGTTTTGGATAATTTGGTTCGGTGAGAGTAGTGAGAGGGGTGGGCATTGGAGTACAGGCGTTGATAGATTTTTAAGAATCCGAAGAGATTGGAGTCGCGACGAAGACAAGATGAAAACCGTATTGGCTAACTGCAGATACTACCAAGGCTTGATAGAGTATGTGAGCTTATCTGATGCTGGTAAAGTAATATGCAACACCAGTAGAAACTCGTAGCCTTGCTTCTCCAGTGACGCCCCCAAGTTTACCTTGTTCTTTTTATTCGTTGGTTGATTTGGGCATCATATGATGATGAAGGAATTTATCAATAGATTTCATGAGCGCCTACCATCCAACGGCTTCAAAGTGATGCGTACGTCTTGAAATAACTAAACGAATAAAACCAGTCGTGATATAATTAAAAGGGCTTTAGGAGTTAACAAAGTTCGCATGTTTACTTACATATGCTGTATTTTTGTGTGGCGTCCAGTAGCTCAGGAAACTAACCTTTAGTCATGCAACGAGTATTAGCTAAGGTGTGGAATATGTTACCAGTCTTGCAAAACCTTGATTGTTTCACAAAATGAACTAATACCTAGTATTATACCGAGAACCGTGCATGGCCTACGTCGGGCCTTAGACGCCGTTACTGTAGGTGGTCAGTGCGTGCAACTGTTCAGCGGATGCAACACCATCTGCACCTTCCTAAAACAGACCTACCCACTTTAACGCGTGATAACTCTACTACTATAACTCTAATTAAGAAAGCGCTTATAGTTAATATATAAAATCTTAAAAAATAACTTGTATATAAAGTAGCTATAAAAAAGTTTAGTATTATATTGTTAAAGTTAACACGCTACTACTATAAATAAACTTAGTTCTATATAGCTACTATAGAAAATATAAAATTACTTACTATATAATATAAAGCTAAGCTTATAAAGTATATATAGAAGCTTTTTAGTTATAGGCTTACTGTAACGGGTCGAGTCCTATTAGACTGCGCACGCAACTACAACGCGCCCACCGCGCCAAAAAGGCTGGCACAAGATATCAGAGCTGCTGATATCGTTGCGTAGTTGATACATAAGATAGCCACCGCTATCTGTACTGTAGCGGGCTACCTAGCCCGTTACACTTACACCTACTAAGTCTATAATAAAAAATTTTGTATTAAATATTATTGAATAGAAGCTATTAGATAGCTAGGTTATATACTTTTTAGACTATAATACTACTAACCTTACTATTAAATACACTACTAGGATAGACTATAATCGTTATAAAGCTAATAGTTATAATAGTTATTAATTATATTTTAATCTTATCTTTAAGAAACTTAATAACTATGATGTTGCGCTGTATAACATCTATAATATTGATAAAAAGGGCTTCCTACTTAAGTCTACTACAAGGTTAAAATTGGTGTTTTCTAAATGACTTTAGGACTAAAAAATAATTACTACTACTATCTAAGATAGTAATAGAGAGTGGATAATAGTTTTAGCATATGTTTATGCTAATAGAAGCGCTATAGATTCTTGCGTTATCTATAAAGGCAAAGTTAGACTTCGTAATAGCTAGGTACGCGACCTAGAGGTTAGAAGACACTACGTTTTTTTCTCTACAAGTCTATCTAGATAGAGTAATAATGACCTAGGCTTAGCTTAGCTTAAATAGGTTTTTAATTATTAAACAAAGGCAAAAGCTAAACGTAATTACTAGATGCTTATCCTTAATAGCCATAGTAGCTACGTCTTACCTAAATATATTAAATATTATTACTCCTATTGAATAATACTTCTAATATTTCTACCCTACGCCACTTATACTCTATAGCCTCTTAACGTAGTGTTATATAGGCCGCTATTAGCGGCGTACTCTAAAGAGCTATTAGAGTTTATACGCTGTAGCTAAGCATTGCTCTAAATATAGAAAAGTAATTTCCTCTACCTATTTTAGGTAGCGTATATATCTACCTTTACTACTAACGTGGTTCATAAGCGAGTCAGTCACCCAAGCGAGTCGGTCACTCCCCACTAGCGCGTTGACGTTGATACTACAACGCGTTATGTCTTAACAACACAACTATTAATTAACTTATCCTAAATTAGATCTTTAACTTGCTCTTTTTAATATCTAATTATAACATGTTCAAAGCTAAAGACGCGCTACCTCTATCTATAACGTGCCTTAAAGTATAATATCCAATTAATAGGCTAGAAAGCGCCCCTAACGCAACTATAAACTAAATTTAAAGCGCCTAAATAAGTTAGAAGAGGAGGCTATTATTAAACGTATTCTTAAAGAGTCTACGCGTGGATTTACCCCTATAAAGGCTAAAGTTTAAGCAATAGCTAATAAACTATTAGAGGAGCGTGGTAGCAACCCTATTAGCAAGAATTAGGTTAACAACTTTGTTAGGCGGACTGCTAAGCTCTATACGCGCTAGAGCTGTCCTTATAATTACTAGCGAGCCGCCTACAAGGACCTAGTAGCTGTTAAGGAGTGGTAGAGCTACTTGATATATCAGCGGTAGCTCTGGTTGATCGATAGATCTAGCACTCGGCAGGTATTTGCTAGGGGAGAGGAGATTGAGTAACTGAAGTAAAACTGTGATCTGATTGACTGTCTAGTAGACTGTTGGGTTTCCTCTAGTTCTATCTACTTAGCTGATCTACTACTATATATATTTGACTATATCAGATTCTAGAATAATCTGCCACGTAATAGCTTGCGTAATCTTTAGCGTAATAGATATCTGTTTGATCGATCAGATGTATGTTGATCGATTATTACAGTCTTTTATCACAGTCTTGGCAGACTAATGATAGAATCTAGGTGTTAGCCAAGCACCCGGATTCTGCTAGAGATCAGCTGACTAGCTTATATCTCTAACAGTAGCTATCTAGCGCTAGTTCAACTTAGTCTAGGCGACAAGGTAGAAGTAGGGTATTATAGACAACAATATCTATAACTTTAATAAAACTAGCTTTATAATAGGCAAGATTTTATTATAGTTATTAATTATAGCATTAGAAGGATATAAGAAAAAGAAGCAGATACAGCTAGGTAACTATAAGTGGGTTACTATAATCTAAGGCGTGGGCGCGTTAGGTCGCTAGATACCACTATTTGTTGTCTTTGCAGGCAAGGTGCTTATTAATATCTAGTTTAAGAATTTGCCTACTAACTAGGTTCTTAAAGTTAGTCCTAATAGCTAGACAAATAATTAGCTTAGTCTTGCCTAGTTAGAGCACTTTAATACCTATACAAAGAGCTCTACTATAGGTAGGTATTAACTACTTATTATTAACAGCTATAAGAGCCACTGCTCTATTAAATTTTAAGATCTTGGCAAGGAGAAGAATATTATTCTTCTCTGCATGCCTCTACACTCGTCTCACCTATTATAGCCCCTTAACGTCGCCTGCTTCTCGCTATTAAAGCGCAAGTATAGCGACGTTGTTTTAGGCTTAGCACGCAACCGCACCTACTATATTAGCAAGAAGACCTTCTTACTAGCCTTTAAGGCTGCTTTTAAGCAGTCTATTATAAAGGAGAATATCTAAGCTAGCTTTAGAGGCGCTAGTCTAGTCCTACATAACCCACAGGCTGTGCTATCTAAGCTTAATGTAGTGGTGCAGACGCTAGTACAATCACCACGACGAACAGCTGCCTAGCAGGCGCAGACACCACGCAACGCGCGTGAGGTTAAGGCTTAAAGTACTCTTATTTAATAAAGAGTAAGAAACCGTCCTAGGTCTTCTATAAATTCTCTTAATAAGAAGGTTATATAGCTAAGTAAAGGGGCTTAGCAAATAGCACATAAGATAACGCTTATAAGGGAGGAAGTAGCTGCTCTTTAAGAGGCTCTAGACACAGCAAATAAGCGTAAGAGCCGCAAGCGGCGATACGTACAGATAGAAGAGACTCTTACTATAGGCGAAGTACAAGAAGTATTAGCTAAATAAGCGGGTAGTAGTTGTGGTGATAGTGAGAGTGCGTCAAAGAGGGTGCGAGGAGAGCGGCGGTGCGGGCGTTGCAAGTAGACTAGACACAACGCTCGTACCTGCGTAGTTAAGATAGATATTGCAAGTAATAGTAGCAATTCTAATAATTAATTTAGTATATTGCAATAGTTTATTAACTATAATAAAAGACTGTAATAACGTGTCAACGTTAACGCGCTGGTGGGGAGTGACCAACTCGCTTGGGTGACTGACTCGCTTATGAACCACGTTAGTGTGTTTTTTGATGTAGCAGAACTTAGGGGATCTATAAAACGCTGAGTGTTGTGGTAAATAAAAGCTCACCTAACTAATTACAGGCTAAGTTGTTATAGTTCGATCATTTGACCCCTATCTAGGAACTTTAATGTGCCATAGCATTTTATGTTTCTTGTAACGAGGCTAAGAGAAGGGCACTTCTAGGCCCCTACAGTGTCCATCCCTAATCCTATACTATGTAGAAGTAGGCGCAGCCTAATCCTTTACACAAATATATACGAGAGTTCTTTCGCAGGCAGAGAAAAAAGGAAAACCAACTCCCACCTAAATAGCTATCATTACTACCTACCTACCACTTGAGCCTTATCTGTCTCAAGATTGCTGGCTGAAGCCTCTTCCCTATGTTTCCTTCGTGCTGCGAGATTCTATCGCTGCTATAATACGTAGGAGATCGTGTTTGCCAGCACTAGAGACTTGCTTCCCGCATGTTTCAACAAGTTCATAACTTAGTGCAGAGCAAGACTAAACTGTATTAAAATATGCGCCTCTAGTACTAATATGGACTAGTCACAGTGATGAGTTACAGCAGCTTATTTCCAGAGGACTCGAACTCGAAACCATGCAGTGTTAGATTGATATTCTCGACACTTCATATTTGGAGTGACTAACACTTTAGAAACTCGATGATTTCAAAGCAATACATGTGCTATGGAATGTCTTGCGCTTGTTCGTCTAAGCAAACACACTGGTGTACTGGGCCTCATTGATGAAAACGGTGTCCTTGGCCTTGACTCCAGCGTACTGTGCTTCGTTAATGAATACAGTGTCCACGTCCTTGACTGCAGCATACTGCGACTCGTTGATGAAAACGGTGTCGACATCCTTTACACCAGCATACTGAGCCTCATTGATAAAGACAGTGTCCTTGGCCATGACCCCAGCGTATTGCGCCTCGTTAATGAAGACGGTATCCTCCGCTTCAACCCCGCCCTCTACCCCGGCGTATTGTGCCTCGTTGATGAAAACAGTGTCCCTGGCCTCAACCTTGGCATTGCCTTTGTTCATAAAGACGGAGCGCTTAGCACTCATGGGAAATTCCTTCTTAGTGTTAGCCCAAACTCTGTGTTGCATGTCTCACTCAAACATACAGTGGTAGCCATGATGGAGGATACGAAGAAGAGGAGATTGTTCAAGTAGTGGTAGTATTTTCCCTGGCGAGGTACAGTAGTGCGGAGATGGTGATGCTGGATGCATGGCTGCCATGAGCGTATCGATTTAAATACAGGCCAGTGATGACATAACTTGTTATGGTGTGGCCATAGCCACGAAATCTCTCCTGGAAATTACAGGGGTGTCCGTACACCCCTACGTTCTCAAAGGCTATCACCACTTCGTCTAGCGGCAACACTTCACTAGACCAAAGGCTTCGCGCCGCAATCTAATCGTTAGACACGGCTGAAGGCTGTCGAATGATACCGCTTATGCGGCCTTTATGATGTTTCTAGCTGTTTTCATGTTTGGTTCAATCTTTGGTTTGGTGGGCAATGGCTTGTTGTATTGCCTTGACTCCTATGTTATCTTGCCTAAATTGAGCCCATCACCGCCAGCGCCTCCAACGTACCAAAACAGGACTACGACGTCATATTCTAACTATGTTTTGGATTGCTCCATAATGCTCACGCCACGATACGCATCCTCTACGCCGTATTTATGACCGAAACTGTAAAATACTCTCGAATAGAGTTTAGGCCCACTTACCATTTTAGGATTGGTTGAGGAGAAGAAGAAAAAGCTTTCACTGTTTTCTTAACATTCTGCTACTCGGCCAAATCTGTAGATTTTGGAGGGCGAGCTGCAGTTGAGCCATGATCAGGCTATAGCTGCGACTAGAACTATGACCATGTTACGGGCCGTAGTCCCCGCTTGAATACGACTTGTGGGATGCGCTAATAACCACTGCTGCGGAGGATTACCGTAAAGCCTTTAACTAAGTGGAGGCTTAAAAAGTAATCGGAAAACAGGGATACGAGCACATTGACATTCAGTTACGGGTCTTACGACGACCCGTAGTGATAGCCTTTGATCATACTCCAAGCGCTAGGCTGCATGTTATCGAGGCTATCATGCAAAGTACCGAAGCAGTACACAAGATTGGAATCGGCCCGGAGCTTGATAAAACCGGAATGGACGGAATGAAAGTACGAGCTGCCCGGTAACCCGGTCATGTGGTTTTTTTCAGATGGATTGCGGCTTAATCGCTAGTTCTAGAACTTAAACAACATTTTTGAGCCGTATACGCGTGTACTTGACCCGCGCTTGTTGTGTTGACCAAGAACTGGCTGTTTTAAATAACCCCGCTAACTGTGGTATCTCTTGTATAGTGTCTCTGCATCCTGTCCTTGATCAGAGTTTGTGTAAAAAGGGTTTTCGTGGTGTTATAAAATACGCCATCAATGACAAAACTTAGTCATCCAATCACAATGAATACAGTACAACCTGCCTCGAAAGTTTACAATGGCAACGGCGCTAAGGATACATCTGTGTGGAAGTAGGTAGATGGCATTATTCTTTACTTTGTGACACTATTCTATCGATCTTATATTAATGGATGCTCTTAGGGCATTGGCAAAGGTTCACCGTTGGCTAGCCGTACTTCCGAACCCGGATTGCAGCTACATCTTTCTGTCAGAAGCTAGCTATGCTACGCCAAATGACTCTGAATTGGTCATTAACAAGATCAAGAGCATATCAGATTGCCAGGACTATGTCATTCCAGGAAGCCAGCCGCTTGCTTCGCCACTGTGGCTAGGCCGCAAGGTTCTGATTTGGAGTGTCACGTGTGCTGGGACAACTCAGCTCTGGTGTATAGACATGGAAGAGGATTCACCCAGGTCCGTCATCTCTGTTTACCATTATCTTGTTTCGTACTGATACACTTTTCGAGTAAAGAGAGCAGATGATAGGGTGCCTTCCATGTGTAGCTTCGAGCATGAAGGTGCAAACGCTGGCTGATTCGACATACGGGCTGATTTTTGAAGCAACGCCTCAGAATATCCAGGAAGAATGTCATTCAGCCACACCCTCAGGTTCTGGAAGACTATACACGCAGTTTCCTTTCCGCTTCGAAAAGTTCTACCGCCCACAGAATGAAGCAAGGTCGTCGATATACTTTGTGTCGGTACGCAGAGCTGGAATGAACTGGCATCTTTCCGAATCGCCTCCCCTTGATATTCTTGAGGGTGTAGATTTACCTCTTGTGGCCTGGCCAGACAAAGGATCTTTCATGCTCGGCGAGCACGGCATACTCCTTTCTACAGGAGGAACTGGCAACAAGAATGCAATCCCATTTCACAAAGAACTTATATATCTGGAAGTAAATTGGGTAAAAGGTACCAAAGCTACCAAGGCGACAAAATTCGGCTACAAAACCTGGACCGGCGAGCCCCAATCATTTTCTGCGTCTCATGATGGGCTGTTTGCGATGTTCCTCCAATCTGAAGACTCTGGAGCATGCTTCTCCCACGACTCATTGTTCATCGTGTCACTTGTCAACCCTGAACATTCACAAATTGTTCATCTCTTTCAAGCTCAAAAGGAAGGGGATTGCAGTCCCTGGAACCCACGGATACTCTCAACATTATGGAGCTCACAAAGTTCCTCAACTCTCTACGCTATCGTGGATGAAAAAGGCGCCATGTCCGTTTGGAAGATCACCTTGTCTCAGAATCACGGATCCATGGATTGGAAGGGGCTGTGTCTGCCCGTCGTGAGCAATGGCTGCACATCATCCATCTTCCCACTGACGGGACCAGAAGGCGAGGAACGAATCTTGGTAGCTCGCTCAACATTCAAGAGGACGGGTATTCTTGAGGTCGCCACATTGGGGCCAGACGGTCAAATCCATGTTCAATCAATCACTGAGCACAGTGTCCCATCATCTTCAGCGACCCACGAGGAAATCATCTTTCAGGGCGCCGTGACCACCGTATCAGCTTTCGTGCACAAACCTGGAAACTTTGACCCCAAGAAAAAGTACCCGCTCATCGTCATACTTCATGGGGGTCCCAATGATGCTTGGAGAGACTGCTGGCCAAAAGTATGGAACCCGTTACTCTGGACCGACCAAGGATACATGGTCATCACGCCAAACATTAGCGGATCAACGGGATACGGATTACCATTTGCGTGTTCCATCTACCAGAACTGGGGCAATGCAACGCTGAAAGATGTCGAGTGTCTCTTCTCTTACATGGAAACATGCATGCCGTTTGTCGACTTGTCTCGCGTCGTTGGAGCTGGCTACAGCTTTGGTGGATACATGATGAACTGGATTGCAGGACACGCGGTATCCGCTCGCTTCTGCGCACTGATTGTGCACGCAGGCGTGTACTCTATCCGGAACCTAATGGGCGGAGACCTGCCCATCATCTTCAAGGCAGATTTCGGGTGCTTCCCCTGGGAAGACGCCGAACAGTGGGAGAAGTGGGATCCATCTCGGTTGTGCCAGCATTGGAAAACGCCAATGATGTTCTCGCATGGAGATGTCGACTATCGCGTCCCAATCACTGAAAGCCTTGCAGCGTACAATACGTGCCATATTAGAGGCGTGCCTTGTCAGTTTTTGGTATTTCCGAACGAGGGCCACACGATATCACGGCCGGAAAATCTCGCTCAGTTTCAGAAGGCCATGGTGGATTGGGCGAAACAATGGATGGAAGGAGGAAGAAAAATTGAATGATATGGTGTATCTACGCTTGCTTCTATAATTTCTCCCTGTAGAAATCCAATACAGTACGAGTGGTTTTGAGATGGTATGTGTAGCATTCCAATGCATTCATAAAGTAGTATTTTTATTGATCGGCTCTCATAATCACCGGAGGCAATCAAACTTTGCCAATATGCCTTGTGTAAATCAATATCCACGTATTGTATTAGAGTTGCTAGATATAGTGCAGTTACCACTTCTTTATGTCATTCACTCTACTGTGCTGTGTAGACAGCTGCTTTTGCATTGAACTCACTTCTGATGTGATGTGATGTATCGTTTAACGTCCCTACTAAAAACCTCCGATTGGGCATGTGTACATGTAAAGCCCAGGACTTGCAGCGGTAGCACGCTGCCTAGGGTACCTATTCTTTTCAGGTTGTGCGTGAACTCACTTCTGAAACTTGAATACACTGATTGCTTTTCTTATCTTTCTTACATGAAGGCGAACTGCTTTCTCATTATGGAATTCAAAATTCTCTGGATTTGATAGTCTCCTGCGTATTGGATTGGGGAATATTGTTTTTATGAGTGATTTCTATGTGCTGATGCAGCGGCTTCCACCACCCAGTAGGCTACATAATATATAACAGCTGTGAGGCACCATGCTCTATACCTCATAGCCAACACATACGTTGTGATGTATACTATAAATATTTTTGAAGAGCCAGCGAGAGCCTCTAATAAACATGAGACATTGTTTAGAAAAAAAGCTATGCTCGGCAGCTACTTGCAATAATGTACGATAGCAGAAGTTATTCGAACAACGCAGATTTCGAATGACGAATTGTAATACGGTATCTATCATTGTTCATGTTATCATCTAACAGCTGTACCCAGATGTATCGGTTCTAGTTTAGCGAGATAGTATCGCAAGTAGGTGAGTTAAGTTGCTGCTCAGAATCCTCACACTGTTATCCTTGGGTACGCCTTTTCACTATCTTGTTCTCTGCGTAGCGACCTCCTGACTGTCACAACATGACATTATAACAGGTTAGAAACAGATATCAAATATAAAATCATGTACGATTAGACGTGAAATATTGAGTATAATTTCTAAACACCTCGCTGCAACAAAATACCGTTATCGTTGCCCATAAACTTCCCTGATCGAGACCGCACATGACTGATGAGCCCTGACGCCTCCAACTTGCGCAGACACATGCTTCCAGGCTCGAAGTATGCAACTACGGCGAATCACAAGATTGGTTTTCAATGGCCATGCATTCGTCCGACGGTTTAGAGGGCGCCCCTTGCGTCCGCGGAGGCTACTTGATCATCATGCCAAGAGGTCTAAACAGGTAATTGTGCATGTAAGGAGCTACAACCAACACGAAACGGGATAAGGTGCACACGCTGATGCATGTGCATGCCAACAAACGGTCGGTGTATTGCTCACATGGCAAACAGAGCGCCGACTGTGCCTCCACATCCTCCAGCGTCCATCCTTTTCCAACACCAACGACGCTATTCTTAGCCCACACGGTCCACGCACAACCCGCCGCCAGTATTACTCGAGTCAAGACATTGCATTGACCAAGCCTACTCGCGACGACGCGTCGAATACACAAACACGCTGTCGCGCAATCACGAGGTATACATTGCCCCACTACGCCGCTTGACAAAGTCCCCACCTTTACCACACCGCGGACCAGCAAGCACGCGCGCGCTTCTCCTCAAGACATGGCAGCAGAAGACCTCAAACAATATTTGATCATACCGTCCTCGCCCGTATCCGCATTGCCATCTTCATCAAATCCAACTGCCAATCAACCAGGAAAATCACACGTCTCTCATCTCATCTCGGAAACCGGATACACGCGTTCAGAGGATCAACATAGTACGGTAGACACTCGTGAATTTACCATGGAAATCGACACGCCCCTGCAAGCGCTTGCATTTGGCTCTGCACAAGGCCAGGAAAACATGAGGCCTAGTCCCGCTCCACTCGCAGGCATCATGAGCATGGACGACTTTATGAACCAGCACAAGGACGAGCACGAAGCACAACGTCTCGCGCGCTCGCAAAAGAACGCCACGCCGCCAGCCAAAAAACCACAGACTGGAACTACTGCCTCTCTCACCCCAATTGCCGTGGGAGCCCGCACATCCAAGCACACCATCTTGCTGCACGAAAAATACCAAGCCCTAGGAATCGCACAGCCGCTCTTCACCTACAGCGGCGGCAGCAGCTCAGGCTGGACCGCGAGCCTCAGTTTCCCGGGTCTAGACGCCATCGCCGAGCTGCAAGGCATTACCGACGAGCGGAAATTCAACAGCAAGCAAGAAGCCAAGGAGGCGCTGAGCGAGAAGGGCCTAGCCGTGCTGCAAGAACTCGAGGCACAAGGCCGCGTTAAGAAAGCGACAAAGAGCCGGAAGAGCAGTGGCGGCGGACAAGAAGCCCAGCAGCAAGATGCAGTTGATAACGAGCCAGCCGAGAATTACGTGGGTAAACTACTTGGTACGTCTCATACACACACACACACATATATATATATATACCGAAATATCTACTCAATTACCTTCCCATACTAACACACCCAACCCCCAGAATTCCAACGCGCAACAAACAGCCCGCAACCCACCTACACCGACTACCAATCCGGCACGCGCTTCACATGCCTACTCACGCTCGACGGCACGCCCTCGCCCTTTGGCTCTCTCACCACGCTCTTCAGCACCAAAAAAGCCGCGCGCCAGGCCGCCGCACACGCCGCAGTCGAGCACTTCAAGCGCCTCGGCACATGGCCCGATGAGACGACGGCTGGAGCCGGGATCCGCAAGAAGAAAGCTCAGGGTCCGGCTCAGGGACGTGAAACCATGGTTCCTCAAAGTCTGGTTCAAGGAGATGATGCGAGTACTGACATGATTTGTCCTTCTTCTTCTTCTTCTTCTTCTTCTTCTTCTTCTTCGTCGCCAACACCCGCATCAAATCCAAACTCAAACTCAAATCCAAGTTCAAATCAAAATCAAAATTCAAGCTTCGCCGCACGCGCTGCATCCCTCGCAGCCACGCTCTCGCTGCCCACTCCCTCATGGGTCTTCACGCCGCACGCCTCCGACCCAACATACCACACGGTAGCATGTTTTTTCCGGGGCGCGGGGCCACTGCACGAAGGGCCGATTGGCGAGGTGCGCAATGTGTATGGGAAGAAGCGGGCGAAAGAGGAGTGTGCGCGGTTGGTGGTGGGGTATCTGGAGGGGGTGAGGGAGAGGCGGAGGGAGGAGGGGAGGAGGAGGATGATGATGGGCGTGGTGGTGGGGGCTGTTGAAGGAGAGGGAAGGGGGGAAGATGACGACGATGATGATGTGTTTATGGATGCGGTCGAGTAAAAAAGGTACTGGGACATGTATGTATGTATGTATGTATGTATAGGAAGGAGTTGGTAGAAGAACCAGGTAGCGCTCTTCTTTGGCTGTGCATTCAACACGGACTAGATACATGATGCCTTCTCTTTTATTTTTTGGAGCGGGCGTACGGGGGCACTGTATACATATGTATCACGATGCAGGCATACAAGCACCAGTTACCAGTAAGTACCAGTACCAGTAAAAATAATAGCAAGTCATGTCAGTCATGCTAGATTGGATTGATACGTGACGCAAGAAAAATCTCACGCTACTTACGCAGACAAGACATGGAAACAAAGCGACGAAAGAAGAAGAAGAAGAGAGAGAGAGAGAAATGCAACAAGACTGAGAGAAGAAAGAAGCCGGGAAGAGAGAACTCAACAACGCGTCAATCACGTCATTAGCCTGTGTGAAGAAAAGTTCATGTCCTTCTTTTTCAAAGCAATTCCATCGCTCGACTTATTCTTACACGGAAGTTTGCTCTGGCTCATCCCATCCCATCCCATCCCATTCCAAAATAAAAAGATATACACGTCGTCATGATGAAGAGAAATTTTTTTCAAGTAGAGTCAACCTTTCGCTTGCTGCGATCGCGCTTCTTTTCCTTGCCCGCCTTTTCGGCCTTTTCAGCCTTCTCCTGTGCGGCATTCTCCTTGTCGCCGTCAGCCTCGGTGTTACGAGTGGTGCGGCCCGACTTGGTCTTCTTCTTGTTACCAGTCTCCTCAGGGGCAGGCTCGTCATTAGCGGCTGCAGGAGCAGGAGCAATGGGCTGAGGCGCAGCCTTTTCCTTCTTCTTCTTGTTGTCCTTCTTTGCCGGTGTCTCAGCAACGGCCGTGACGGCAGGCGCTGGAGCTTGCGAGGTTGTGCGCGAGCTGGGGAGAGGAACTGGGGTTGAGCCAGAGCCAGCGGGCGCAATGGCGACAGGAGCAGAGTTTCCATTTGTGGCTGGAGTCGTCTTCTGGCGCTTGCGCGGCGTCTTTGCAGGTGGAGAGGGAGCCTTTGCAGGAGCCTCTTCTTCATCCTCAGAAGACGCTTCCGTGTCTGCCGCGCCCACCTCGGCTTCAATATCAGGTTCGGCATCGTCGGAAGCCTCGTCCTCCTCGACGAGCTCCGTGGCCTTGATGCCCTTGTTGGCGACGTACTCGGCCAGCTCGGCCTTGTACTCCTCCATGGAGTTGCGGTAGGAAGCCTTCCATTGCTGGGGCATGTTAGCGCGATACTCAAAACAGTCAGGCAGCAAACTCACCTCCTTCTCCTCTTCAGGGAGCTCGTTCCACCGCTTGTTGACCTCGATCTGAACGGCGTTCTTCTCAATCTGGCCGCCCGGAGGAAGCGCAGCCTCGAGATCGGCCTTGACAATGGGGCGCGCATGCTGGTGGTACAGGAAGGCGGCGGTGAGGGGCTTCTTGGGGGCATTGGGGTCCTTTTCCTTCTTTTCGCGCTTGCGCTTCTTGCCCTTGGTCACCTCGACCGACTTGTCGAGCGGCACGACCAGCTGCTTGGTCTCGTCGACGGCATTGCGACCGGCCTCCATGACCGAGGCAGCGACAGCAGCGACATCATTGAAGGGGGGGATTTCGCCCTCCTCGCCGCCAAGGACCGAGGCGCAGTGCTTGCGGTAGTTGGTCAGGAGGTCGGTGATGCCGTGCTGGACGTGGATGAGGCCGGCCTGCAGGTTGTGGAGAGAGGCAATGACCTGGTCATGATGGTAAGCTGTAGCTCTGTCATTGGGCGAGGCGGGCGGGCGCGGGCGCATTGGCTCGCGCGGCGGTGGGCGCGCGGGCTGCACGGGGACAGGCTGCGAGGGCGCGGGCGCGGGCGGTTTCGGCAGCAGCGCAGCGAGAGGGGCGGGCGACTCTGGCATTTGCAGGTCGCGCGGGCGAGGCGATCAGGATGAGGGCAGCGGGCAGCGGGCCTGATGATCTCCACCGCAGAGTACAAAAAGACTCGCGACTCGGTATGTTCTCACTCACGCCTGCGCGCACAGCTGCGTTGTTTCCCCCCCCCCCCAGCCGACGCGCGCCTGCCTTCACTTGTCGTGTCGCGATGACACCAATAAGCCCGCACGGCCAGCACCCAAACGGCCACGCCACCCTCCCCCCATTCCCTCTGTCGCCCGTGGCCTCCTTCTTCTTGGTGGTGGAGATGGCGGCGGCAGCAGCAGAGGCGGCGGCGGCGGCGGCGGTGGTGGTGGTGGTGGTGGGCGCCATGGTGTGGGCGATGGCGGGTGGAGCTGGCGGTGGGTGGTTGAGGAGGGAGGCAGAAGGCTGGCTGACGGGGGCAGGTGGTTGAGGGAGAGGGAGCGAGGAGCGAGGGCGCGAGGGCGCGAGGGAGCGAGGGCGCGCAAAGGGGGCGGGCGGAAGAACTTGGGCGGGCGGCGGGCTGGGGGGAGGGGGAAGGGCGCCCTTAAGTGACAGCCGCGCTCGCTAACCCGTGGCCTCCTGGTGGGCAGCCCTCAGCCCAATTTCGGCGCTGCCAGTCATGCTGGCCGGGCTTGCACCAACGCCCTCTCTCCCTCTCCCCCTCTCCCACTTGGATACGCCTACACACGCGCACACGCACGCGCACTGCTACCTACCGTAGACTGCGCAGCGTCAGCAGCACCCAGCGCGACGCCGACGCAGCCGGCAGTGAAGATGGCGCGCGCCGTCTGCCGCCCACTATTACAGGAGGGCCGCGCACGCAGTCCAGCGTGTGTCTCTTGTGCACTGCATGCGCTGCGCTGCCTGGGCCGGCCGCCTTGTGCACGGCGTATGGCGCGCATGTGCTGACAAGGGCCTGGCCACGCCCACGCTGCCCTCCCTGCCTCGCCTCGCCTCGCCTCGCCTCGCCTCGTCTCGCTCTCTGCCTGGGCGGCCCTGTAGGCGCTGGCGCTGGTGCCGGAGCTGGCTGGTGCTGGCTGGTGCTGGCTGGTGCTGGCTGGTGCTGGCTGGTGCTGGCTGGTGCTGGCGCTCCTTTGCGTGCCACCAGCCCCTGCCCGCCCGCCTGCCCGCCTGCGTGTTTGGGCGCCTCTGGGCCTGCTCCATGCTACGCCCACTCGCACTCACACTCGTGCTCGCTCACCCCCTCGCCCTCGCCCTCGCCCTCGCCCTCGCCCCCGCCCCGCCTTCCCACCACCCAGCTAGCCAGCCAGCCGGCCAGCCATGCACCACGCAACGGCGTTTCACAACAGTCGCACTCACTGCTCATCGCCCAACGTCCATCCATCTGCCTTCAAGTCGCATGCCGAGTGCAGCTTATATTTTGATTCTTGACCTGGCCCTCATGCTCCCTCCTCAAACCTGCCGCCTTCGCTGACATCAGGATACACATCAAACCGCCTCTGCCCATACAGCGGCACCCCCTTCCTCACCTCCTCAATCTTGCCCGCCTCCAGCTCCGCCATCAACACGCCCTCCTTCTCGTCCAGCTGCTCCACCACCTGCGCATTCGCGTCCACCACCATGCTATGTCCCCACGCATTGTACTCGGCCTGCATGTCGCGCGCCGGGCTGCACAGTCCCACGTACACCTGATTGTCCGTTGCCCGCGCCCGAGCCAACAACTCCCAATGCAGCGCCCCCGTCGTGAGATTGAACGCCCCCGGGTACAGCAGCAGAAACGCCCCCTTGCGCGCTGCAATCATGGCCAGCTCGGGGAACCGGATGTCGTAGCAAATGGCAATGGCAATCTTGCCGTACTCGGGCAGCTCCACCAACGTGATCTTGTTCCCCGGCGACAGCACCTCGCTCTCCTTGAACCGGATCTTGCCCGGGATGTCAATGTCAAACAGGTGCACCTTTCTATGCGTCGCGATTAGCTCGCCGCTCGGCCCAAACGTCAGGCTGGTGTTGTACAGCTTCTTGCTGTCCTGGCTGTCGCGCTCCGGTATGCTTCCGCCCACCAGGTACACGCCTGCTTCCTTTGCGAGTTGCGACAGCGCGTGGAACGTCTGCGACTGCGACTCCGACGGCGGCGATGGCAGCAGCGTCTCGGCGTACCGGTCAAAGTACTTTGTGCCGTACGGCGAGTTGAAGCATTCGGGCAGCACCACCAGCTTGGCTCCCGCCTTGGAGGCATCGAGCACTTTTTGCCGCGCAGACCTGAGGTTGGCCGTCTTGTCCGCCCCCGAGGCGAGTTGGATCAGCGCGAGCTTGAGCGACTTTTTGAGGAGCGACGCCATGGTGCAGTAATGGCTTGCGTATGCGAAAGGGCGACAATGGGTTCTAGGGCGACGACAGACTTGATATAATAATCATCGCGTAACCATGGTGTTGGAGTGTTGGAGTAGCCTTGGAGTGGGGTACCGCCGCGGGGCTTGCAACCGCGTCATAGCTCGGCCAAGTTGCTCGCCCGACGCCACACGTTTGCTCTCTATCGCCGTTAACCGACATGCCCTTTGATGAACTGCTTTACCAAGACACCCCGAACCCATCTGGGTTGCCGCTAACCCGTGTCAAGGCTTACTTCATCATGGGCCAACCAAGTTGGGCTTAGTGTCGGCATATTCGTCTTAAACCGACAAACGGGGTTTGGGCCATGTCACATTTTCCCTTGGTTTCAGCTAACTTTTCCGTTGATTCACATATCTAGAGTACGTATACATCTGTTTGTGTGAAATACCCATCCTCTCTATTCCCTGTTCCCTTGACGTATCAATGGATTCAATCACGCACAGGTACAAGAGAATCCAGTGACATGGCATTCCTCGTCTCAGCCAGTCCTTCTCATATAAAAAAAAGAATTGCATCATACATCCTTCTTGAACAATGATGTTATTGCGCCCTGTTTCCGTCGTCTTTCCATCCCAAGCCCAAATCCAACCAATACCCGTGCCGCTCTCGTGCATGCATTACGCACTGAGAATCTGTGGGGTGTTCGCAGGACAGCTAAACACCTGGCCCACTTACATAATCTACATCCTACATTAGCTACACTAACCGTTTTCTCAGAGCAACTTTTATGCAAGAATAGAGGGTTATGTAGTTGGGACATATCTGCTGGAAACAATCTTCTCTTAGTATGATATTCGTGGTATAGTTTTCCTGCCATGTCTGGAGCTGTTGACTTAAGGAAATGTCGTATGTGAGATATGTATCTGTGCAGTTCAGCAATCAGGGGATGGAATGATTAAAGTATGGAGAATCGAGAAAGAGAGACACAGAGAAAAGGTCACTAAACAAGGTCAACCTGTCCACCCTGACAGTTTGAACAGACGATATAACGGCGGAGCAGAAGATTGAAGACTACATTTCCATCAGCGCTTTCCCTCGGCACACAGACATGGAGCCAACTTAACCACGATCCACTTATATCTGCTCACGTACCGAGGAAGCGGTGAACATGTTCAGCAGGATGCAAAGGCATCTGCACAAATTTGTCCATTAAGCAACATCTAGGTATGTTCAAAAGCCATGTAACCACCTTCAAGCCGTGAGCTATAACAAACACCGATGATAGCGATGATGCACACAAATAGTCACAACACACGCAAAATTACATGAAGACATCACCATAGATAGCCCATTCCACACTCATACTCACTCACTCACTTACTTAGTTATACCTACCCAAGCACCCCAGCAATAACGTGCTTCCCCACCGTACCTTCGCAACCGGCACGACATCCCAACAAGCACGGAGCAAACCCCCCAAAACAGGCCTCCACCTCCACACATGTCAAGCCACAGCAACGAAAGAAGAAAAAAATTAGTCCACCTCAAGACCATACATGATTCCCGATGGGGGGGGGGGGCATAGCCGTTCAAGGCGAAAGAGAGACCCTTGCGCAGGGTTGCACCCAGCGGCTCGCCGCCCCCATGCCTATTGCGGCGTCTTAGCGCTGATGTCGTGCTCGGGGCGGCCCCATAGTAAAAAAAAACCTACAGTAACTAAGTACACATGAAATTGTCGGGGCCTCGTTTTCAACGTCAACGTCCACCGAAATGATCCAACGGCATAGGCGGGGGCGCAAGCAAAGACGAAAAAAAAATATGGGGAAGGCAAAGTTCTTTAGATGCGCGCCAAGAGAAAGAGAAGGGGATTGCGTGTTGAATTCAAGTTACTTTGGCCGGGCTTGGAAATGGGGGTCGAGTGGTACTTATGGTTGAGTAGATGTGTAAATTCTATACATATCTTCATTTTGGCTTCTTTTCACCTCTTTACCTCTTCATCTCTTCTTCTTCTTCTTCTTCGTCGTCGTCATCTTTCTCTGGCTTCCGTCCTACTTAGAACCCCGGCATGTCGTCTACTTCCTCGCTAGCCAGGCGCCAGGCGTCAGGCCCGATATTTCGCTCAGTCGCCTTCAACATCCTCGTCGCATGCGGCGTGTCGTTCACCGCACCAGGCATGTGGGATGCGCTGGGGGGACTGGGTGCAGGCGGCGCTGCAAAGCCCTACGCCGTGTCTGCTGCCAACGCACTGGTCTACGGGCTCTTCGCCATTGTGTGTGTAGCCGCAGGCGCAATCAATAACCGCATTGGACTCAAATACGGGCTTGCGCTGGGAGCCGTCGGATACCCGTTGTATGGCGCGGGCCTGTATACTAACAACGTTTCGGCCAATACGTGGTTCATGCTGTTTGGATCCGCGCTGTGCGGCATCAGCGCGGGCTTCTTCTGGGCTGCTGAAGCCGCCATTATCATCGGGTACCCGTCGCCGGGCGACCGCGCCTTCTTCCTCGCTGTGTGGCAGACGGCAAAGTCGCTGGGCCCTATTGTTGGAGGCGCGATTAACCTGGGGCTGAACGCGAACAAGAAGACAACAGGATCCGTCTCGTCGACAACATACATTGTCTTCATCGTCATCATGTGTCTCGGGCTGCCCGTCGCGCTGTGTCTCAGTCCCGCACACAAAGTGTGGCGCCGCGACGGCACCGTCATCGTAACGCAGCGCGCAGCAACATGGGCCGCTGAATTCAAAGCCGTAGGCAAGCTATTCATCAGTCGCCGCATCTTGCTTCTCCTCCCAGCCTTCTTCATCAGCTACTTCTACAACGGCTTCCTGAGCACATGGCTAACAACCTACTTTACCGTGCGCGCCCGCGCCTTCTCCAGCTTCTTCACCAATTTCGCAGGCATCTTCTCCTCGTTCCTCATCGCCCTGCTGCTCGACAAGCAGAACTGGAATATCAAGATGCGCGGCCGCATCGCCTTTTCCGCCATCATTACCTTGTTGCTCGGAACCTGGATCTGGGCGACCGTCTTGCAGCATGAGTTTTACGGCGCCGCCGAAGCACCGGTTTTCGACTGGTTCCGCGGTGGCTTTGGGAAGAGTTATGCGCTGGTTTTCTTCTGGCAGTTTGGCGGCCAGGCGTTCCAGCAGTTTTTGTACTGGCTTGTCGGTCAGTATGCTACCGACCTGTCGAATCTGAGCCACTTGACTGGGATCCTGCGGGGTGTCGAGGCGCTGGGTCAAACGGTTGCTTGGGCGTAAGTTCTCTCTCTCTCTCTCTCTCTTTCCTCCATCCACTTCGCTTATCCGTACATTTTGCTGACGGGAAACAAACAGTATGCAATCGCAAGGCGGAGCCAACCACTTTGTCAGCATCGGCCTCAACTTTGGCATCACGGTCCTGTGTGTGTTTCCCACGTGGATTGTGCTCTCGGAGCTCGAGAAGAGCCATGAAGTCCGTGTTACCGAGCATGTGGCCAAGGATGATACGCTCAAGGATACTGCTTGAGCGGTGTCAAGGAGATATCTATGTAGTATGTAGAGGTAATATATAATCTTGTATAGTCTACGGGATATGTTTGTTCCTTTGGACAAATTAGAAGTGTTACTGTTGAGAACAAGCGAAGAAACTAGGCTTTTATCATCTAGCAAGTAGTTTCAGTCGTCTCTCAGCACGATATATGATCCCCCCTCCCCCTTTTTTTTCATATACAGACGACGTAGATATCCACTCATTACCAATCATCAGCAGACACATTGTGTTCAAAAGCACGATATATACCACACGCTGATTCTCTCTGTTCTAAAGGTACACGACACCTCTGACCAAAAGCGAACAGAAAGCATCAAAGTAGCAAAAAGTAAATCCCTGGAAAATACTGTATTGGAAACAATCAGTGGATAAATACCCCCAATGAACCAAGCACTCATGAAATAGCATACTATGTAAATTAATCAACTAAATACACTATATACAACGAATCATAATCCATAACCACATATCAAAACGAGACCGACCCTAGCCACCATTTTTCTCAACCAGCAAAGCCATCAAGCATATGCTTAAACACGGGCAGCCACAAAGGCGGCGGCAGCAGGAGCATCAATCTCGTAGTTGGAGTGGGCAGGCGTAATAATGATGCCGTTGTCGCAGATGTTGTCGCCGTCGTGGCAGATGATCAGGACCTTGGAGGCGGCAACGGGGCCAAACGACTCGTCGCGGTCTGGGTCGCCAAAGGTAACGACGGCGTTGACGCGCGCGGCAGCGGCAGCAGTGAGGCGCTGGGTGGCTGTGTGGACCAGCTGGGCGCCCTGCGAGTAGCCCGAGAGAACGATCTTGGTTGAGGGGCAGCGGGTAATGGTCTGGATGAGAAGAGTTAGTATCAGCATATTCATCTTGTATCGTGAAGTTTCATATGAGGACGCACCGTGTTGATTAGGTTGAACAGTGTAGTAGCTCCGTTTGCGTCGCCGCCGGCCAAAAAGCCCAGAACAGTGGCAGGGTAGTTTACGCCCTGGATGGCGAGCTGGCCGGTTCCTCCTAGGCGCGAGGCGAGAGCATTGAAGAAACTCGGGCCCTCTGAACCGGCCTCTCCCACGTTTCCGGCGCCGTTGGTGCCGCGGGCGTAGATGACGCTTATGGGACGGCAGGCGGTGCCGTCAGTGAGCTGGTTGTACGTGGTACCGCCGTACTGGCGCTTGGAGAGAGTGTGCGCCTCGCTCTCGAGCTTTGCGAGGTATTGCCTGGGGCTGAAGTCGGTGTCGGCAAGGTCGGTGATGGGGAAGCTGATGTCGGCGGTTGCTGGGGTTGGGGCAGCGAGCGTGGTGGAGGCAATGGCCGCCAGAGCGAGCAGAGAATGGGCACCGGTCTTCATTGTGGATTGGTGGTAGTGAGAAGCCAAGGGAAGTTGGATACTTGAAGAGGAGAGGAGAAGAAGAGCTGGCTGTGGTGAGTGGCTTCAGTGCAGCAGTATCCGTCCGCCTTTTGTAGTCGAGGGCGGTTGTGTTGATTCATTTTAGCTGCCCTGTTACGGCCGTGAACAGTCTCCCACGCTAGCCAGTCTCTCTCGTGGTGCATTGACATGTGTTGTCGGTAACCCCTCAACTACATGCTCGAGATACTCTTCAGTCTCTATGTCCGTTGTTGCACACAAGTGCCCCTTGTCGTGGATCGAGGCATGACCAATGGCTACACTAGGCCCGGAACACGTTGGCCAGTGGTTGCTCAGTTGATCTCCGCAGCGTATATCACCATGCAGCATGGCGCTCCGGGCCTTTGTAGCGCCCCTCCAATCCCGGGGTAGCTATTAGCTTTGACCTTCTTCGCGTTAGCTGACCCCAGGTACGGCGGGCTAGTAGGCACACGTGGGTGTGATGAACAAGAACAAAACAGAGACGATGGGGAGATTAGAGCATGGGGGGAACGCCATGCACAAGTGGAAATTGGAGTCCCCAGGAATTGGTTGGGCCGACATGTCAGGCACATCTGGCGCCTCGACAAGGCGATCAGTGTAGAGAAAATCATCCGAGGGCTATTTTGTATAATTGTCTTGTTCAAACGACGTGAACTGGTACAGTGTAATGTCTGACATAAGCTACTACCTACGGCTACGGAGAATCTCACCTACGCGCGTGACGTCACGCCAAGCTACCACGACCTTCCTCTTTACGGCACGCCCTTCTCGTGCATAATTGCAAAAAGACATCTTGACAAATCCAACCCTTCTCACCATAGCCACAATTCATGCCGTCTTTGGCCTTGTACCTTCCCAAAAAGTGCGCTGCTAGCAATCAATCTATGTCGCCGTGTTTCAAGATGAATACTGATACCAGGAAACCAGCGTCGTTTAGGCATGTCGATCGATCCCGCTAGCAGCCGCCGCCGGGTGTGGGGAAGATGCAGCCAAACTCTCCAGCCCATCTGGCCGAGGGACTTTACAAGTCTAAACGATTACTGTTATCAAATTGTTTCGGGATACACTCGAAAAGCGGACAAACACACGCGTCACTTGCGGCAGTCGTTGCCAAGCAAAAACCCCCCAGATGCAGCAATCAGGTGCCAATGGACTTTGCCCATTTCTCCATTTGGCGCCTTGGTAGCATTACGAGCTTCCACTTCGGATGCTGATCTACACCATGCCCCTGCTTCGACAACAGTAGCGGCATCCTCTTCGATTGCGATATCTCTGGCAGTGACGTGAAGAGATGGCGATACCGGCAATCAAGGCGTCTTGCGAAGAGTGGGATGGCAAACTGGCGAGATATAAATGGTACAAGATGGGAAATGGACGAATCCTCAGCATCCCGCCCGGCGATTGCTCTCGTCGGAAATGTGGTCAGCCTCAATTGTTGCTGTTTGCGCGGCATCTCTCCTCCAAAGCGCCGTCTCCACCCCAATCCACCGCCACTATCCCCACCAATTCCCCAGCCCCGAGATATGGCCTGCGCCGGCAGTGGGGAAGGCCCTGGAGCCGCAGATGCCGGGCGAAGACCTCCAAGCCATCATTGCGCAGATATCTCGGGACAATATCGAGGCCACGATCAGGAAGCTTGCTTCCTTTGGCACACGTCACACGCTGTCGAGCCAGACTGATCCGAACCGAGGCATTGGCGCAGCGAGGACATGGCTGACGGCCAGGTTTCAAGAGGCCGCCGCGGCGAGCGAGGGGAGGATGACGGTGGACTGGAATAGCTTCATCAAGTATCCTGGAGACAATGCACGAATCCTCTTCCCAGTCAACATCACCACAGTGGTTGCAACGCTCAAAGGAAGCGAAGATCCAGACCGATACTACATTACTGGCGGACACTACGACTCCCGGAACAGCGATCCTGTCGACTACCAAGGAGACGCGCCGGGCGCCGTGGACGATGCTTCAGGCGTAGCTGTGTCGCTCGAGCTTGCGCGCATCTTCGCCCACTACAAGCCCAAGTCGACGATTGTATTCACAGCGTTTGCAGGCGAAGAGCAAGGCTTGCTCGGCGCCGAAAACCTGGCGCAGACGTACAAAAATGCCTCGACCAATGTCGCGGGCATGATCAATCTGGACATGGTCCAAACACGACGTTGTCCTTGTGGATAGTCGCCGACGTCAGGTTGTACCAGGTGGAGTTTCCCGCGTCAATGACATGGGTCCAGTGCGGCGCAATCGTCTCGCGGTACACGATTTCGTAGCGCTTGACGGGCAGCCCCGCGGGCGGGGTCCATGTGAACTGGCTGAAGTTGTCCGACCCAGTCGTGTTGATGCCGACCTTGGTCGGGACCCCCGGGGCATTGGCAAGACTCCACATGGTGCTCGCGACTACCTTTGCGGCGCGCGTGTTGTACTCAAAGTCGAGCCATTCGACCACGTCGCCGTACTGCTTGCCGTTGCGTACAGTCACGTTTTGGTGCTGCTGCGTGTAGTCTTCGTTGGGCTGCACGAAGCGCACGCCCGTGTATCCGGCCTCGAGGAACGGGCGGTGGTCGCCGCCGCGCCCGTAGCGGTCGAGCCGGTAGATGAGGCGCACCGTCATCTCGGTCCACGCGTTGGACGCCACTTCGTAGATGTGGCGGCCCAGGTTGCGCGCTGGGCTGTCGTTTTCCCCGCCGATGCTCAGCCGTGATGCTGTTTTGGTTGCGTTTTCCGTCAGCGGCGTGCCTTCGCAGAAGAGGCGGATGTTGTACGCGTCGACTGAGCCATCCTCGGCTTTGGAGTTGCCGCGTGCGCAGCGTGGCAAAGGGCGGGTTCAAGAGTCCGGCTGTGCTGCCGTTTCCGTTTGGATGTTTGAGGAACTGTTAGATTGGCTTATGAATGAATGAATGAATGAATCAAGTTATGAGATATTACTCTCTCTCTCTCTCTCTCTCTCTCTCTCTCTCTCTTTCGAATTACCATGACCATGACCAGATCGAAGCCGCGCTATGCTCACATGGAAAGTTGATGACTTTTTTTTTCTTCGTCGCCTGATGTTGTATGTATGGATCGAGTAGACTGGGAATTAAATATGGGGGAGTTGATAATTAAGAATGCAGCATCATGATATCTCTCTCCATGTGTTGCAAGCTCCTACGTAGTACAGTACTACCGTACAGTACACTGCTATCAGTCAGTTAATCAGTCAATTAATCAATCAATCAATCAATTAATTCATAAATACCTCCACCCTTTTATGCTATATCCATTTCCTTTTTTTCCTTGCCTTTTGCCCCGCCGTTATTCTTCTTCTCTTTACTCACTCAAACAAGGGGGGGAAAAAAGTGGAAAATATACACACACAACGAGTACCGAGCAATGAGTATCCCGAGTCGTGTGTTCGCGTCGAAAGAGTAAGGGTAAGGATAAAGGGGGGGGGGATTTGTTATAGCATGTATAGTATATGTATGGGTTACCCAGGGGCAATAGTGGGTTGAATGTATATTTGTATTAGTCAGTCAGTCAGTCAGTCAGGTCTGATTAATTTAAACAGCGGACTAGCTGGCTGGCTTGCTGGCTGGCTGGCTGGTTAGGTGTTAGGTGTTAGGTGTATAGTAAGGGGTGGGTATATGAAGACATGGGATGGCCTTGTCTGGGTTTCTTTTCTTTTCTTTTTTTTAGGGGCTCAACGGGCATGGATGGGTGGGCGGGTTGATCCTTGCTTCTGTTTTGCGGCATGTTTCTGTGTGTGTGTGTGTGTGTGTATTTCCACGGGTACATGTCTCTTTTTTTTGGCAGATTGGTTGGCTGGAATATCAATCATCGAATCTGGATGGCGGTCGTGAGTGTGTGTTGAGTTGCTGTAGCGAGAGAGATGTGTTGAGTGCTGGCCACTGCACCTGAGGAAGAAAGAAAAAAAAAACGAGTGATGGAAGGATGCGGAACAAAGCCTGGTCAAGAATGCAAGTCGTGGACATGCATTGCATTGGAGGGTACGCGTTGCATGGCGATGGCGCAGGTCATGTTGTTAATCAATTTTTTTTTCTTCCATCTGCCACCATGCAATGCGCTCGTGTTCTGCATTACAAGTCATCAAATCATCACAAGGTCCATGACGTAGTTGGGAAAGCAGTCGAGATATTTCAAGCATTTCAACGAGTAAAAAAAAAAAAAGGTCACACCCAATGACCCGAGTGGGAAAGAGGGACCAAAAGAGAAATGACACGTGAGAAGCGCACGCGGTAAGCGACCAAAGGGGGTAGTGTGTGTGTGTGTGTGTGGATGACAAGTCCAAGAATAAAGTCTGTGGTAAGCGGAACGGCAGGGCCGATCCTCGGCATCTCATCTCTCGGGGCACGCCATTGCCTCCCCCCACTACTCGCATACACGGTACGGTAACACGCTCGCCTCAGCACAGGCTCCCCCCCCCCGTCAAAGCATTGCGCCCCCTCTGTGCGCGCCGCCTCGACCCCTGCATGCTTAGCGACAGGATTATCAAGTATACTTTGCGGCGTGTGAGGGAGGCCGAGAGAGAGAGAGAGAGAGAGTGTGTGTGTGTGTGTGTGAGAGAGAGAGAGAGAGAGAGAGAGCACCGCCACGGCTACGACAACCATGTATGACTCGAAGCCCCGGCAACCGCGTCAACAGGCAAAAATCAGATGCAGCAGAATCAGCAGCAGCAGCAGTAGCAGCAAGTCGTTTGCAAGAGTCGGGCGCGGGCTGGGCATGCAGACAGGCCCATCCGCAGTTTGGCAGAGGCAGCGCAGACAGGACTGCAGTGGAACACAGGGAGCTGGACCAGTCGTTCCTCGTGCATGCTTCGTCCCGCGGCATCCATGTCTCGAGGGCTGCGCGGGGCGCGGATAGGCGGCGGGCCTATTGGCAGTTGGTCCGTCTTTTGCAGGCCCCCTCTGTTCTGCGTTAACAGCTCATCCGCCCTATCGACATGGGCGGGCACAGCAGCAGCAGCAGCGGCAGCAGGCTTCCTTCTGCTTCATCCTCTCTTTCCCTCTCTCTCGCGCCCTTGGACAGCACAGGAGGACAGGCCGGCCGCCTTCTCGCGTGGGCTGCCTTGATTTGTGCAGGCGCAAGGCTGCGTGACAGGCTGGGGCGGTCCGATGAGGTGGTTAGTCGGCCGTGCTAGGCGTGTGGGCGGAGGCGAGGGGTGGGCGAGGGGTGGTGCAAGAAACAAAAAACTGGAGATGGCGGGCGTCGTGTCTGAGGCGGCTTCGGGGTCTGGTCCCTGCTGCCACTGCGACCTCGATGCCGAATGGCCATGGCGAGCTCGACTGTACATGTGCGTGCATGCGCTGGCGGTGAGCGGGCGTGCGTGCGTGTGTGTGTGTGTGTGTGTGTGTGTGTGCATGGCCGTGTATGGTGCGCGTGGGTGTCGGGTGGTGGAAGAGCAACGTCGATGCATGTGGCTGATTATATCCACGGCCTCTCCCCTTGGCCACGGCCAGCCGCCTGCTGTCTTTTTTGTTCTTCTCCCCCTCGCCCTCGCCCTCGCCCCCGAGTGCTTGCTTGTGGTGTCGGTAGCGAGTGTGTGCGAGTGTGTGCGTGGTCGTTGTGTGCCGGCCCACTGCAGTAGCCCGACATCGTCGCCACGCCGCATTCTCGTCGCAAACGCCAACGCCGTCCCTGACCCTTAACCCGACCAAATTTCCCATTCCATTAGACAAAAAGCTGGGGTCTTGCTCCCTTTGGGGCCCGCAGGGATCGCCGGCATAGCGCGTGGAGCAGCCATAAGTTCCAGCCGCCTGTCTCTGTCGCTGTCGCTGTCTCTGCCCTCGACCGGCACACTCTGCTCTCTGCTCTCTGCTCTCTGCTCTCTGCAACCAGCCCGACCCGCGACCGCCGCCGCGCGCAAAACAACCACGACGGCAGCACCGCCATCAACACCAACCGCCCATCAGGCCACTCACCTGAGCACGCTGCCAGGTACCCGCCGCGCACTCGCACTCGCACTCGGGCTTGCCACGAGAGCGTCTGACACTAGTGGGAGAGCTAGACAGGCGCAGAAACGTGGGTAGGCACAGAGGCAAAACAGCGGTCACGCCCGAGGTCAGCGTCCACACGCCGAGTCGTCTCCCTCGCATCCACACACGCCCGTCTGCTCAGCATCACGTCCCCAAACGCACCACCTGGACAGGTCACGCTTCTGCTGCTGCTGCTGCTGCTGCCACCACGCCTGCTCTGCACATAACCCCGACCCCGCCGCCGCCGCCCTGCACTGCCCTGCACTGCACTTCAAACGTCGCGCAACCCCCCGACGCTGCCCGCGACAAGTCTCCGCCGCCGCCGCCGCCGCGCTCCTTCTGCTCCCTTTCCTGCCGCACACAGGGGGCCATTGCCAAAACAAAGCGCATATCCACCTCTCCCACCACCACCACCACCACCACCACGCCCACATACATACACTTACATATACACACCTGCCGCCATGCACCGCAAAAACCCCATCAGCGTGCTCGTCTACAACACGCTGTTCCCCACGCCCTCGCCCACAGACCCTCCCTCCTTCTCGGCCCATCTCTCCAAGAACCTCGTCGGCGAAGTGCGCATCGAAACAGCAAACTTTTACGGCTCGCTCGACACAATCGAGGCCCGCTACCCGGGCCTCAACTATGCCTTTCAACCCCACCGGAAACGCCTGGGCCGCTTCCCGCACCACAAGCGCCTGTTTGAGGCTTTTGACAAGCTCGGCCTGACCGAGGCCGAGATCCAGGGCTTCTGCCGCTGGGAAGGCACCCTCTGGGCGCGCGAGCGATACGAGCGCGACGAGGGCGTCAAGGTCGTCGACACCACGGGCGTCGAAATCGGCGCCTGGGTAGACACAAGGTCGCATTTTTCCAAAAGCAGGCCCGGCATCAACGTAAAGACTGACATTGAGGTGGAAATTGAAGAGCTCCAGCAACAGCAGCAGCACCAAAATAGCCGCAGCAACCAAGCCACAAACACCACAACCACATCATCATCATCACCATCATCGCGACCCACACAAGGTGACACGGAAATGCCAGATTCCCCCATCACCGCCACAACAACATCACACCCGCAATCCGACTCGGAAACGGATTCAGACTCAGATGCAGACTCGACATCGTCTTCGTCGTCTTCAGCCGCACACATGCCCTCGTCACTCAACTTCTCACTCAACGCCCGCCTCCTGCATGCCGCCGCATCCGCATCCGCCTCCTCTTCCACTTCGGCATCAACCAACAGCATCCCCATGGACCCGGAATGGGAACAATACCTCAAAGAAGCCTCTGAGCGCGGCGAACTCAACATTGACGCTACGCGAGAAGCCCTCCGGAATATGGCGGGGCAGATTGCCCAGCTGCATCAGAGTCGGGGCGGAGGCGTCGAGGTGGATGCTAGTGAAGTCGTGGGTCAGCAGGCTTTCCAGCCGCCTGCCGCACCGGCTTAAGACACGCTTTTTCTTGACAATCTACCCTTTTTTTTCTGTTGTTCCGTCGACGTGTGCGGGGTGCGCGTGTTTTTATTGGAGACCTTTTGGAGGAGAAGATGGCAAGAGAGAGAGAGAGAGAGAGAGAGAGAGAGGGACATATGAACGATGCTCATGTTGATGGTTGATGGCTTGTGGGACCCCTTTTTTTATTGTTAATTCCCCCACCTTTACTTCTCTCTCTCTCTCTCTCTGTGTGTGTGTGTGTGCCTCTTCTCTTCTCTGTTTCCCCACGTCTGATCTTATCTATCTTTGCTGGCAACGGAGTCTTTTTCTTTTCTTTTCTTTTCTTTTCTTTTCTTTTCTGTTTTTCCGCCCCATCCAAGTACCTCGTTGATGCCTCTTTTTCTTTTTTCCCCTTTTCCTCTTTCTTTCCCACGTCTCACCACTGAACTGCACTTGCATGGCGTTTTTTTTTGCTTCCCTTGCTTGTCCTCACCATTTGGCGTTTTTTGCAATGTCTGTCTGTTCTTATTCTTTTTTTTAGTTTGCCCTGGTATTTGTCCCACCCTCCTCTTTTCCTGCTTTATTTCCAAGCTTTCACTCTACAACAACTATCTCAACCTCAACCTCAACCTTGACCACAAGAGAATATACGAAAGAAAAAAATGATTCGGGATAGCTTGAGCGCACCGACAGAGTCAATGTAAGAGAGAGAGAGATTGTAGGGCTATTTCAAGGAGAGACAGACAGACTGAGAGAGAGAGAGATATATATATATACCCCCCACACCCCACACCCCACCTCTATTTTTGCTCATCTTGTCTGCCTGCGTTGTGGAGTAATCAAATCTTGTTCTTCTGTTATGTCTGTCTATTCGAATTCTTCTTCTTCTTCTTCTTCTTCTTCTTCTTCTTCTTCTCTGAGTTCCCTCTTTTTTCCTTCTTTTTTCCTTCTTTCTTGGATTTCCTTGGTTGTGCGTGAGAGAGAGAGAGAGAGAGAGAGAGAGAGCGTGTGAGAGAGAAAGAGAAAGAGAGAAAGAGAAAGAGAGAAAGAGAAAGAGAGAAAGAGAAAGAGACTGTATCTGTCTGTTGTGCGTTTTCAAATTATAGATTTTTTTTTCTGTTTTTTTTT